TTGTCTCATCACCGTTGGTCGAGGAGTCTCAACATCTCACTGAAAGGCAGAGGGAGGTCCGTGAACGACAAGAAGAAAATGCCGGCCTGTATGCCGGTCTCCGATCGAGCCCACGGACTCGAGCACAAGCTGCGATCGAGGAGAGCTCCAAGGATGCTGAGATACAAAAATCCAGCAGACTCGAAACTACTCCTGAACGCGCAGCTTCCTACGATGAGTTCATCAATCTGACACCCACTCCCCGACGTGGCCAAGCTCTTCATCTTGAGGGCTTGAACGACCCACCTTCATCACCACCAGACCCGAGACGCAACCCTCTGTTGTCTGAAATACAAACTCGATCAAAGGCTAGAGACTCGATCGTCAACTGGCAGTTTTCTTCACCACCAGGTTCGCCCTCCATCAGTCAACAGACCGACGAAGACCAAGCTGAGGTGGAGACTCCCTCTGCTAAGAACAAGGGCTCTGGTAAGAACACACGGGCTAAGCGACGCAGGAGGAGGGCAGAATCATCAAAGAAGGAGGAAGTCATTCCTTCAAGTCTTGGTAGTCAGGAGGTGGTGACCGAAGACGCGGAGGCACTGCCAGATGCACCACCTAGCCAAGATGTGGAAGAGATTAAAGAGGAACATATCGAACCGCCTGCCCTCAGCCAACTGGACAGCCCTCAACGAACCGCTCCGCCTCCAGCACAGGTTCTGGAAACACCAAAATCCGCAGACGACGAATTTGTGGACGCCAGGAGCAGCCCTGCAAAGGCTGTTGACGATCAGGCTGTTGAAAGTGGCCCTAAGGTGGCTAACAGCCAGAATCAAGACTCATCTTTCGCACTCAGTGAAGGTGATGAAAGCAGTCTTATGAGATTTGTGGTGGAACTTGAATCTAGAAGGTGCCATCTTCCATTCGACAAGTACAACTCAGTTTCTGTTTCTCCCGAGAAGAAAAAGAACGACGCATCTCCTGAAAAGTGCATAGAGGTCCAGGGAGACACCTCTGTCGAGGAAGAACAGAATAACACGAAGGAGCCTTCACCATCTAGTGTTGTTCCCTCTACGCCTGTTGAAGCAAGCCAAGAGAAGAATGAAAGCCAAAATACAAACCAAACTGGCAGCAAGAGGAAGAGAAAGCGAAGCGCCGTGTATGCCGAGACACGCCGCAAAAAGAGACGGTCGGCCGACCCATCAGGACCGGAACAGGTTGAAGATAGCCAGTCAACGTCTCAAGAAACGGCCTCACCTATTCCAACCGTGCGACGGTCATCCAGACGAAATGCTGGACAAAAGGGCAAGGAGCTACGAAACCGAGAAGTCCAGGCGTCGCCTACCACAAGGTCAACACGCTCATCTTCTCAAGCGCCTCAGACAACCTCAAAGTCGACCGATGTACGTGATGACGGGGACACGGATGAAGAACTCATGTCACAACTGGTGACAGAGTCCTATGCAGCCTCGCAAAGCCAGGAACCTGAGCTTCAGGTGCCTGATGAAGTCATTGAAGACTCTATGGAAGTTATACCAATTGACAGCGAATCAGGGGAAGAGGCCCAGGAGGATCAGCCACAAGCAGAAGAGGAGGGCCAGGACGAAGTTGCCGAACCAAAAGATGAAGATGAAGAAGAAACGCCAGTGCCACACAAAACAAGGTCGATCATGGACACTCTTCGTGGTGGTTTACAGCAATTGCAGACGGCAGCACTCAGTCGTGATGAGGTTTACCAGCTAGAAGACATGCTTATGGATATGAAGAGGGAGCTCTTCGAAGCAGAACGACGAGGAAGACATTGATTAAGAAATGAATTTAAGACGGGAAGCATTGCCATCGGCGCGTCAGGGGTTTTTATTCTTGGGAACTGCTTATAATACAATACCTCCATGTACAGAGTTGCCTGATTAGCCTGTCACTTATCTCATTAAAAGCATTGCATGGACACCTGTAAATTTACATATTCTGTAGAAAAGAAACAATCAAACAAATGACGAGCCGAATATGCCATGTTGATACATCCCGAGTAGCAGTTCTACAGCTGGTAGATGCTCCAGTTGCTGCAAGTGAGATCTGGATACCAAAAGTAGCAATCAATCCGAGTTACGAGTCAGGAACAGACGTCCCGTGTGTATGTATTCATCATTATCCATGAGAATAATACGGGGAAGCATAATGTGAAAATGTGGAGGATCGTCAGAGGTCATCTTTGAGAGTAGCTTCGGATGTTCCTAAACGGGTAAGCCGACAAAGAGAGCTGCGGTGTGCCACGGGGAAGAGGGTCGATTATCGATCAAGGTTTTGGATCTTGGTGTAACAGAAGGACCTTATAATTGATACTGTGTGAAATTGAGGTTCTAGAAAGGGCAAATCGTAGTGATACGCCGTTCTCGGTAATCGACTTGTATGATGATGCTTCAGCACAGTACTGTACCATTTCTACGGGCAGCTGAGTATGGACTCACTTGGAAACACCCATTACGAACATCTTGAGATTTGGCCGTTTTGCTGCTGCCTGGCATGATTCAGCTCTGATGACGAACCAGGGTCATGGGTTTACAAGCTGCTCTCCATTCTGTTCTTGACAGTAAGGAAAAATTGCTGGCGCGATCCCTACGTCAGGCAGATTCCCATGGCGGGGAACTAACATGGTAATGATGTGCACGTCTGTCCCGTTGGTGACATGGGTAGTTGCAGGTTTAATACCATTGATGTCTCTCACTGAATGACTTGATCAGAGTTTTTCTCGCACGAGGGCATCGTGGTTCGACATGCAGGGACCTTAGAGGCAATGAGTTGAGAGTTGAGATTCAAGCAATTACTCAAAATGGAATGGCGTAGAATGGTGTAAGTGGTGATGGCTCACAACGCTGTTGCACAAGAGTCGAGTAACGGCCACGAACCTTGGCGAGGCGAAAACGCTATCCACCTGAAAGGGAAATTAGAATGGAAATTATTTATCTCCAAGATTTTGTAGACGAAAGCTCCATCGGCAAACGGTATATATGCGTCCAAGCTTGTGTAGATGTCAACCCAATGGGCTGACAGCCATAAGACGGTTCAATCTATACCCTTATGAAGACCATAGTATAGGGTTAGGCTATGCCGGGTAAGATAGTGCCCTCCGCTTATTCTTTTGTTTACCTCGCTGTCTTGAAGTCAATTTGGATGAGGTTGAAGAAGTTTACCCAAAGGAGTCAAGTGGCTCATGAAAATGTCCGACCAAGCAGCCAATGAACAACATGGAACAACATATCATAGAATTAGATTGCACTGTAAGAAGGAAACCGAGACCTTGGTCCATTTCAGTTTGAAGACTCTATGATGAATCGGTTCCCTTCCGAAGAACCCTCAATGGCTGGTGTATGAGGTCTGGCATCCGGCAGTTGCATCGATTGATGGTGTAGCGTCCTGTTGAACCTGACCAGTTCGGGAATTTCATGGCGATGCCCTTGTTGAGGCTGAATGTTCTTAACCATTGTAGGCAACCCGAGAACTACAGACACTTGTCTTGAATAGAGAGGATGTATCTCATCTCATCTAAGCAGCCATCACGATGCTTTGGCTTTATTCGGCCCGCCGAATTGAGAATGACGTCAACTGCTAACAATCCGGGGCTCTGGGGTTTAGCAACTCCGCGTTTTATAGCCGTTGTCATCCATAAAAGGGAATTGAGAGCGGAGGGTCGGGCAGAGACGGTGGAGAGGGTCTTTTGTTACGGTCAGCCAGACCTTTTCTTTGCATTTGTCTATTGGAACTGATTGGGCGGTTGATGTCTGCAGCGGGTTCGCGATGGAGCCAGTGGACTGCAGGTTGAATCTTGGCGTGAACGTGACAAGGACTGAAGCGCGGTAAATGGCACGTTTCTGACTGTTCGATTCCGTTCTTGACGGCCAATATGACAAAAGTGTACTGTGCTGTACTGTGTAGTCGCAGTCTCGTTGATCAAGAGTGATGGTGGTTTTGCAGACCCCATTTACATATAATCATTCCTTTCAGTTGGAGTTGTTATTGTGGACTGAGAATCATAAACAAAGCCGAGTTAGGTAAAGCAGAGCCTCATTACTGGGCGATGCTAGTATTACACCAAGACATTGGCAGGAAGGATGCCATTTCGACGGTTCCTTCCTTGCCCAGAATCCAATATCACATCACGTGTAGAAACCCAACCTCTCTCCTTCATTTTATCTCGATTCTCCATTCAGGTACCCGAATTTCAGACTTCATCCGAGGTAACGAAAACCTGTGAAATCCTCTCACTTGTTGAAGGGCCTTGGCTGCTTCACTTACCCACTCTCATTTGATATCGGTCGAGATCTCTTGAGGGCCCAATCACGATTCAAAGTTCCCTCGCAAACCGACTATCATGGCTCAAGCCAACATTGAAGTTCGGTTTCGAGGAAACATTGCAAACAGGCTCATGCCTCAGGAAACTTCAAAAAGTAACCTATGGCTAATACAGCAGAAAATACGACAACAATGAGACCATCAGAAGCCTACAAAACACTGACGCCTTGAGTGCCCCGATTTTCATATCCCCGAAGGACCCTCAGTCGAGGGACCTACTATGACGTCGTATTCCCCACGCTCCAGCCTTCTGAAAGTTCCCCATGTTTACTTCCCCAACTCGCCCGATTTCTGCGGAGGCGAGAGGTAAACTTTTGGGCCTTCTCCACGAGTTTATGCTTCCAGGGTGGCATTATAGACGAGGACATGATATCGCCTCTCCAAATAGCAGTCAAGCACTGAACAAAAGCAGCAAATTATACCTGGTCACACCCATTCAGGTATCCCCAGGACCGAACTATCACGTAGCTGTTCACAAAACGCCCTGAAAACTTTACAATGCCGTAATGCAGGGATCATTGCCCTGCTGGCCATGGGTGCACACGACTGCGGATCTCGGTATACTTTACCGTATGCACAGTACGGTCATACGCACTATCACATTTGGCCGATGGATCCATCATAAACGGCCAAGACCAAGACAATAATGGATGGGTAGCCAAGGCCCGTCTCAGCTACCAGCTTCTCGCATGGCCTGGGGGGTGGATATCCAGAGGCCGTGGATCCAGTGTCGAGTACTACTTTACATGACTCTGTTTTCTGCAGTACGACATGCAAGACCCTTGGGCTTGCGTTTCTTTATAAGCCCGGTTAGCCCCCGGCCTCAACCGTTCTCACGTTCTCGATACCAACCTTCGTTGTTGCCCCAGCGACCTTGAGTTTGAAGAAACATTATTCGGGTTCGATCTCTTCATCATGTTCAAGAAGTACTTTGGCCTTCGAGGCCAGGCCCTCAACTATGCCATCAGTACCATTGCCGGAACCGATTTCCTGCTCTTTGGTTATGGTAATACCCACCACTTTCATACAAAACGGCTCTAAGTCAAGCCATGGAAGCAGATGCTAATAATTCTTATAGACCAAGGTGTTATGGGTGGTATCTTGACAATGGCACCCTTCATGGAGCAATTCCCCGACATGCACAGCGATGATCCTATAGTATCTGCGGCTGTTCGAAAGGACCGCTCTAACTATCAAGGCATCGCTGTTTCGTCTTACAACCTGGGCTGCTTCTTTGGCGCCATTGCTACCATCTTTCTTGGAAACAAGCTCGGCCGCAGGAAAATGATTATGCTCGGCACCACAATCATGGTTGTTGGTGCTGCTCTTCAGGCTTCTGCGTTCACTCTGGAACACTTCATCATCGGACGAATCATCACTGGTCTTGGTAACGGCGGCAACACATCTACTGTTCCTATGTGGCAATCAGAAACCTGCTCCGCCCATAAACGTGGTAAACTGGTAATGATCGAGGGTGCGCTCATCACACTCGGCATAACCATCTCGTACTGGGTTGACTACGGCATGTACTTTGCGCAAGACACATCTGCCTGCTGGCGCTTCCCAATGGCGTTCCAGATCGTCTTCTGTCTAATCATCATGGCCTTTGTTATGAACCTTCCAGAATCTCCCCGCTGGCTTGTGCTCAAGGGACGTGATGAAGATGCAAAGGAAGTTATTGCTGCCATTGCCAACCAGGATGTCCAGAGCAAGTATGTGGACAACGAGTTCAAGGCCATCAAGGAGACTGCTGCAGAGATGAGTAAGGGATCATTCTCGGACTTGTTCTCTCGAAACCACAACAAGAACCTTCACCGTACTCTCATCGCTTACATCAACCAAATGTTCCAACAGGTAAGACATATGAACTCTTATGAATTAAATAGTCACTGACATCGAAATAGATCTCTGGTATCAACTTGATTACTTACTATGCTGCTACCATCTATGCTGGACTTGGTATGACTGGTCATATGCCTCTGCTCATGGCCGCTCTGAACGGTACCGAATATTTCTTGGCCTCACTCCCTGCTATCTGGCTGGTTGAGCGGGTTGGCCGTCGAAAGCTGATGCTCTTTGGCGCAGCAGGCCAGTGTGCATCCATGGCCATTCTCGCCGGTGTTGGCTCCAGTGATGCGAAGGCTTGTCAGATTGTTGGAATTGTCTTCCTGTTTGTCTTCAACTCATTCTTCGCCGTTGGCTGGCTTGGAATGACCTGGTTGTACCCTGCTGAGATCACACCTCTTCGAATCCGTGCGCCTGCCAACGCTCTATCGACATCAAGTAACTGGATCTTCAACTGGCTGGTGGTTATGATTACCCCTCCAGCATTTGAGAATATTGGATCCAACACATATGTCATCTTTGCTGTCATCAACGCCATCATGGTTCCTTCGGTCTATTTCTTCTTCCCTGAGACTGCATACCGATCTCTGGAAGAAATGGATACTATCTTCCAGAAGGTGGGGCATGGTTTCCAAGGCGCACTCGATGTGGTCAAGCAGGCCAAGATTGAACCTCGACGATACGATAACAATGGAAACCTTCTCATTGCCATTGAAGAGGTAGAAGAGAAGGGACATGTTGAGCATCGAAGTGGAAGCTCGAGTGGACAGAGTGGCGAAGGTAACAACGCTGCCATGTTTACATCACATGACGAAGAGAACCAGCGCCGAGAGGCCTAAGGGGTGTTGTCGATTAAAAGAACGGCGGATGCTATGAGTGGTGGCTTTGGAAACTACACCGAGGCATGATATATACCCCTAGAGTGGTTGAGAGAAAGAGAAGTTTAGTTGGTCAAGTGTCATGATGAAACATATAGCAGCATATAGATACCCGATTGAGTAAGAGTCTCGGCAGATGTACCAATTTTGTGTAACTTTGACTGCTTCAACGGTCCGTCCATGGCATTGTGAAACTATATTTCCGAGACTGTTATAGTACACGGCGCCTACAACGAGGCAATGAGATTTGCGAGTGAGTTTTCGTATAGGCAACTATGTCTAATTATGCCTAAATTCAAAGTCAGAACTGCTGCCTCACCAACCAAATGCTAGATTCTGTGTGATATTTTTGTGGTTTGATGTATCACAAGCCGATATCTGAGACGTGTTTCAGCTTTGAGCGTGGCCGGTAACAGCTCTAACTTTAGCAGCAGGTCTCCACTAAACAGCTTGCTCTCAGGACATCATTGGCTGTCATGAGCTACCCCGCCATTGCCTACATGGGTATCGACCTCCTCTCAGACTTGAAGCATCCACGGCATGGATTCCATCTTACAGATACAACTTTGCCTGAGCGAACCAAAGCTACAGGGGATAAAAGACCGAACATCACCTTTATAAGGCCCTTCAGCCTCGTGTTTTACTGGTTTAGAGTCCCGTCACTTTATTTGTCTGCTCTTGCCTTGTTCTTCTACCTTCACCCCACTCGGACCCTTCAACCCCCACCTGAGCAGTCCGCCACTACCTACCTCACCTCTACCAGCTCCATCTTCTCTAAATCTCAATCTCTTCTCTGCCTATCTTGATTCCTATAAAAACACTCACAATGGTCGACCGTCCAAACAAGCCCTCGGCGCTCGCCTCTACCCCCGCGGCCCCTCCTCAACCCGCCGTCGACATCACTCACGATAACTCTCGCGTCAAGGCCGTTCTTCCCACCGGCGAGAGCGTAGAGGTTCTCCTCCACGGCGCTACTGTCATCAGCTGGAAGGATGCTTCAGGAGCTGAGAAGCTCTGGGTCAGCGAGTCTGCTGCTCTTGACGGAAGTGCTCCTGTTCGAGGAGGTATTCCCATCGTCTTCCCGGTACGACAACACCATAACACTCTCTCATGATAGCTTTTCTAATTTGTAAACTTATAGGTCTTTGGTACTGCCCCCGACCACGAACCCGTAGCCAAGCTTCCCCAGCACGGTTTTGCTCGTAACTCACGATGGGAGTTCCTTGGAAAGTCTACCAGCGAGGGCTCTAGCTCCAGCGTGAAGCTCGACTTTGGTCTCTCCTCTGAGAGCATCAGCGACGACTTCAAGGCTCTGTGGCCCTACAAATTTGCTCTTATCTACAGTGTCTCTCTTGATCCTGAGAGTCTCAACACTACTATTGTTGTTACCAACGATGGTGACACTGCTTTCGACTTCCAGACTCTTCTTCACACTTACTTTAAGATCAGCGTAAGTTATATAGTGCTTATACATGGGATACTAGAACTAACTTGTCTCAGGATATCTCTTCCGCAGAGGTCACCGGTCTCGAGGACTCCGTCTACTTCTCCAAGGTCTCCAGCTCAGAGGCGACCCAATCCGGCGCCATCACTTTCTCTGCCGAAACCGACTCCGTCTACACCCCCGCCAAGGGTCCCTCTCACCCGGTCGTCATCTCCGAGTCTGGTACTCCTCGTTTCCGTATCGTCCGTGACAATCTCGACCAGGTTGTCGTCTGGAACCCCTGGGTCGACAAGTCAGCCGGCATCAAGGACTTTACTCCCAAGGACGGCTGGAAGAACATGCTCTGTGTTGAGCCCGGTTCTGTCAAGGGATGGCAGAAGCTGGAGAAGGGCGATGCTTTCGAGGCGGCGCAGACTATCACTCTGGTTTGACTTGGCAAGAGTGAGGGAGTGAGGAGATTCAAGATATGACAGTTTTTACGTAACGGCAGCACAATAATTTGAGATGGACATGATGTGAATTAACTTGTGTTTTGAAAGACAAGCCCATATGCTTAGATTAGAGATGAAAGAAGGCACCAAATCACAAGATCACTGTCGTCAGTGCTGTGTTTATCACTCAAGATTCCTCACACGCATCCAAGTGTTTCAATGTCTCATTTTTCTGCTTATTCCCAAGTTGCTACCATGATATTTACTGCTCCTATTTTGTTCCAATGTACATTTTCGTCATGTCAAACTTTAGTGTCACTCATATGCTCAGGCCGATCGTGCCTTGTTCTCCCTAGAGAAATGATCCGCAACCAGGAAGGCCAACTCGAGAGCCTGCTTCTCGTTGAGTCTTGGGTCACAGAAACTAGTGTAGTTTGTCGACAAATCATCCTCATCCAATCCCTCACTGCCACCCAAACACTCTGTAACAGCATCACCAGTGAGCTCGAGGTGCATACCACCAAGGTTGCTACCCTCCTCTTTGTGAATGCGTAGTGTCTCCTCAAGCTCACGGTAGATATCGCCGAAACGACGTGTCTTGATGCCTGTGGGTGTGGATAGTGTGTTGCCGTGCATGGGGTCGCATTGCCAGACAACCGTACGACGGTACTCGGAGTCCTCAACCGCGCGAATATGCGTGGGGAGGAGATCGCGCACCTTGGCAGCACCGTAACGAGTGATGAGGGTGATCTTGCCAGGCTCGCGAGAGGGGTTCAACGTGCGAAGGAGAGAAAGAAGGTCTGAGGCTGGTGTTGTAGGACCGACTTTGATACCAATTGGGTTGGCAATTCCGCGGAAGAACTCAACGTGGGCATGATCGATCTGGCGAGTACGGTCACCAATCCAGATAAAATGCGCAGAGGTATCATAGTACTCCTTCTTCTCACCGTCGTCAGCTGCAGGAGTAGGGCTTGAGGTTCTGGCAGTAGGCTTCTCAAGCAAACGAGTCAAAGACTGCTCATAGTCGAGAAGAAGACCTTCATGACTGGTGAAAAGCTCGACGGAATCGAGTTCTCCGGGACGAGCATTGATGACCTGCAGGAAGCGCAGGGTCTGTTGAATACTTGAGGCAATAGCTGAGTACTTCTCCTTGAGCTCCGGGTCTCTCACATGTCCGAGACCCCAGTCAAGAGGTCGATGAAGATCAGCGATGCCAGAGGCGAGAGCAGCGCGAATGTAGTTCAGAGTGGCAGCAGAGTGGTGATAGGCTTTCACAAGGCGGTTAGGATCGATCTCTCGATCTTCAAGACGGAAGCCATTGATGATATCGCCCTTGAAGCTAGGGACTTCCTTTCCATCGACCATCTCAGTAGGACTAGAACGCGGCTTCGCATACTGCCCAGCCATTCGACCAATTCGCACAACTCTCTTGTTTGTTCCCCAAATGAGAACAACACTCATTTGCAGTAGCAATTTGATTTTACTCTCAATAGGGCCCTGGCGACAATAATCAAAGAGCTCAGCACAATCGCCACCTTGGAGAAGGAAGGCATTTCCTTGTGCGACATCGCGAAGATGAGCTTTGAGGGCAATGATCTCATTGGGATGGACCAGAGGAGGAAGTTGCGTGAGTTCCTCAACAGCCTTGGCGAGAGGCTCTGCGTCAGGGTAGTTGGGCGATTGCTTGATGGGCTTTGAGCGCCATGAAGAGGGTTCCCAGCCGGCAGAGGAAGATGAAGCCATTTTGTGTGTAAGAGGTGGGATGAGCGAGACGACAGATTCAAAACTGGGCGGAGCCAACCGCACAAAAGAAAAGAATCAAGTGCCCGACTTGATCAGTGTGTTGTAGTGTCTATATGAGGTCTGTTGAGTATTTGTGGAAGAGTCGAGGTTTATTGTATCAAGATGAGAGTGAGTGAGTCACAGAACAAAGACAGATGGTCAAGACGCACCCTGGACTGCACCTGCACCTGGAACCGAAAAAAGTGAAGTTTAATTGAGTTAACAAAGAAATGTGGCGTTGCCGATGGTAGCCACTACTTCAACTTTCGGCTTAAGAGCGGCGCATGTGGCGTAGACAATATGAACACCGACACAAGGATTTCTATTGTTTGAAGATTTTGTAGGATTATAGGTGATGGTTTGGTACTGTATTAGACACAGAAGAGGATGTCCCTCAAATGTGAGGACACGGCTATGCTTGTTGACCTGAGCTGCTAGTTCCTTGCAGCTGAGGAAGCAGAATGGGCTATGGAATCCGTTATGCAAATTACTTCCAACGACCATGAGTTACAAAACATCTAAGATTCTAATATTTCTATCTTCTGTCCTATTGAAACATGTCAAGGGCCATCTCATGTTCTATTCCGCACTCTGACAAGCTTCAGAGGTCTCCGCAGCCAAGCTAGAACCGAACTGCCCCTCCAACCCCACCACAGCTTCACCTTCACAGCTCCCTCTCCACTAAACTTCACCTACTCTGCACCCTCACCTCCACTTCGCTTCTACACATCACAGCAATCATGACCGACGAAACGCCCTCTCAGACTGCCAAGTCCGCCGAGGACCGCAAAGCAGCCTCCGCTCTCGAGAACCTCGACGCCGCAGACTCACCCTCGACACCACAAAACGTCGACGCCGACGCTGCCAACAAAGCCATCAAGAGCCTCGGCGGCGCAAACAAGACCTCTACTACTGCCGCTTCCCATAAGAACGTCAAGGTCGACGCTGCCGATGTTGCACTCCTCGTTGATGAGCTTGAGCTGCCAAAGGCAAAGGCGACCGAGTTGTTGAAGAGTAATGAGGGTGATGCTGTTAAGGCCATGAGGGCGTTTATCAAGGCGTGAGGGGGTACAATTTGGCTTTGAGGTTCGAATAATCAGCTCGGGAAGAGAATGGAAAAGATGTCATGAGGTACGATATACCAAACACAATCCAGACCTATACAAGTGTCTGACAATTTCAACAGCCACCTTCAAACGAGCCAGAAATATAATGTCAATCGCCATGATGGAATTATCAGTGTGTCAAACACACAATATGTGTACTTTAATCAGTCAATCCTCCAAACGCCGAGTCAAGGTCCTGTCCATCCCGTGGTATTCCATTCCATCCCGTCAAAACGAGTGATTGTATGCCATGACGTGTGTTCGCAATTCTAATGTGACCCATAAACTCCAGACCTGAACCTTTCCATGCACAATTACTCTATCTCCACCGTATCAACAACATCTTTACTCTATTGCCAAGTTCTAGCCAGAGGGCTACCAATCTTGGGGGCAAACTGAAGACTCTTACGTCGAGCGGCCATGAGGCGCATCAGGACGTTGTCATCCTTGGTCTCGCTGATGATGCCAGCACCCAACTCACGGAAGGGGTTGGCCTTGGGAGGACATGTTCGCATAAGGAGAGCATCCTTAGCAGGGGAGTCACCCATGTCGTCGTCGTCGTCACCATCATCAGATGGAGTATCAGGGACAAGGTTGGCAGCATAGCGAGCAATGGCCTCAGGGGCAGGAGTCTTGGGAACAGGGGTCAGGATAGCTTCAGAATACTCAAAATCCTCCATCTCCTCGTCCTCGTCTCCTTGATCCGAAGGGGTGTACATCCATTGTGTGCTTTCGCGACGGTTGATCGGCGTAGAGGGAGCTGTGCGAGAGCCTCCCTTGGTAGGGCTGCTGACGAGGGTGCCGTTCATGTTGGCCAAAGCCTTGGGCTCCATACTCTTGCGGCGACGAGCTCCACCCCGAGGGACGTTGCTAGTGTCGATCTTGTAGGGACTTTCCTCAACCCAGTCGTTCTCACGCTCACAACTATTTCTGGTTAGCACTGAATCAAAGAATTAGGAAGACTTCGACCTACTCAAGCACCCAACTGACTCCGACACACTGGACGATTCCGTTGCTCTCACGGACCTTCTCCAGTGTGCGCTTGCTGCCGTCCTTGAAGACAACGTGTGTGATTCCAACCTTACTGGATGTCACATCGTTGCCAGAACCGTTGGGGTTCCAGCTCCATGACTTCATGCACTTGGCACCCATTTGTGTGAGCAGCTCCACGAAGATGCTGCTGGCATCAGCTCCCTCGCTGGTGTACACATCAACAAAGACGACAGCTCCACGAAGTAGAGCAGGGTCGACATCACGTCGGGGAGTTCTAGCGGGTGTACCCAAGGATGACCAGAGCTCAGACTTTGAGGGTGTGACAGGGGCGGGTGTTGAGGGGGCAGACGGGACCTCGGCAATGGTTGCTGGCATACTCTTTCTACCCTTGGTAGAGGAGTAAGAGATGACAGACGCACTCCTGGTTGGGCCTGAGGGGCGCTTGGGAGCAACTCGCGATGCGCTGAAGCTGCGCTTCTTCAGAGGAGAAGGAGATGAGTCGTCTGCAGGCTTCAGAGGAACCTTTGTGGTGGTGTTGAAGGTCTTCATGACTGGACGAACAGGTGTGATGGGTGCCATAGCAACTGGGGCCTCATTCTCATCACCATACTCTTGGCTAGCCTCGGAGAGAGTATCGTCAAAAGCCTCAGTATTGACAACCTCTTCAAGAACCTCAGGCTCCATCAGAGACATCTCGTTAGCCTCGTTGGCCAACTCAACATCCTCCTCAGTGACCTCCATGTCATCAAAAGCGGGCTCAACAATTTCGGCAGTTCTGTCTGCCTGAAGTTCCTCCATACCTGCACGTACAGTCATTTCGTCTTCGAAGAAATGAGTTGAGGCGGGTGAGGCATCAGATCGAGGAGTAGCTGACTTGTTAGAAAGCTTCTCTCCACCGAGAGGAGCCATCTTGATAGGCGTGCTGGCCTTCCAAGAACCAAGTCGATCAGCGAGTGCGCTAAATCCACCCATAGAAGCACGAGAAGTCTTGGGTGTCTTGCGAACAAATGGTGTTGGGGTAGTAGGTGCTAAACCCCTGGGAGCCATAGTCTCATCCTCAGAATCCGAGTCTTGAGAGGGCTCCAAGTCCTTCTCCCTGAGCTGGAACATGGGATTTTGTTCTTGCTGGGGAGACTGAGCGGGAGTTGAATTCTTAGACTCAGATTCCTCAGGTGCGTCATCTGCCTCAGCATTCTCCTCCTCAACGACCATGCTGTCCTCCTGGTCGGTAAGATCATTCGCTTCTTCAGCTGCTTCTGGGACTGCTTCAGCCTCAGTCGCAACATCTTCCTCAACCTCGGCGACAGTCTCGACTTCCACCTGAGGCTCTTCAAGAGTCTCATCGACAATCCTCATCTCTTTCTTCAAGGCAGGATCAGCATGACGAGGAAGCACAGCAGACAAGCGGCCAGGGAATTGCAAGTTCTCAATTGGGTCATTGAAGACATCGTCGTCGACAGCATCAAACTCAAGCTCGGCTTGTTCCTCCAACATGAGCTTATCTGAAGGTCGGGTAGAAGGAGCACGACTAGGAGTATCCATAATCAGAGGCTTCATGACTGGTGGCTCACCCAGGTCCGCAACATCTCTAGGTCGCGGCTCTGTGACCGGCTTCAGTCCAGGCATGGCCCGCTTCGCAGGTGAAAGAAGAAGTGACGCCTTCATTGTTGATTGGGTCTGTTGAGGCTTGAGCGATGTTGCAAAGTTCAATCCTTTGATGGGTGATTGGGGTCGCTTAGCCGCAGACATGAGCAGAGAATTCTTGAACGAAGTACTTTCTCCAGCTTGGGCGGTGTCGTCCTGGGTCTTCTTCATTGTAGATCCAGGCAGAGCAACAGGACCGATTCGGCGAGCTGGTGACCTCATTGTATCCTTGAGAGGCGAAGCTGGAAGTCTCTTCGCAGGAGATAGGCTAATTCCACCAAGATCTGGCGGATTTGTGATGCTGTCTGAAGTATTTGTTGGCTCGGCAGATTTTTCGGTCGGCTCAGGCTGGGCTTTAGCAGCACTTGTAGGAGGCTTGATCGGGTTCTTCTTCATGGGTTTGACAGGCGGCATGTCACCGGCGAGTTCGTCCTCGGAATCATCGTCCCTCGAAACAGGTATCTGGGTAATCTTCTTAGGACTTAAAGGCTTGTTGTCTGTCGACTCGGCGAATCTTACCGCCGCTCTGGTTGTTCGACTTCCAGCTGCTCCTCCACGCTTGGCTGGTCGGCCTCTAATTCCAGGCCGAGCAGGCTCCTTGGCCTCAACGGCAGGCTCAATGTTCTCCTTGTCGGGCTCTTGGAACTTGACAGCCTTTCTGGCAGCGGGTTTGGCAGCAGTTGTTGATTTTGTAGTTGTAGTTGTTGTGGTAGTCGTGCGAGTGCGAGTGGTTGTCTTCTTTGCAGGTGCAGGAGCTGGCGCTGGAGCAGACTCTTCTGGTTCAGCAGCAACAGCCTTCCGAGGCCGTCCCCGAGTAGCTCTGGCAGGTGCAGCAGTCCCCTTGGGAGGTTCTGTAGCCGCCTTCTTGACTGCACGGCCTCTTGTGGGCTTCGCTGGCGCTACAGGTTCAGCCTCAGATTCTTGCTCCTCGGTCTTCTTTGGTCGACCACGCGTTCTTCTGACAACAGCAACTTCGCGTTGCTCCTCCTCTTCCTCGTCCGCTCTTGTCTTTCTCTTAGCGGCTGTGCTTTTTGTGCCTGCTGTCGCGGTACTCTTTGCCCGCGCAGCAGCTGTGACGATCTTTGTTGTCTTGACTGAGGGATCAGTAGCCTTTGCAGCAGCTCGAGCCCGGGTCATTCTCTTGGGTGGTGATTCCATGGTGATTATGGTTCGCTGTGTTGTTGGTGTATGGTTAGTATGTAGAAAAAGAAAGAGATCAAGTAGGCAGCATCATGTACGATGATGGATTTTGTTTATTGCAGGTCCCTGATCGGGTCGAGGGTCTTCAGTGGACAGGCCGTGTTTGGCGGCGTTGCTGGGCAACGGCCCGCTAAAACGGCAAGGGTGCAGATCGTAGCTGCCAACCGTGAATGTTTGCCCCGCAACCGGGAATTATCTTATTATCCCATGTCCATAACGCGTATGGATAAGTCTGTAGCGTGCTTCTAGACATCCAATAGAATAATTGTTGACTTTAAACACGATCAAATAAATGTCTTGGATATCATCGCGTCTCTTTCCCGCATACTCATTGGTCCTTAAATTGGAGATGAATCGGGAAGGTCTCTTCTTGGGCCGCAGGAAGTCCACACTGATAATATGGAGAACTACCATCTCCACCAAATTCACAAAAAAGTGGCATTGCAGTAAGAGACAAAGCACAAAAAATGAACATACAACACCAGGTATTCGCTGGTCGTCACCGACCCAACTACTAATCCGGCGCTTCGGAGCTTGACGATGGGAGAGCGGACGGGATCCCGTATTCTCTCTGAGCTTTGGTCGTATGTGAAAGACATGAGGCCAGGACGGACTTTGAAGATGGGCGATTGCAGACACTAGGTACTCAACGAGACTTGGCTCCCTCAAGAGGAAAGGCGCCAATCAATAGTTCCTGGGACTGAAGTAGACAGAAATGGTTATAATAAGAGGCAGAGCTGCCTTGAAATGTTCCTAAAAGGTGGTATCCCAAGATGAGCGGAAGTAGAATATGTGCTTTCAAAATACTCCCAAATCATGTCCCGAGCTCAATTTTACCTGCGCTTTATCTTCACCAACACACCAAGGTCAAAGAGACTCTCTTGGTGGCATGGAGTGCAGGCGAAATGCTCTTTGTCGAAAGAAACCCAGCCATCGCCCCATTCATGGGGTATCCTGATTCGCCTCAACACCAGGCTGTAACGCCTCTTTAAACAAACAAAAACCAAGAAGCCACTTTCGCAACATCGAACATCAACAGCGCGCAAATTCGCTACGCCTGTGTCGATGGCATGTTCCTCAAAGACTTGACAAGATCGTTCCTATTAACCATATCGCATAGGTGCCTGTCCTTGAGGTCCGCCGTGAGGAGGTGCGTATTGTTGTGGGGGAGGTCCTCCTCCTCCACCATTTGCCACGGCCTTGACATCGGGTCGGTTTACGAGAGGTTGATGGAAGTTGCAGATACGGCATGCGACATCGACGTAGCCAGAGATAGACAAAGGAATAAGTGGCTGTGATTATTGTTAGTTGGCTGTAACGAAGAACCAGAGAAGAGGAGTCTTACAATCCAACAGAACGTGAACCATGGGTTGCTCTTCTGGACATGTGCTGCCATGTTACCACAGTGGTGACATTGGAATATCATGCCCTGATATTCAGAGACTTCCTTTCGGAAGGTGTGCTCGCCGCACACGAAGAAGAAGAACATTGTTGCGATTCGCCAACAGGAAGAAGAGGAAGCGGTGTAATACTACAGGCGAAGGTTCGTTGAAGTAGTGAGGCGTGCGATGTGATGTGATGTGATGTGTTGAAGAGAAGTTAACTAATGCCGATCCAGGAGCTGGGGTTTGAGGTCAAGTGGCGCGTCGTCGTAGTCGTAGTTTAGGCGGCGCAGTTTCTTGGCATGGAAGCTTTAAAGTTAAGGTCAAAGGTCATGCATGCACGTACCAAGCATGAATAGAAGGTATCTTAGCTTCATGACATTGATAAGAGATAAAGATTTATTCATCAGGAGTGCTAGCATTAGCTACCTTAGGTATTTAATAAAAAAGTACCTACATGAGAAGCAAGAAACTTGTTCAAACTAAGTGCCGGTAAAGGAGAGTTTCCATTTACAGGCACAAGAACAAGGTGATGACGAACCGGCAGGGGCTGGCTCTAGTGGAAACGCTGGCTGTGCACGGACCCCATCTTTTTACGACTAACAGAAGCTCACTGCTCAAGCTGCAGAAATGGATGCTCTACCTGGTGAGGCTTGGGGATTGGATTTTATACTATTCTTTTATTTTTAATATCTATCTTATGTTGGATATAATACTCTCTAAATGATCAAGATATTCAATAGACTCTGTATAAGACGGTCCGTTTCCTCTGCGACTTGTAGAGTGAAGGTCATGAAGGTAACTAAAAATACCTAAACTTTGCGGCGCAAAAAAAATTCGGCAGTAAATGCTAGCTTCCTACGCAAAGCTTTCCATAAACCTCCACAATCCATCATCATGCTTTACGATCTGAATATCGCCTGGTCACCAACGACCAAAGATGAACAGCTTCTCCAAACACTCACTCGCGCATCGACACTCGGGTACTCAACCGTCGCGCTGAACCACACGCTCACGCTACCGCTTCCCGCCAATAACACCGCGCCCTTCCCAACGATAGAACCCAAGCCAGGCTCCAAGCTTCCAAACATCCTCCACCGCGCGACTCTTCCTCTCTCAGACCCTTCAGCAAACAACTACCGCATCCCATCGCTCATCTCGACATATGACATCATCGCGGCCCGTCCACTGACGGATAAGGCTTTTCAGAATGCTTGTCTCACGCTCGACGTACCCATCATATCACTCGACTTGACGCAGGACTTGCCATTTCATCTTAAGCCGAAACCATGCATGGCTGCTATTAACCGTGGCATCCGCTTTGAGGTTTGCTACGGCCAAGTAATCAATGGCGATGACCGAGGGCGCCCAAGGTTTATCTCAAACTTGCAAAGTCTCATCCGGGCGACACGCGGCAGGGGCATCATGATTAGCAGCGAAGCCAAGAATGCGCTATCTTTACGAGCGCCTGCCGATGTGATAAACATGCTCAATTTTATGGGAGGGTTAAGCAATGAGAAAGGCTTTCAAGGTTTTGGTGAAGTGCCTCGATCTGTTGTGGTGAATGAGGGCATCAAGAGGAATGGTTTCAAGGGTGTTATCAACATCGTTGAAGTGGCCGAGAAAGAAAAGGGCGCGGAAAAAAATGAGGACGGAAAAAAAGCAAAGGGCAAGGGCCAGAATCAGAATCAAAAGCGAAAGACTGGCGAGGAGGATACACAGCAGATCAGTAAACGGCAGGCCAAGAAGATGAAGCTGGCCACGAGAAATGCAGCAAGTGAGAAGGAATAAGAAATTTGAGATTGGCGCTCTGGGACGCGGATAGGTAGACAGCATGGCATCATGATACCCATAGATAGATGCACAAGCTGACTGGTATGCTCTGGAGACTTGCTCACATTATTATAAGACTAGCTACAACATTACGAGCACGAATGCCCATTCGAAAGAAACCCCCAAGTCCGTCTCAAAGTTTTTACCATTCACATCATCGTCTCCAACGCATTTCAACCATAGACTCATGGCGTGCCAGTGGCGCGAGCCTTGAGGCCACCGTTTCCTCCAACCAAGTTGCCCAGGTTGAGCGCGCTGCTGAGCTTTGAGGGGTCGGACAGGTCGATAGGGGCTCGTGTCCTGGAAGCTGACTCGGCGTTGGCAGTCGTCGTGGGCTTGGTTCCGTCGAGAGCGGGCTGTGCGAGTCTTCCTGTGGTGTCGGGGCCCATGTTGCCGAGTTCCATTGAAGGAGCATATGTCTGTTGTCCTCCTTGTGTGGAGGAAGCTTCAACCATGGGTTCTTCGATGGAACTGACAGGCTGCTGAGGAGCGGTGGACTCCGTCGTAGCAGGTTGCGCAGCAGACGCAGTAGATTGTTCGGAGACTACGGGTCGTGTCGTCGCAGGCTTCTCAATAGAACTAGGTTCTACTGGTGCAACCTGAGTCGTGGCGGGCTGCTCAACAGAACTGGGCTCTTGAGGAGCAATCGCCGTGGGGGCAGGATTCTCAACAGGGTTGACGATGCTGGAAGGTTGCTGAGGAACAATAGTTTCCGATCTGATTGGTCCAACCACAGCAAAGGGATCCGATGCGAGTGTCGTCTTGGGCAAAAGGCTCTCGGGAATGGGGATCGTAGTGACACCAGGGTTGAACTTTCGACCAAGAGCATCATCAGACTCTGCGGGGGCTTGCACGGTGTGGATCACAGTAACAGGCGCCTGGGTTGAGTCAGTATTAGATATGAGTTTTGACCACAAGAACTTACTGGTGCTTCTCCTGGAATGATCACTGTAACAAGTTGCTTAGAGGAGTTAGTAACAGCTGAAGGATACAAGCTATGGGACTTACAGCCTGAGTAATAGTTTCAACGACAGGCTAGAAGTCGTTCAGTTAGCATAGAGGTCTCTTGAAATGTTTTCATACTACTTACAGGAGGTGCTGGTACGACCTGGGTAACATATTGAGTCATAACCTGAACCTGAGTGACATATTGAGTTTGGACTTGGTTGACGACTTCAGTCTTGGTTTCAGTGACAGTAACTGGAGGTACGTTGATGGTAACAGTCACAACCTCGCCAGCAGCAGCTTCAGCCTCGCCTTGAACAGTCTGAACAACAGTCGCCGTCTCTGTCTCGGTAACTTTTTGAGTGGCAGTTTCAGTTTCGGTGATATAAGACAACCTCAGTCTAGAGATTTGTTAATACGCAAACCAGGCTTCAGTGTTTTGTGGCTTGACTCACCCTTCGAACTTGAGTGCATGTGCAACCCCCTCAACCTCTGCCTGCCTCTTTTTCATTATCCCATGTCTTCCCGCGGCCTATTCGAGTCAAAGTCAGTCTCTTGACTTTGTAGTATCTCGGTGTAAGTCCAGTATCCTCACCTGCGCAACATGGGCGGCGGTAAGCCAAAGCAACAACTTCATGATGATCCAAGCTCCCCAATAACTTTCGGAATTCGATTTGGTGTAGTGAGTGAATGTTCCAACAGTCCAGCTGTGTATGAGTTTTTACGGTCCAGTTGTAAAGAGCGACAGATATAACAGTTCGACAATAGCGATTAAATCTCGGAGATGATATGTCGAGTAGGTATTAAAAGTCGTTCAGTCAAAGGGACAGTAAAAGAATGATTGCCCGGGGCAGAACAAGAAGAGAAGCCGTGACGATAGGTATAGCACCGCCGAGTCCAAAGCCCGGGCAGCACCAAACTTACAAAGTCAATCAATGAAAGAGCGAGCGATTGACAAGGTCACAACGGATAGAAAACAATAAACACAACACAACAACACAAATCAGAATTCAAAAAAAAGGTCAGAAGCAAAGGGAGGGGGGGGGGGGAGAAGAGAAATGGGATGATTCAGGTTTCTTCAGACCCAAGTCAAGCCGCGCCTCGCCGCCGCACACACCGTCGCAGACGAAGCAGGGGCACGTTTTGGTGCATCATGGTTCTGGAATCTGAGGCTCAAACGGAGACTTGTGACGCTTGGGGTTAGGACGAGCTAGGGTTGGAGTTTGGGGATGAGCTAAGGTTCAGGGGTAAAAAGACGCTATCGCGACAAGGAGTTTGAGGGAATCAGGCATATTATTTGGTGATGACTGAAAGACCAGGTTCATGATCTGCATTGTAAGCTTGCTAGTTGATAACTTTATCGAAATTGAATATAAACTCGCGGTTTGGTGACCATATCCCGACAGTTCAGCTCAATATCAGAGTCTTCATCAAAAGACTTGGCACTACCTGTCAAGATGGGACTAGAGGGGGCTAATCAAGGCACCACCGTTTGCCGGGACTTGGCAATAGTTACCGAGACGAGATATGTTGCGATAATATCAAGGAAGTTTTAGTAAGCGCTCGACAGGCAATGCGCTTCTGCAATGTTATCACAAGAGAGTCAACGGAGCGGCCATCTTGGCGGCCAAAATGCAGGTACAGCAAAGTATCACGAAACGGTCTCTCCCGCTGTGGTCTTATACCTCATGAAAAAAGAGGCCATTCTCGAGAGCGAATTACCATGGTAAAAACAAAGCGAAAAATGCCTAGAATTCTCCATCAATAGCGAGACGCAACTGAAGCACCCCTTGTTCATCCGAGGTTTCGGGAGGGGGCCCGACCTCGCTACTTTGAGTGTATCGGCCGAAGTGCCAAGAGCCATTCAAGAGGCCTCGTTTGATTACACTACCGGAAGCTAATAGACGTCAAGTTTCGAGTTGACAGCTCTTGATTAATTGATCAATTTACTTACAGAATAAGGCTGAGTCTATGGAATCTGCGTATGAACTGTAAGATATCCGTGCTGAGTGCTGTTAAAAGAAACTCTTTGACTTGTTGGTGCTCAATAAACTTACAGCGATGATATACAGGGATGATGATAGATGCACGTCATTATTGGGGAAAGGTTAAAGGCAATGCCGTTGCAAATATACGGTTACAATTTTAACAAGGGATTGTGCCATTAGGCTTCTAAACAGGCCAAGTAAATTACCATGACCTTGTCAATACCTAAGCAATAATAAGCCCACTAACACAGGTTCATCACCAACATACGTATTCACTTGGCTGTTTACCGCAACATAGCCTCAGAGAGGAGGACAACTTCTGACATCTGATAAGGGTGCCAAAATAAGTAGTCTAAAGACCTACTAAGTATATACTAAAGTTGCCAAAGTCTATCCCAAACTTACCAAGGTTTTTTTAAATTTGTGATGGAGATTCTTAGTTTTCTTGCCTTCCCTAGAATAGCTATCATGGCTAAGAAAACTCCTCAAAACACAACTCATCATTTCATACTATGAATATGCTATTCGTTTATTGCGCCTATTCCCATGATATCACATCCTAACGCTCTCACCAGGTGACATGTTTCAACTCCAAAACCCACAATCTGCCTCATCAAGACTCACCAACGCCATAATTCATCCCATCATACTCATCCACTCATGTTATCATCACCATTCACCCCAGCAGAGCTCGAGGCCCGTTGACTAACAGGCATGTTACAACCCGAGCTTCCAACAAGATCACCAGGCTGATCCAGCTCCTCCTGAGTTGATCCATAGTCCGTATAGCCGGACTCTTCAGAGTGCGTTTCAGAACCTTCGGGAATAGGAACCATGGCCGTCTTGGTCCAGATATGAATCGCTCGCTTCCAGTCCAGGCCATCAAGACATCCTCCTTTCACGGAGATGACGTTTTTTGACTAGATTCGGTCAGTATGAGATGAGTAGGTAGTAAGCCAAGATGCGATTACGTACAGGCGTTGAGTGAATGAGACGAGTTCCGCATTTGCGACAGAAGTAGCTGTTTGTAACAATTAGCGCCCAGTCAAACAAACATGAGGCTTCTAAAACACCTACCAGTAAAGTTGATGTCCTGAGGCTGTAGGTCGACTATAATGCCCCAAGCCAGTTAGTCCAGCTCGTAACACCAAACAGTTGTTTCCTACCTGTAAACGCTCAGTAGATCCGTGTCAGGCAACTCAAATCGAGGAAAGATGGCAGAAGTGCCAAACGCTGAACCTGTTTGTCGTCTACAAGCATCGCAGTGGCAGATGTAGAGCGCCAGAGGCTGAGGGAGGGGAGTCTTGAAGGTCACTGAACCACATTGACACCTGGCCTCCATGATTGCGAATGAAAGAACGATTCAATTGGACGGCGTGGCTAAGAGTTTCAATGGTGACGAGATTCGTAAGCAGAGTTTCGATTCTCAGTTCAAAACGCCGTTTCGCAACACACGAAACCCGAGGTGGAGGTTTCGATACTGCGCCGTGTGGAGGCGGGGTTCAGTAATCGCCAATTGGATGCCAACTTCAACAAAAGAATGAGGCTTGAAGGATTCAACTTGATTCAAACAACACTTATAAAGAAGAAACACACGGAGTATTACTAACACAGTCGAACAAATTCCCCCCCGTTATCGCTCAGAGATAAAAGAAAGTTTGACTCCGCGTTTGCAGTGCTACTACAGTACGTGACTCATGCGGCACAGTCTGGCGAGACTCGCGCGAAGTCACATGGGGTAGAAAGACGTCCTAATTATTGTCCCGGGCTTACTACAGCGCCATTTGCTTATCATATGTAATTATTACTGTTATTCATCGTCACTTTTTCTTATCTGATTCGTGGATATCCTCGGCATTTAGCCTAGATATGCCTCGAATAGCCTCGGATTTGCTGTTGTATGCGGTGTGGAAGCAGCCTTTGTTCTGGGCGTTACACTTTGCTTTGTGGAACGGTCGTCAACGGTCAGATGTTGAAACTTGGAATTGGATTGGGCTATTTCCAATTGTGCAAGCCAAAGTGTTGTTTCTTGTGACGTCTTCCTATTCATCGGAGTATTTGTAATATCATTTACATGACACGATGGGTATCAACAGGTTACTGGAGGGCAGAAACGGCATTTGTAGGTATATCATTCTCAGTATAGTACAAAAGACAGGTGCCAACTCCAATGCTACCAATACTAGGTAGTCCCTAGCTCAATTTCGTAGACTCGAACTCCGTGATACAGTGCTATATCAATGCCAATGCAGATATCCAATCTTGGCCAGCAAGAACTCCGTCACGACATAACTCATGAACCATCATACCCAAGCAAACAACTATGCACGAGCTCTCGTAGACCTTTCCGCTATCATGTTATCTGCCAAAGCCGTCGTGACAGCTCCAACTTCCGTCTCTGGGTTTCTCCACCCAACATCACTCTTGATCCATTCCATCTTCTCCTGTACCTTTTCCGTACAAACAACTACAATTCTTCCCAGCCCTGCCTCCCTCAACTCTGCTTGCAGCGTCTCACACCACTCAAGCTTGTCCAAATCGCTCATCTCTCTCGCCACAACCTCCATCTCAACCCTCTCCAGTTGTTCCATCAGGGCAAGTCCCTCGCCGACCCATCGCCGTGCCGCCTCGGCCCTACGCCCCACTCCGCCTCCGAACGCGGGGCCCGTCACCACCGATGTACTCGCTCCGAGGACCATCTTCATCCGAAGTCCTCTGACCCCAGATGCCCATTCAGTACACAAGGCGCGCCATTCCTCACGACCTGCGCCTCCAACCACTACGTCTCGTGCAAGTACTTCCAACCGAACATAGCGGAGAGAACCTCGCTGCCATGGAGCTAGGGCTCGAGTGAAGGCACGGGCGGCCCAGAGGCCTGATGCGAACCAGTTTACAAAGACAAACTCGTTCTGTGTGAATGGTAAAAGACGTGCTTCGCTGTAAATCTGGCGGTTCGTGCGAAGGAGACTCGTTGGAAGACCCGAGAGGGGACGGTATGGCGATAACAGTCCCAGGTCTTTTTGCTCGTCACGATTCGCTTTATCCTCTTTAGATGAAGTGTCTGTATCGACTGTCTGAAGAATGTATTGGCAATGCACTGGGGTTGGATACCATGGTGCAAGCTGTGCGTGGCGAACTGGACACATGAGGTGAAGCCAGTGGTAAATATGAAGTCGAATTTCGAGAGGCAATGATAGGAAAGTGAGTTTGTTGTCAGCTTTTTCGGTCGCGAAGTGTAGCATCGAGCGTGGTATGGCTTCATTGATCGGCACGATTTCCATATGCGGTTGAGACGCTTCTGAGATATGGGTATATGTATCAGGAGGCATGCCAGCGCCGTGGCAACATAATTGATAAGAAGCCATCATCACGGAGCGTGAATTGCGTGAAGATGGCAGCTCAGGGAATGATGATGACGAGATGATGTTCAGTCCAGCTTCTCCTCACAGATGTATAAGTAGCCCATCATGTCTCCAATATTCCGCAGTGCCAGAAAGCACGACGCTCAGATAAGGTTATCAATTGTCCCGATATTTTTCTCAATGCCACAGTCTCGTGAGCTCAAGCCATGTGCTGTCAAAAACGCGGGGAATGGGTAGCTTTGACGCTGAGGACGTTTGAGTGACGACATGGCTGAGCATGGCGACGAATGATTGATGCAGATGCACGCGCGAATCGGCCACAGCCGACTTCAGGTCAGCTTACTGGACAACCTGGGCTTGGCGCGATGAAGCTCTAGCTTGAAGCTAATATCTACATAGAATTGAGGATGAGAATTGGAATGAGGTCAGCTTAGAATACCAATTGGTTTTCAATGTCTCCAACTCGAGCTGAGATGTCCTGTTCTCAGTCTGGTCATGAAGCAAAGTGCCGAGATATTCGTATAGAGTATTGTGGAGAAGTTTCGTAATAAGACTGTATAATGCACTGCTTTCAAACTGTACAGTCGAAGCGATATTAGGACTCGAAAGCCGTCTGTGATCGCCGACTAGATACTGCTATCCTAACGCATCAGACCTAAACAGCCGTCAGCTTATCTCACTACTAAACCGGGTATATCAACACAAAACCACTCACTCGCAATCCCTCAAAACGCCTTCGAGCTAAAATAGTTTGCCAACCTGATGGCAGAATGCCACAACGCCTCTGAGTTTGACCATCAGATCACTTGCTCATGAAGGAACAAACCCTTGCTGAGGTTGTTGCTGTTGGTCACTGGGTGGTATGTTGATACCTTGGAGTCCCTTGTAGACATCCACTTTGCGCTCATACTCAACGTTGCGCGGCACCTCAAAGTCTCCCCGTGCCGCAAACCAAAGCAATGTCTCTGGTTCCGCTCCTCGCACCTTGACTTCCGGGATCTCTGGCTTCTCTGGCTCCTCATCATCTTCCTCTTCGTCGCCTTCCTCCTCGTCCTCTTCTTCTTCTTCTTCATCATCTATAGGCCTTCGTAGACCAGTGCGTACGTTTTTAACTCCATTTGCACGTTCTTCCGCCGTATAGGGTTCGCTGTTTTCGGTCGATATGAAGTGAATTACCCGGTCCGAGAGCCAACTTCGCAATTCGCGCCAGATTTGTTCTAGAGATTCCAGACCCTCGGGTGTAGCGAGTCGTGCTGTTTCGAGACCTTGACTGACGAATTCTTCGACGTCGGGTTCGAGTTTCTTGCGCAGGAGTTGGAGAAGTACGTTTTCTTGGGTTCGGCCAGGGTAATTCGTCGATGGACGGATGGCCATGCGATTGAAGAGGTCTGCATTTTCGTTCGTGCTCTCTAGAAGCGACTTGAGATTCTTTTGAAGAATTTTGGCTGAAGCTTGAATTGATTTTCTAGTGGGATGTATTAGCTGCTGTCTAACGATGGCGTACTGCGGTGTAGAGGCATACGGAGGTGGCAGAGGATTGCTCTTCAGTAGATCCTGCCTGAAGCTCTGCACGCTGCTGGACAGCTGAGCTACCTTGCTCAGTGTCTGTTCAAGAGCTTTGAGCTCATCGTCATCCAGATTAAGAGTGGCCATGATGCCTCCGCCGGAAGTGGTAGGATGTTGATTGTCGTTTCTTCTGGTTGCAAATGGTCTGCAGCTGACGAATGATGCTGCAAAATACACGATGACGATAGCCAATGCTACTCCAAAGGAAGTACGCTTGATGCTTGGTAATTAAAGTATTGGATGTTGGTAAAAGAAATTCGGGTTTGACGCGGGGCATTTCAAAGCTTCCAGAACAAAGCGCGTCCGTCACCGCACACCGAGCTCGGTGTAGCGGAGCTTCCCCAAAGCTCAGCTCAAATATCAAGCCTGGCAGTTCAGGCACAAAAGCCTCCCCTTATATCACCACCCTACTCCGTACGGAACTTTTTAATAGAACACCTAGACCCTGAAACAGGCGGAGATCTCTCCACTCACCCCAGATTCTGATAATTTCATCAACGTCATGGGCCATTTTGCGACATCAGCGCCAAAATCACACAATCTGCGCTTACATGACAAGCTCCGTGGATGCCGCCGTAGCGACGTCGATCTTACAGGGCGATCGGCCGCATCGGGCCCGGAAACCGACACTCCGCTGTTTCGGAGGATGATATTTGTGATATTATTGGAATTGTGAATGATTTGGACACCCAAGTTATTGGCTGGATGTTTCTCGCAGCTCATAGTAATCTGATAATACGAAATGATACTGATTGATAATCGTCATAAACAGCTACTAGCTTGATATCAGCTCGACGTTGCTGAAAGTTTCTAAGCTACAGAATTAGATTGACTGGCAGGCCGAAAGGTACACCAAAAGTTCTTAAGCTCATTAGAGTTTCATTCAATCAATTTATGGCTTTTCATCAATTTAAATACAAGAAATCATAGCTGGCTATGCTTGATGCGAAAAAGTGTTCATAAATTCAACATCTTCCATGCTGTAATAACATCAAGAATAACCGCTAAAGTGAAAAACGCCGAATCAAAAAGATACCTCGGTCATAGCTCATAAGATTTTGGGGTGTGAAGTTTAGCTGTTGCGAACATGGGATACAGCCTTGCTCTCGTATCCATTGGCATCGACAAATGGATAACGAGCTCGGCGTTCCAGATCATCAAGAGGGATGGTGGAGCGGATGTACCTGCGGCGTATGGCGTTAGCACGTCTTAAACTATGCGATGATGTGATTTCGTGGCTTTCCGGCGCATCGATCACTTGTGGGGAGGGTTTGGATTGTCCACTTACTTCTTCCTGCCATCGTCATCGGGGTTGAAGTCCCAGCTAGTGAACTCACCCTCCTTGAGAGCGTCCCACACAACTCGTCGTGTGCGTTGAGATAGAAGAACCTTCTCGGTGATTTCATCAAAGTCCCAGCGAGCATGGGCCTCAGCCTCGAACTTGTGGAAGACTTCCTTGGCTTCCTCCTGCTCGGGTGTCTGTGGTGCAATCTTTCTGAAACGGGCGAGGTTGTCCAATTCCTTAGGGTCGCGTGCAAGGTTGTAAAGTTGAGGCTCATCAGCTGGGCAGGTGATGTACTTCCAATCGCCTCGTCGGATCATCATCATAGGGCGAACAGTACCTTCACCAGTGTACTCTGCGATAACAGTGTCGTGACCTTCGCGGCCTTCGAGATGCGGTAGCATGCTGATTCCATCCATTGGCAAGTAGGGTGATGGCTTAGTGCCAACCAAGTCGCAGATCGTTGGTAGAAGATCGAGAGTTGAAACGTTTTGAGTGACGCGGTGGGGAGTGAATCGCTTGGGGTAGTTGATCAACATGGGAACTCGAACAGATGACTCGAAGTAGCTCATCTTGTACCAGAGTCCACGCTCACCCAGCATGTCGCCGTGGTCGCCGCTGAAGATGACAATGGTGTTCTCGGCCAGACCCGCATCCTCGAGTGTCTCAAGAAGGCGACCGATGCAGTCGTCAACATAGCTCACTGAGCCGTAGTAAGCTCGCTTGGCGCGCTTGATCTGCTCCTCTGAAAAGTCCTGGTCCCAAAGGTCGCAGACCTTGAGAAGGCGTTGGCTGTGGGCATCAAGGTCTTCCTTGTTCATCTTCACCTCAGGTAGGGCGATGTCGACATCCTCATACAGGTTCCAGTACTTCTTGGTGATGGTGTAAGGGTCGTGTGGGTGAGTAAGCGAAACAGTCAGTGCGAAAGGTCGCTTCTTAGGTCCCTCTCGGACGTGATCCCAAAGGTATTGAGTGCTCTTGAACATGACCTCCTCATCGTAGTCGAGCTGGTTGCTTCGGCCACAGGGACCAGCTTGGAGAATGGAGCTGGCGTTGTGGTACCACTCAAGGCGGGTGTCAGGCTCATCCCAGTTCACCGCCCAACCAAAGTCACCAGGGTAGATATCACTGGTAAGTCGCTGTTCGTAACCGTGAAGTTGGTCACCGATGAAGTGCATCTTGCCAGCAAGAGCAGTGTGGTAACCCTTGGAACGGAGGTAGTGGGCATAAGTTGGCACATCAGAGCCAATCTGGGCAGCGTTGTCGTAAGCACCAATCTTCATAGGTAGTTGGCCACTGATCAAACTCATGCGCGAGGGAGCGCAGAGTGGTGAGGGGCAGTAAGCAGAGTCGAACTGGACAGCAGTTGAAGCAAGACGGTCGAGGTTTGGTGTCTTGATCTGAGAGTTGGGGTTGTACATCTTGAGTTGAGGAGCAGCCAGTTGATCGGCCATGATAAAGAGGATGTTGGGTGTCTCAGACTCTGAGGAGAGCTGAGGAGCAGCCATGCTCTCTCCATTAGAGGGAGGGAGGGAGTTGAGATCGGGAGCCATTATTATTTGGCTCGATTTAGAGGATGGTAGAATACGAGGTCTTGGTGTGAATCTCCTGAGATAGCTTGATGCTTTCAAACACTAGAAATGGGTATCTAGAGACGTGTGCTTGAAGAAAAGAAGTATTGAAAGAGGAGGGTTTAGTGAGGAAGTGTCGAAAGGTAGAAAGGTGAGTGCGGATGAGTGGTTAAATAGATACAAAGATATGCAGGATGTAGGTGGAGTTTAACTAGGGTTTGTCATGGAAGTCGACTTAATGCTTCTAGCCAGCTGTAACCCGAAGCCTCGTGAGTAAGTAAATGCGGAGAGGTACTAGATTAGTTTATCAAGGGAGTAGTCTCGTGATATCCCTGTTAGGGCTATGATTCAGATGAATGAGTGAGAGCCTAGAGGAGGTGGGCGATGAGCGGATGGTACGGTACGGAGAGGCAAGGCAACACCTTGGCACACAGACACGGCGTATGCATTTATCATCTCACAGGGGTCAGAGTGGAGGAATGGGGGAAATAAGTAGATCTGCACGAGGGTGAATAATGCCCGTGGGCGAGCGAGTATTTGGTGGGAAATAAGAAGATAACTAATGTGAATATCCCGATGACAAGAGGCCAAAAGAGGAATAGCAACCGGTGAGGTGATTGACGCCACAAGTTTTGCAATCGAAAAGGAGTGGGAACAATGTCTTGTCTCGTCTCATCTTGCCAATCTTTTGACTTTTGAGAGGCAAAGCAATCAGCCAGAAAGAAGAGAGAACAGTAATGTTAAAAATGAGCTGGGGTGTGTCTAAGTTCTTTTGATGTGGAGGCGGCTCATAGCGGTGGGCTTTTTGGCTTTGGGCCCACAGTAGCTTAGCTTTAGGGGTGTGTCTCCTACGGTAGCAGCAGCAGCAATAGCCAGGGGTTATTCCAATAAACCGTGTCCGGGTTCCCATCATGCAGAAAGAGGATCTGTAAGATGAGTCTAGGGGGGCGTGTGCAGATTTCTTCCAGAACATGGGTGCTGTAGCACATGCAATTATCCGAAAGTCCACCTTATTCTTGAGGCCAACCTCGAACCCGACGTCTTGGACCAAGAGTTTTACCATGAACACAAATTGAGTCACGAGGATCGTGATTAACACGTATGCATTGTTCGTTCTCAGATAACCTTTTTTGGTTATCGCCATCAGTCTTACGAAATTACAACCCTGTCGCTTGGTATCATTGTGTTTCTCCGTAGACACAATTAAATGTAATGTCTGGCTAATACACCACCATTTACAAAATGATGGTGTTTAGGAAGATATGGGAAATGAGTGTCATATCACATGCTCACTTATTTAACTACCCTTGTTTTGTCTATCGTGTTCGTCTTGATTCCAGTTACGCTTCTGAGATACGGCGGCGGTATGTAGATAACCGTCTACGAAGATTCTTAAGCCAATGCCACTACACAGATGGTGCATATCCCACGTTTGTGAGACTGAGAACGCAAGATACGGGTAGAAACGTTGCACATCAGGTCTTCAAATCGTGTTTCGAATGTGTAAGTTAAGACTCACACAAACTTAATACTTAAGTCTATTAATTCATGTCGTGTAATACCTGTTGAGTTGTCTGTTGTCATTTGATCATCGCCAGCCAAAATGAAGATTCCATTGGATCTGTCTGTTTTACTTTATGCAAATACAAGGGAATAATCTTGGCAGCGCAGGGGTTCCAAGCGACTACTCGATTCGGCCATCAGCCAACCACGATTGGCTCATCAAATTCTTGTCCAGTCCTTCCCTGGCCAAGCCCAGAACCCACAGAGATTGACAGCTGGAACTCTAGTGTAGATTTACCCCGGCCCGGGCTCTCACCTTTACCTTAGACTCTCTGCTTTATCATCCGCCAGCCGCGAAGCCACTTCTGCTCCATCCATCCCATCATGGTCGAGAAGCATCATCGTCATGCATCATACATTACAACGTCCTCAATAGCTCCAGGTTGACAAGTCACCAATATGTAACGCTCACCAACAGCCTCCTGCAGGCTCTTGCAGTCGCAAGGACAAGATCTTTACAACATGATATTCCATGATGGTTATCAGTCATAGGCATGCATAGTGCTACCCTCATCCACGAAACAGAAGCGATGTATATCAACAAGCATAACAATGACCGTGCTTCGATTCATCACATGAACCACGATCTCCGTTGCCCACATCTTGGCGTTCAACTTATAACATCGTCGTGATGTTGATACATCAGTCTCAACGCACGCACATGCCGTCCGTCGTACTGGTCGCCTTCATCTTCCCCACATGCGCCTGTCGAAGCCTTGTCTACTGTCGTCCCCCGTTTCGTGCAAATCCGACGATGCAGCATGCAAGCCTCAGTGATAAGGATGCGCTTCGTCCCACCATCTTTTCAGGAATCGGCCTCGATTTTAGTGGGTGTAAAGGTTGTTCAAGCGCCACCGTCCTCGGGTCTGAACGACGCACTGGCTCTCTTACGCCATAAGTCGGTCCCTGCATCCTTTATCTGCACTTCCTTTCCCCTCCAAGGTCTCGAAAAATTCAACCTCCAAGAATTGTCTATACGGTGCATGGATATCCTACACGGTACTGTACAGCCCCGCGAACTGACCCCCTCTCCCCACCGTGTGAAGTCACTGTATAGGTAATTCTCACAACCCTCACGCGATCCACAAGACGACAATCCCCTCCTGTTGCATTCATCAGCTCGCCATTCCACCGCCCGCCACGTCCTGCGTCTGTACGCATCCGAAATGTCCGCCCTCGCTCGTTCTGACACGCACGCATTTCGTATTCTTCTCCTCCCTCCCACCGTCGATGGTGTCCGTCTGACCACACGTTGGGCTAGAGATGAGACCAAGGTCAGGAAATGAGACAACGAAGCAGAGCAGTCAGTAAATATTAGACAATCGAGTATTGAAGCGCCGGTTTTCGTTGTCAATCCATGTGTTGTTGTGAGGCTATGGGAATATACGCCCAACACCGGCAAAGGCATTACTTGGGACACACCAAGCGCATTTTCCTTAGTGCCATAACGCCTTGTCAGCTTGCGATGGTGCAATCCTGGGGCCGTCGACCACTTTCCTAGCAATTCGGCCTTTACGGACTAAGCGCCTGCAACCTTTGATCTTCCCAAAGTCAATTGATTGGAATTGGTCTTGAGTTGCCGAGTATGGAGACAATCACCTCTTTCCAACTCCCGATGTCGACATTGAAATATCGGACCATCTCCTGTCCTGGAAATCCTTCAATTGACCCGCCGCGTCTCCCGGCTCGATTTGTTTCATCTTTTCTACAAAGTTCGGGCATTGCTTGCAGCAATCCCTTTGTTCCGGCTATTTCGAACTGTCAGGGTCTGAAATGAAGGATTTGGCTGAAGCTGTTGATCACTTCACGAGCCGCAAGTCGGCTGGACACATCTTATCAACCCACCACGAAGAGCCGAGAAACGAAACGTTGTGTTGCACAGCACAAGAACAACTCATTAACTGCCACACGTGCGAACTGGGAATTTTTTTGGTCACATTTTGTCCAGATCCATTGATTGTTGAGTCATTGAAACAAACTGCCTGAGAAACTACCCCACGGTCGTATCGAGTCCAGGTCACCTCCGTCTAGAACGGGAACCAGCAGGATATGCTTATAAGCAGATTCCAGCCCAGACCGAGACAACTCAGTTCCTTGCCTCGTCTCCTTGATTGCGCCTGGCTCTCGACTGCTATCCGAAGAGGTTGAAAACATGAACGTTCAATTGGCTCCTTGTGCCAAGAGGGTGATGTTGACCAAATACCATGACTGGTAGTAATGCACCGTAGCACTTGTCCCATGTATTCGTCCCAAAAGCTTGACCGAAGCCATCCTTATCTCTCTGTCGTTTTGACTAACAGGCCGCCAACCAAGCAAAGCCGTTCCTTACCGCTCACAGACAACCCTGGCTCGAGATTACTTCTAAGTTCTCGGCAAAGAACTAACCACCGAACAAACCTCACGCGACCATTATTTGCCAGCCATTCTCAAATTGATGGTCTATGCACATTCCTTTCCCTTCTTGTGCTTAGCCTGCTGGCTACGCATCTGGACCCTGATACGACGCCGAATACACCGAATCCTCGTCCTCGTTGATCCATTCATCTATCCCCTAGTAAGTTTATCTGCTGCCTAGTTCCAGCAAGCCAAACTCCCGGAGACGTGCCTATCAAGATTGCCTCTCTTTCTTGTTGGCCTCGACTCAAGGAGAACCCTGTTAGCTTGCTCTGTTCTCCACCAAAAAGTTGTCCTGGCTGGCTCTGTCTCCTCCTGCGCAAGTTTCCATGAAACTACTGTTAACTGGCCAATCATGGCTTAGCCTCTCCGACAGCCGATGACCGACAACCTCTTCCCTGGAGAAGACAACTCTCTTGTTGTGTGCTGACAACTCTAGAATCACAAGGATATGAAGCGAACAATGATGCGTTGAATATACAGTTCGTTATTTACTGTTTGCGGTTATTACAATACCTAGAAGATATAAAACATGAACTTGAATGACATTTCATGCATTATACCAATCAAACTGATATCCTAACAATTCAAACCCTTCCGTCACATCGAGCTCGCCTGCTTGCTCGCTCGCTCAGCTCAGTCAGCCATGAAGCCACAATAAGAAGGATGAATACAAAAAAAGCAATCCCCTTTCCGACTTCACTCCAATGCCCTAAAATCCGTCATGAGTTGCCATATTTTACCGTCATTGTAGTGATGCACCCTGTGCGCTAACGCTCCTCCCATACAAATCAGCCTGAAAAACACCATTACTTTGTCTGTCGCACAAACACCCTTTCCCATCACGCCAGTTGCAATGCTCGTCCAGTCTTTTCCCCCTTCTTCCTTGAAACATAGGTATCGTATGGCATATATCGCCTCCTATAAAGTGGATTCGGACCGTCCCTCCAGGGGCCAGCCGGTAGAAGTATAGATTACATCCCTGCCTCTTACTGAGTTCTATAGAACTTCTTGTAGAGGAGATGCAGCAGCAGATTAACATTGAGTTTGAGACTGCCCTCGAACAGAGTCATGAACTGATGCGCCTCGAACTGAGCCTGCAAGAGGTCCTCAATGGGCACCAGAGCACTGGCTCCGGGGATCTGGATGTGTCCTCGCGAACCCTCAAGGCTGAAGACACCTACTTCGTCACATGAGATGGTCATGTTGATCTTCTCAAAGTCGTTGATGCCACTCCATGACACCAGCACACCCTTCTCGGAGAGAGCACGCGCGCTGTACTTGTAACTGCCGAACTTGGGTACACGGCCGCTACGTTCCAGTTCACGCTGGTGGTTGTATTGCTTGGTGAAGGGTAGCAAGAACTTCTTGCGGCTATTAAAATGTTAGTCATTGTATCACAGTAACGTTACAGAAGATACTTACCCCTTCTTGTTCTGCAGGGTCGCCATGGCTGACTCGATGTAGTCGTCGTAACTCTTGCGCTGCTGCTCGAGATACTTGGCCTTCTCGTGCAAGTTGCTTAATGTCATGCGCACACCTTCCAACTCTCGCTGTCGCTGAACCCTTCTGCGGCTCTTTGTGCGAATATCAAGCGCAATGGCGTTGAGGACATCCTGGTAGTAGTTGTGCTTGGTGATACGTCCCAGCTTCTCGAGTCGCATGATATTCTCTAAAGCTGTGCGCTTGAGCTCTTGGTATGTCATACGTGTTACGTCGATCATGTTGGCATCAGAGTAGGCTCCACGAGTGTTGCTGCCAACAGAGAACTCGTCACGGAGGAGCATACGCCACTTGTGGTCATCCTCTGGGGAAATGGGCTTGACGAGAATGTCCAGGAGATTGGCGCCAGTCTGCACACGAATAATATACAGCACGCATCGCTTGGTCTCCATAAAGAGTGCCTTGACATCAGCCTCAGGGTCGTCGACATCGTGGAGCTTGGGTGTCAAGAACATGTGGATATCTGAAGAGCCTGCAGCGTTCATCTCGTTCTCGTTGTTCTTAGCACTGCCGAGATCGTGCATGATTTCCCGCAGGACGTCGTCACGGCCGGGGCACATTGTCTGAAGCTCAGCGGCCACCAGGTTGTGAATGGAGAAGACGTCTGTCATCTTGATGTATAATGTTGGCTTGTTCTTGGCGTAAAGGTCGTTGAACTCATCAATATCAAATGTTCTCTCGGCATCGGGCACTGCAATCAGGTCGCTGGTGATTTGGTGCAGGCGCTCAACAGACTCTGCAACAAAAGCGTTCAGGGGTTGCAGATACACGTTCTCACCACCGAATGGTCGACCAGAAGCGATTTGGCTGATGACCTTGGCGACCTCGCTGAGGTTTCGCTTTTGCAGGGGGCTCAGTGCTTTCTCAATGACACCAACGTTTTCAGGGGCAACAACTGCTGGTTGCAAGTAGAATCGCCAAAGCCAGCTGGAGACAACTTGCAGAAGGTTCTCTGGGGGTTCCCGCTTGAATTGCTGTCGTAGATTCTCGAAGATCTGGTTGCAGACAAATCGAAGGCCGTAAGGCATCTTGTGCAGGAAGTCCTCAAGGGCGAGGAAGAATTGGTCGCAGATCTCTCGAAGGTCACGCAAGTGGTCGATGAAGAGGCGGCGAGTCTCGGGGTCGCGAATAGCAACTTCTCGAGGAACATCAAGCGGCCTTTGGTCAGGTCGTCCAGTGGCCAGCTCAGTATTGTTGATGGCTGATCGGTAAATTTGCATGGGATCACTCTCAAGATCTAGAGCAGGGTCTTCAACTATGTTGTCTCTGATCAGAGGACCAAGAAGATCTCGAAGGTACTTGCGATCTCTTGGTGAGCGAGTGTAGTTGTTGAGAAGCTTAGACCAGAAGAAGTTGCCGCGGATGAAGTCCTGAACATCTCGCGCACTGACAATCTCCTCGCGAATTGATCGAGCAATCAACTTGAGCAGATAGTACTCCTCTCGTCGCTTCTGGGCGTAACCGAAGAGGCTCATCATCAATAACTCGATGCGTTTACACTCCTTCTCAGCTGTTCCTTGTTCACGAATGCGCTTGAACAGGCGAGCGAGGTACTGTGGCTGGGTTTGCAAATTGAAGAAGAGTTGCTGGTAGGATTCGAGCTTCTTGCGCGAGCTCTTGTTGAGTGCTTTAAGATCAAACTGGTTGGCAGAAGACATGGAGCTGTTGGCGATGAAGTGCATTGAGTTGCCTCCATAGTTGTGTTGATGCCTCACGACTTCGTCGAGTGTAATCTTGTTCTTGACCAAGAGGGCAATCTTGATATCAAGTTGATCGATGTAGTTCTCCAGCATCTCATTCTGTCGAACTTGTTGAACGACTGTCTTGCGGATACGCTCAAACTCGATTTCTTCGTTGAAGTCGAAGTCACTGTCGTTAAGAAGATGGACAAAGTTCTTGACGGCGTTGACTGGAGGGTTCTTTCCAGTGGTCAAGCTCTTGTAAGCCTCGCCTTGAACCTTGGCACGGACAAAACTCTGGATCTTGATGACTTTTTGCATGTTCTCATTGTAGAAGCGCCTCTTCTCCTCAAATCGAGCCCTTACGATAAAACCTCGGGCTGCGGTCTGGAAGGCAACGATACATTCCTCCTCTTGCTCCAATTCGGCCATGATATCCTCAACTCTAGCGCGCTCCATCATGGCACGTAAGATGCTTTGGAGGTCAATGATCTTAGGGGTATGAGATTCAAGCTCCTCGAGGAACGCCTGGTGCTGCTGGCGGTACAAGAATCCCCGGATGTTGCCCTGGAGGGCTGTGACCTGAGGTTCTTGCTCCTCGAGCTGTTCGAGGATGGCTGCAACTCTTTGGCGTTCAAGCATGGCCCTAATAAGACCTTGGAGGCCGATAACTGCAGGTTCGCTCTCCTTAAGAGCATCGAGAGTATCAGCAACATCTCTCCTCACAGCAGCGGCGCGAGCAAAAGCTTGAAGCTGCTCAACGCCAGTCGTGTGCTTGTTAAGCTCAGCTCTTAATGTCTTGTCGTCTTGGCGAGCGCGGAGTCCACGGGCAAAAGCTTGAAGTCGTTCCACAGCTGGAGCGTGTTGGCTGAGTTCAGTTCGTAGTGCCTGGTCATTCTGGCGAACACAGAGTCCGCGAGCAAGAGCCTGGAGCTGCTCAATCGCGGGGCTATGCTTGTTGAGCTCAGATTTTAGAGCCATGTCGTCCTGACGAGCGCGGAATCCACGGGCAAAGGCCTGGAGCTTCTTCCATTGGGGTCCAAAGGAGCGTAGATGCTGCTGCTCGCGGTTGACCTGAGTTCTAGTCAGCAATGCCCTGGCCGCTGCCTGCAGGTCAACAATCGCTGGGGATTCCGCCTCCAACTCTTCAAGATCCTGGTCGACTTTGCCTCGTAGCAAAGCTCCACGGGCTGCTGCTTGCAGCTTCTCGACAATACCAGAAGATTCCTTAGTCTCTTGGTATTGCGCAACATGGCTCTTGCGGGCCAAAAAGCCCCTGGAGATTGCTTGGATCTCCCTGATGGGCCCTCTACATTTCGCAAGCTGAGCAGTCACGTTTCGTACCTGGTTTCGAGCCTTGTTGGCCCTGATCATGGTTTGCAACTCCAAAATATCGGGCTCGAGCGCTTCCAAGATCTGATCGCGTCGATCCAACCTTCTTCGTGCCAAGAATCCGCGTGCTGAGCTCTGCAGTTGGATAGCAAAGCGCTTCATCTGCAGTCGATAGTCCATGATTTGTCGTGTAAAGTCTCCTCGAATGCGAGATTGGAGATCTATTAACCACTCCTCCTCATCCCAAAGAGTCTGCATTGTCTCGCCAAGCTTAACGCGAAGAAGAGCACCTCGGATTTGCGCCTGCATATCAACGATGGACTCTTCGTTTTCTCTCAGCTCCCGTTCGATCCTTTCCTCCTCAGTCTCTTCTGGTTCAGGCTCGGGCTCAGGAACACCAAAGTCGGCACTCATATTTCCGAAACTAGGCATTGTAACGCCGAGCTTATCGAGACCCTTCTGCATAGCTTCCAGTTCATGATGCTCGAATTCAAGCTGACCTACGAGGTTGCCTATCCTGAAATCGACTATGCCCTTGCGGAATAGAAGCCAACTCAGAGCATGAATACAGTAAATGACCTTGGGAATGTTCTTTTTCTCGTATAGATCAATCAGCTCGAAGCGAAACAGGTCGGGCAGCTCAACTTCGTCAAGGTATCGGAAGAATATAGCAATATTGTCGGAGTGTCGATATTGGAGCCTGGGGTGTTGGAAGATTCGGTAACGTCGATCTGGGTTCAGAGCTTCGACCACTTCAGCGAGCGTGACACCATCACGGAGCGCCTCCTCAAGCTCAACAATAGGAGGTATAGATTTATGGATGACATCCTCAATCCATTCCTTGGCTTCACCGATATGGCAAAGGTATTCGTAGGCTTGAAGGAACTGACGTTGTTTGTCCATCCAGTTGCGCCCTTCCCAACTGTAGCCAGTGGACTTCTGGCTTTGGCCGCCATTACTTCTATCTGCTCGTTGCAATCTTCGTCGACCGCGCAAGCCAACAACTTCTTGCGCCGGTGAGGTGATGGTAAAGTCTTCAGGCGAGTCAGACGATACAAGACGCGAAAGCGTCCTTAATTGACTTGTAGAAGACTTGCCCAGCCCTTCCAACTCATCCCGAGCTATGTGCGTACTATGCACATGGTGGGGTGATGAAGGAGCTTGGGTGGCTTCTGGTGGCAGAAACGAGTCGGATCGAGTGAGCAGCATAGAATTTGGTCGCATCGGTAGCGGGCGAGAAGGCGATGACGTTTTTACTGGCGACGTCTTGATCGGTGAAGTTGAGGTTTTGGTTGGCGACGAGTGGCCATCAATATGCGCCATTGACAGCTTGCCAATATCGACGCTCTGGCCGCGACCATGGCGAGGGATTGCATGGGGAGGCGTTGAAGGAGGCGTGGATGCTGGAGCCTGTGGGAGTGGGCGAAGAGAATGCCGAGCTGAGCTATACATATTTTCGGGAGCTTTCTTTGAGGTCATATTTTCCCCAGCTTCAAAGGTCTTTGCCCTTGCCCTGACATCGCTCTGTGCTCGCTTGTGGCCATGCACTGTAGCTCCGTAACCAGCTGAACTAGAGGCGGACGTATATTGACTATTGAGACTGTGGTCTGAGGCGTGGGAGTAGCCTGATGAAGCGGAGGATGACGTTGTTGAGGGGAAGCGGTTGAGGAGAGAGGGCGAGATGTTGGAGTTGGAAGCGAAGTCGATTGTATGCGACTGGCGGAGAGGTCGCAGATGTTGATGAGATTGTGGTTGCGATTGCGATTGCGCTTGGCTTGGAGAACGGTGTTGAGTTTGGAAGTAATGAGTACGGGACGACATTGTTCAAGTCTTTAAGAAGGGAGTCGCTGGGCAAGCCCGCAAACTCTTGTCTTGTCTTTTCTTGATTTGTCTTTGGAGTCTCTGCTCAGGAACGTAGTAAATCGATTTTCCGTCTGTGACGTTAACGCATTGTTTCGAGCGTTGCTCGGCTTCGTCTCGTTAGAGGAATGCTGTAGCAAGGCGTAGCGCTTGGAATCCTTCAAGATCCAAGACAAGCTGAACAAATTATGTGCACGAGATAAAAGTGTAAAAGCGAAGATAAACAAACACCAGAGTCAAGGTGTTGCAGGATCAAAGAATAAGATGCTAGTGCCAATACAAGCAGCGCAAATGCCGTCACTTTGTTCTTGTGACGAGACAATAAGACGAGTTTATGCCCAAGAAAATGAACTCTGGGACCTATGGGATGCTATAGCGAGCGAGTGAGTGTCAAGGCAGCCGATGGCGGGGCGTTGGATTTGCCGGAGTAAACAAAACAACGGGCAACCGCCCAGCAACGGCCTCTATGCCTAGTCCCGATTGGTGACATGCGGCTCATCATCCACTTTTATGTCTGTCTGGTTCATCCTTGTAAAGTCTCTCATTTGTTCAACATGGCCAGTTTTTATGCGGTTCAGAAGCAACTATTATGCGCTGTGAAGTGTTCCTCACTACGTGTGATCTTTCAGTTACTGTCTATAAGTATGAGTAAATATTATAAGAGAAGATCGATTTTGTATCAAGTAGACTCTAACTCCCCTTGCAGATCTAGTGTCACAGCTCTCCAGGTCGTCAATCAAAACACGCAAAACTCCATATTGTGGATGCTCAGCCTGTGTCCAACGAAGTTTATTGCCAGATTGGCAGTCTAACCAGGTCAAAGCATCATCAGTCCACAATTGGTCGACTTGTTGAGTGTTGGAGATCCTTGCTCAAGCAAGGATGCTGGTTCCACACGGGTTAGTCACTATGCTACCCTAGAGCCATAAATCGCCATATAAATCTTTCTCAACTGATGCTTGTTTCTTAACAACCTACCAGGGTTTGTAAGAATGAGGTGCGCCTCAATCCCGACGCGATAAGCTTAACATACCATGAAAAATATACAGGTAGACAATATCACTGTAGATCAGAGACGGGTTGCGACCTCACGGGTAACACATCACACAAGACAGAAAACGAGTATACCGTCTGTACAACCAAAACAGGCTGGGAACATGATGACTCTGTCCTGTCGGTGTCAATGGCTCTGTTGACACAACTGCCTCAATAATAGAAAAGCTAAAATTGAGCAAACATCCAATAGCACATGTTTGCGCGCCTCGCATCATCAGTGGTGAGCCACGACAGCTTGGAAGCTTTTTGATACGTTGTGGTTTAGTGGGGTTATATGAGGTCATCAGCGCAGAGCCAGTCCCAAAGCAATTGGCCCGAGCTGCGAACCCCATCGGATCAGAATCATTTGAATCTTTGAAGCTTCAACCCTTGTCAACCGAGTTTTGACTTTTAAACTTCTCTATACCGTCAACCGCGATAATTCGTCTCAATTGATCTGTATCTATAAAGATCGCCGGTTTTATACTATCCATTTGCGTAAGGGTGTTGATCCCTTAGGAGCCGCAATGGCGTCAAAGCAACGTCCATCAGTCCTGGTACTTATCATCAACTCTGCGCGTCTGCGAATACTGCTAATACCATTCAGGTTACGGACGCGAGACAGAGACCACCTCAAAGAAGAGTTCTTCAACGACAAGATACTGGTGCAGGCGCCGGTGGATCCCAGGCGCCAATGCGGTTCATGACCGTCGACAATGTTCTTCAGTACAACTCTCAAATCCCTTCAGGCCAGCCACGCGGTCCTCCAGCACCAGTTCCCCCAGGACGACATCCAGGTCCCGCAGGCGGTGCCCTAAGTCGCCGAGTCTCCTCAGGCGGTCTACCCAATGCTCAGTCTCGTACCGGCCAGCCAATGCCCTCGAGAACGACAAAGATAAGCGAGAAGCTGGTCCTTCTTCCGGAAACAGGCGATAACGACGATGACGTCGACGAGGAAATCGAGAGCGAGTCGGTGCTCGCGCGCCGCGTACACGACGATGAGAACCGACCTCTGAAAGATGAAGAGCTGGATGTCCTCAAGAAACGGGGTGGAATCCGCGGCAAGAGTTTTGCTGAGAGGTTGTCCAAGATGCAAAGAACAGATAAGGTTAGCAGACTGACAGCCTACTGTACTGCGCAAGCCTACAAGATCAAACCGACCGCGGAGTTCCTGCGCAAGAAACATGAGGCTAAAACAAAAATTTACGACGACTGTCTATACGTCATCTACGCCTTGCCACTACTCAACGGTACTGATGGTTATCGAGTGCGAAGCCGACCTATTCTCAAGACTCCTGGAACTGGGAAGACGGTACTAGACCTGGAAATCGAACGCAGTGAGCAACGGGACCACCATGAGGGATACTTCGAGGATGATGCATACGAAAACCCTAGTCCTGAACGTGGCCATGAAATGCCTTCTCACTTTACTGATCGCCCATCAACTCCTGAGCGCAGCAACCCCTTCCGCCACGACGACGACGTCTCATCCATGAACCGACTTGCGCCCGACGCAAAGAACTTTGCCGAAATGTTTGTCTACTCCTACGGCGTCGTTGTCTTCTGGAACTTTACCGAGCACCAAGAGAAGGATATCCTTGCCGACTTAACTTTTGCCGATGCCGACGCTACGGAGAATGGCGCTACTAGTCTTCTCACTCGACCCTTGGACCAGGAGGACTATGAGACTGAGGAGTTCCACTTCGAGTACAGCGCTGATATCAAGCGTCCTCGCATCTTTAACGACATGATCACTCTGCTCCCGCGATCTGACCACATGATAAAACTCACCATCAGCCATGCTATTGCACAAAGTACACGGCTGTGTTTCTTTGAAGAACGCATGAGTGAGACTATGATAAGTGCTCAGCATGTACCCAAGACACTGGCTCTAACAGGAGAGCTTAACATGACCCGTACTGAAATTGTGCGTATGTTGGGCCAACTCTTCAAGAGCCGGGTCGATATCAATCTCTGTAAGTCTATTCGGCCCTCTTTACGGTGCCTTGGTCTAACTATTTCCCAGCTTCCAATATCCTCGATGTTCCCAACTTCTTCTGGGACTCTGAACCAACTTTACATCCTCTCTATGCCGCCATCCGCGAGTACCTTGAGATCGACCCGCGCATCAAGGTTCTCAACGAGCGATGCCGTGTCTTCCTCGATCTAGCTGAGATATTGTCCGACTCCGTTGCCGACGCAAAGATGAGCTACATCACTTGGATCATCATTGTCCTGATTATCGTTAGTATCATGGTTACCGTTACCGAAGTAGCCATCCGTTTCGGCATGCTCAGCAAGGCCAAGGGTACTGGTATTGATCCTGCCATTATTGTGCCTGCTCTTGGTGATGGTGTATCGGGACAAGGCCATGTTGCCTTGCCACCAAGTGACCTCGAAATACTAGCGCAGACATTGGGCCTGCAATCTAACGCCTCGTTCGACGATGTTCAGCAGAGTATCTTAGCTCTTCAAGAGAAGACTCTTCCTGATGCCTCTTTTGTACATGATTCGCACGAGGATGTCTGAGGTCGACACATCCTATTTCTCATATTTCGCATAGCATGGCGTTAATGGGCGGCAGTTATTCCAAGATTGTCTTTTCCTCATAAAAATGTTTACCTGGTCGGTGTTTTGTTAGAATGGACATCAATCCAATTAGCTTCGCGGCCTTTGTCTATCTAGCTCAGGAGTTCTTCAGGAATAAAAGATTTTCGTTTTCACCATCAGGTATAATACACATATCGAATGCAGACACAGTAACGCAGGCATTAATGTAGAGTATCTATTCTTACTCTGGAAATGCAAACCCTATTCAAGAAAATCGAAGAAACAACCAAAGTTGTATAGAAAAGGCCACATAGTTTCCGGGCCTGCACATTTTCGAAAAAACCCATAGCCCATGATCATGATAGTAATAACATCCCTCAGTCTCCAATCTCCCCCCGATCCTGCTTCGTGGTGGGCGAGTCCGCGGGGAGCCGCCGGATATCAAGTACAAATAGAATTTTACCAGATGTCGATCCATGCTACACACCCAGCAGAGATCCCAAGAAGCGAAGAAAAAGACGCCGAAAAAGAAGCAGTTCGCCTTGGCCAGTCTTCACTCGCCCGATCGTCTATAAAAAGGTCATGTATTAAAAGTGAGAATATCCGATCTCAATAGCGCACCAAGTTTACCGTGACTGCTGCTCGACGGGCTTGTAGGCGGCGGCAGCAGCCTGTTGGCTCTTGCGGTTCTTGTTGTCGAGTTCGGCCTTGCTGTAGATGGCAGCACCAAGCATCGTGACGGCCATACCAGCACCGTTAAGCAGGTCGATGGTCACGTCGAAGAGGAAGATGCCGAGAGCAACAGTCAAGCACTGCTTGAGGTTACCACAGACGGTCATGGTCAGAGCACCAGCAAGCTTGTTGGTGTTGAAAGACGAGATGTTGAGCAGAAGGGCGAGGAAACCGTTCCCGAAGAGCGAGGCGAAAGCGGGAGGAAGAGAAACGTCTCCAGAGGTGATAAGCTTGTGGAAGCCGCTAACTTCACCGGTAGCAGTAGCGCAAGCCAGAGCCTGAAGAGCAGCAAGAGGAGACATGCGGAGGAGGAACTCGATCGGGGGGAGAGCGAGAGAGCCAGTCATGAATCGGTTGGTGACGACAGTCTATGAAATGGTTAATAATGAGTTTAAGCCATGTCAGGACAGGGTTTACCTTGAGAGCGGCGAGCACGACACCAAGAATGGTGAGAAGGAAACCGGCATCGGTGAAGCTCATCTCACCCAGGGTGGTCATGGCAGCACCGATGATAAGAGGCAGGAGAGAAAGGTATGTCATGGTGCTGTAGGTTCGGCCGTAGTAAGTGCGGTAGATAAGGATGGTGAAGATCGGGCAGAGCATGCGCATGGTCTGGTAGAAGGGAACGGAGACCATAGCAAGAGACAAGTTGGAAACGGCGATGTTGGCAGTGAAGAGAGCACTGAAAGCAACGAGGGCGAGGTTCTCGCGACGCCCCAATCGTGAAAGCTTAAAGTAACCCATTTGCATCATGACATATGTGCCGACGCTGGCGAACGAGGCGTGGAGGAAAGTCAAGAGCCACGGGAAGTGGAACTATTGGAAGCGCATGTTAGTATTTACACTATCAGAATGCTACAAGTAGTGGAAGTCGGCAACTTACCATTCCCAGAACAAGCTTGTTGTAAAGAGTGAGGAGCAGAGAGAAGAAAAAGTAGGTTCCGAGCCATGCGAACTTGACGGTACTGGGGATAGAGTACTCGTGCTCAAGGTTATTGTTCTTGGGAGGCTCGGCTCGGCCAGCGTCGCTCTCGATATCGAGCTCGCCCTTGATATCACGCTCTCTCTCCTCGGCGGAGAGGAGAGGAACAGGCTCCTCGTTATTGGGACGGGAAGACATGGTGATGGATGCGCCGGAGATTCGTGGGGATGCGATCAGGTACCGTTGACGTTAACGTTATCGTGGGGTCTCTAGCATAACCCGGAGTCGACTCAATCAATAACGATGAACCGACTATGAAATCCACAAGCGCAGTCGATTACCGACAAAATGCAAATGCAGACCAAGGTGCAGCCGAGTCTTTGATGTAGTTGTAGGTAGTTGTTAAGTGGAAACGTAACACGGAGATAGATGGAAGCGAAGAAAATACAGGGGCCAAGCCAAGGTAGAAGGGGGCGGAGGCGCGTAATATGATGGAATAAAGCGAGCGATTGGACCCAGACAGGGAGATGAATATGGAGACAAGACGAGACAGGCAAAAATCAAGTCCTGATCCCAGGTAAGAAAATGATCTTGCACAACACGCACACACAAAAAGAAGAGAAAGTTGTGAAGAGTTGTGTTTTTTTCGAGGGGCTCGAAAAGGAGGGATAAGAGAGAGTTTAAAGTGACGGACGGGGAAGAAGAAAAAAAGTTGGGAGGCAGAAAAAGGGAGGAAGGTTTTAGGGAGACAAGCCCAAAAAGGATCTCAGGCTTACTGTACTTGTGTGATCTGTACCCCCCAAATCAATATCTACGGGGAGGTTCGGAGTCTTCAGTGATTGATAGCGGGGGTGGTTGCCAAAGGGAGTAGTCGGCGGGGCCTTGAAAGTGGCTTACAAAAAGGAAGCTATTGGATCGGGGTGCGGAGTTTGGAGGAAAAGCCACTGGAGTGTGATTTGAGGTACACTGAAGTCAAGTACCCTGTGGCGTCTGTGTCAAGATTTAGCGAACAACTGTCAGCATTGGCGGAACCTACTCGCAGTAACCAGCCTTGATTAGCCATGCTTGGGTAGGCTTTTGTTCCAAATGGATTGGATTCTTGAATCCTGCACCGGGAAATTAAGGCGATCGCTATTACATAGGCAGTGATTGATAGAGTTCCGCACCAGACCTCACCTAGAGCACATACTTTCTTTACCTGCCATGGATAGAGGTTAGGAGCCTCTCCACTGTACAACCGTTAGAGATCAATCTCATCTTATCCCTCTTCACCAACCAACGCAAACTCAATTCATTCAGCAAACAAGCTTACAAGGATGCTTGAATGAAGACTCGGGACTACTCCCTCCAATGACCTAATGCAGGAAAGGACTTTCGATAAATCGTTTTTATTACCGCCTTTGGAACGCGCTCCTGTCCATGTATAGTCCAGGGGTTTAGAAGAACCTAACGCAATGGTACTCTACTCTAATCAGAAAAGGGGGCGGGGGCATCTCATTGCGAACCAGGAATACAGCATCTCAGACCAATCACAACATCTCGTGTTGACAATTCTAGCAAGTCACTGGATTGGGTGATGTAGGCTAATGAGAGAGGCGTCAGTAGTTTATGCTCATATGAGTTGATACAATATCGACTATGGAGCTGAACAGACTGGCCCAGACTGCTCAAGGTTATCTCTTGGTCACGGAGAAAAGGATTTTCTTCTTCCAAGTGGGTATAAAACTCCAGTAATAATAAAATACAGTATCCGTTTGTACTCGGCATTTTGTAGTATTCTCGACACCCGCTTCGCAGCACGGATCTCATGTGGACATAACTCAATCTCTATAGGTATCACAAGCGAGAAAGGGCACGTCATTCTCTAGTTAGAGTTGATTTATACCCGCACATGTACGTGTTGAGCCGCGTTGTTGTGAAACGGGCCAAGGACCAGGAAAACTGTCTATCATCAAGAATACGCAAGCTCGGGGTTACGTAGGCCAAGGGACAGTGGGAGAAGACGATGTAGTTGTTCCGCATATTCATGGCTATTTTTATTTGCATCGGCACTTGCTTTCTATCTCTAACGGCACTCAGAAGATCAACACTGTTATGAGACTGTAAGCGTTTAGTTGTTGAGGTCAGTCCGTGATTGGACCTCAATACGATTATCAGCGAGCAATACGAACCACATCTGCAGAGAGTGTCAGACGGGTGTCTCCTTTTGACGTGTATAGAGTGGGAAAATACCATTCGAAAGCTGTCACGAGACCAATTCTAAGAACTAAAAAAAAAGGAGTAGAGAGGCCGTTGACTTTGCACCATCCAAAGCCGTTATTTCCGCCCCATTCATTGTTGCATCGCCTCAAACTTAGGCGCCTTAACAGGTTTGAATAGCCTTGGCAGCTTCCTACGATTTGCACAGCAATCCATTTTTCCCACATCATAAGACTCCATTTACCATTGACTTTCCAGTAACCGTTGGCTCTATCCAAAGGAGATTCTGTGGATCCGATCAAGTCTCCAACTGGAGGTCTGAATCAAGTTGCCCAATCACGGAACAACAAACCTGTATTTCAGGTTATCTTGGAGGTTTAAGCTCTCGGTCATTCATTCGTATTCATAAATTCCTCTATTATCGTGTTGGAAAGGCAGAAAGTGGCGTTATCAGGCGTGCTGCCAGCTCACATACAAAACGTTTACAGCATCTACGGCACATGCGAACATACGACCAACACGCGACAAACAAAGAGAAACCTTCATCTATCATGATACTTCTAACATTTAAGGGCCGATAAAGAACATTCTTGGTATTTATATAAGATGAAACGGCCAGCAAGAGCGAAGTTTTTGATATAATAAAAAATTAAGTGCGTCCATATGCTCTTATTTTCTTTCTAGGATATCATCGATATATAAGATAACTTTCAAGACGATACATCTACCAGGCATCATGACTCCATCGCTTAACAAAACAAAAATTCTTACGCTTCCGTCTCAAGATTTTCCAAAGGCACATAACCCTCCCCTTTCTTAGCTCTTCTCCTACCCAGCGTCTCTCGCACCCAGCCTACAATACCTCTTCCACTCCTCCAGCGAAGGCCACCACGCTGCTCAGCGGCAGCCTCATCCATCCATCGGGGACGCTTCCAGAACTTGAGGAAAAGACTGCTGACGACGACACTGACACTACTGCACGCCATGGCGAAACCAGCCATCATGGGGTGCATGTGGAAACCTATGGGCAGGAAGAAGCCCATGGCAATTGGCAGACCGATAAGATTGTACATGCACGCCCAGGCAAGGTTCAGCTTGATGCGACGGAAAATGTAGCGAGTGAGATCCAGCGCCGCAGGAATAACCATCAGATCAGTTGGGCGCATGAGAACAATATCGGCGGCTTCCATGGCAACGTCTGTGCCGCTGGCCATGGCGATACCGATATCAGCAGTTGCAAGTGCAGGTGAATCGTTGATGCCGTCGCCAACCATGGCAACGACCTCACCTTGTTCTTGAATTTGCTTGATAATCTCTTGCTTCTGGTCGGGACTCATTCCGGCATAGACATTCTCGGGAGGGATGCCTACAGCCGCAGCAACACTGAGGGCGGTAGATCGCTGGTCACCAGTAACAATGGCTGTCTTCACACCCAACTTGTGAAGGGCCGAGATGGCAGCAGCTGCACCCTCCTTGATAGAGTCAGCCAAAGAGAGGTGGCCGCTGTATTTGCCATCGATAGCCACAAAAATGTGGGTGGTACCAGTGGCAGGTCCCTTGTTAGAAGCCTTGGTTGCGCTGGAGTCGAGTTGTTCTGATGCCTCGATGACATCCTCAGGAACCTCAATGCCGTTTTCCTGCAGGTAGGCAACGTTACCGACCAGCGCCCGATAGCGGTTACGGTCAACAGCTGATGCAGGTTCGACTAGAGCGTTAATACCCTTGCCAACAGTGACCTTGAACTCGCCGACACTTCCTTCAAGAACACCATCGGCATCAATATCAAGCTCTTGTCGAGCTCCTGCGAGGATGGCCTTACCAACGGGATGTTCACTGCCCATCTCAGCAAGACCAACAATAGCCCACCAAAGTCGACGTCGCCACTCATTATCATGCCACTCAGGCTCGAGGACAGACTCGACGACGCTCATCTTGCCATAGGTGATGGTACCAGTCTTATCGAGGACAATCTGTGTAACCTTGGTAGTTCTCTCGAGAGCAGCACCACCTTTGATCAGAATGCCGTTCTCAGCACCAACGCCAGTACCAACCATGACGGCAGTAGGCGTAGCTAGACCAAGGGCACAAGGGCATGCGAAAACGATGACAGAAATGCAGAGCTTGACGCAGACCATGATCTTACCACCGCTGGAGTCCTGCAAAAAGATTTTAGGTGGGTTCGTAAGCACATGGCTGAGAACCATCCAGCAAAGGAACGTGCCCAAGCCAAGAATGAGGATAGCAGGAATAAAATAGCCTGCAATAGTATCAGCGAGTCGCTGGATAGGTGCTCGATTGGTCTGTGCATCTTGAACCAGCTTGACGATTTGGCTGAGTTGAGTGTCACGACCGGCACGAGTGACTCGGAAGTCAACACGACCATCACCATTGACGGATCCGCCAATGACGTTATCGCCGGCTCGCTTCTGAACAGGCATCGCTTCACCTGTCACCATGCTCTCATCTACGAAGGTCTCTCCCCGTACGAGGACACCATCGGCAGGCACCTTATCACCAGGTCGCAGAATAACGACATCACCAAGCTGGAGAAGCTCAGTAGGAACAAATCGCTCCTCATGAGCTGAACCGCCAACTCCTGGCGTCTTGGGAGTAGTTGGGTCCTTACCCCAAGCCTCAGCAGCTTTCTCAGCAGCAATGGGGTCTACGTAGATTGTAGCCATAGAGGGTGCCAAAGACATGAGCCGAGAAAGAGCCTTGGATGTCTGACCCTTCGCGCTGTTCTCAAGGTAACGACTCAATGTGATGAATGTGATGAGCATAGTGCTGGTGTCAAAAATGGTGCTTGGCCTGGTGTGAGGAGGCAAAAGTAGAGAAACGGACATTGTCAAAATGCTGAAGAAGAAGGCACAAGACGTTCCGAGGATGACAAGAACATCCATTGTTGGTGAGCGGTGCTTGATTGACTTCCACGCTGAAACATAAAAACGCTTTCCAATGCCGAACTGGACTGGTATCGTAAGGACTAAACAGATAATATCTCCAAGATAGAGGCCGGGAATCAATTCCAACCTGCCAAGATCGAGAGCTGGCGCGCACATAGGCAAGATCATGTTCAGAATGAAGACCGGGATTGCAAAAGCCAAGGAGGTCCGGAAAGCCGTCCTCCACTCATTGATCTCTCGTGTCTTTGCGAGTGACTCGAGCTGTGCATTGTTGTCTTGAGTGTCGGCCACAATGGCGTTGTATCCCCGAGCCTCGACGGCTTCCACGATGGCGCGAAGACCAATAACACCAGGTTGATGAGTGACGGTGAGGCGCGATGAAGCAAGGCTCACCGAAACTGAATCGACGCCATGCATGGCCGTCAACTCAGCCTCCAAAGCTTCTGCTGCAGCCGCATCGGGAACACCATAAACTTTGAACTGTGCCGTGGACGATGACCCGCTTTGATGATCATTGGTTGGTTGTGATGAAAGAACTTCCGCGTCGAAGCCACGGTCGTCGATTATTTCCGCTATTTGCTCAGGCGAGAGTTTGGTAACATCATGTGTAATAACGGCTCGTTCCGCGAGAAGACTGATATTGAATTTGAGGACGCCTTCTACACCCGTGAATCCACCCTCGACAGCTGAAGTGCAAGCACCGCATGTCATGCCCTCGATCGCTACTGTCGTGATGGCGATGTTGCCGGCGTTTTCAGCATCCTTGCCAGATTTGTCAGCCACCACTTTGCCCGAGTCGACAACTGTAGCATCAAAGCCACGGTCTTCGATGATTTCGGCGATTTGTTCGGCAGTGAGAAGGTCGGGATCGTGTTCGATGACAGCTCTCTCAGAGAGCAATGAGATGCTGAAGCTCTTGACACCAGGAACATCTTTAAAGCCACCTTCAACGGCAGAAGTGCAAGCTCCACAGGTCATGCCCTCGACGGCGATGGTCGTCGTGATAAAGTCATTGTCGTCTTCGTTATGTGTGAAGCGTCTGGCGACAGGGCTAGGAAGGTCGGTCGAGAGGACTTCGGCATCGAAGCCTCGGTCTTCGATAATCTCTTTGACTTCGTCGGCGGAGATAACTTGAGGGTTGTGCATGATGACTGCGCGCTCCATAACCAGACTGACTGAAACGTTTCCAACACCATCGACGCCCTTGAAGCCAGCTTCAACAGCAGAAGTACATGCGCCGCATCTATAGAGGAAACAGGGTCAGTGATATATCCCCGAACATGTCGCATAAACTTGGCAGGAGCCGCAAAAGCCGAACGAAACTCCATAAATGGGTCCCGGGATGACCGGAGGAAGTTGAGGAAAAGAATAGAACTGTGATCAAACTCACGTCATGCCGTCCACGCGAAGTGTCGTTGTAGCAAGATGGGCGCCGGCGCCGGGACTCCTCGGAACGGAGAGCGCGACATTATTTGTGTCCTTGTTAGGGACTTGGATGTAGGCGGGAGCCATCGCGACGGCTTGTGGCTCGTGAGCCTCGTCTCGAGGATCGTGAATATGTTGCGATCCCAGAAGCCAAGAGATTTTGGAGTTGAAGACTGATTGCCAAATGGCGGCGGAAAGCGGGATGAACGGCACTTGTGGTCTTGGGTCTCACTCTCGCGGTTAGACTCGTTTGGTGGTTGGTTGCTAATAATGGAATGAACGGGTTCTAGTTCAATCGTCCAGCCACGACCATTTTAATTTCGTATAGATTCGACGCAAACAATAAATCGAGCAGCAGCTCGGCAGAAAGAGAGAAAAGAGATGAAGAAGAGTTGCAGTGTTCGACAAACAAGGAAATCGGAGGCCAAGATACTGTATCAAGCCTGGACTGGAAGGTCACAGCTTATGCCAGTTGATAACAAATGCGCCACTAAGACCACGAAGACCGGCTTCAATTGCTGATGTATGTGTGTACGTATGTCGGCTATTTTTGGCGTTAGTCAGACGAAAGAAAGAGAACGAAATGAATGACCACTTGGGTACGAGAACAAAGAAGACACCAGGCCAAGAACAAAAGGACATGACATGAGCAAAATTCCAAAGGACGGCGTCTCGGTGTTTTAACTACGATTCAGGGGAAACACTCACTGCTATTAGCAAGGAAACACCAACAAAACAGTTCGCGAGGCGAGAGGCCCAAAAACCATCACATCCGGGACGAGTCTTGGCTCAGCGGCTGTTACGGTCAAGTTCCAGTTTGGGGTCTGTTTCCGCTGATATCCAAGACGGTTTGATACCTCTCGTTGGTGGATTTAATACAAAGATGCGACTGCTGGAGCACCAGATTTCTTGCTTGCAGGGATGTTTCACTAGAGACTCAGAAATTCCCAAACGAGGCCCAGGGTTTTTCTTTGAACAATGGAGATGAATAGGGAGCTTGGGGCCGGAAAATGCTGAGACCTGAGACAAGGGGACTCCGCTAGTAAAGAAACCCTGGTCGATTGGCCGCAAACTGTTAGTGAGCAGTGACGGGTGCTCAGACAGTTCAAAGAAGTCTGTGAATGGTTGTGAAAAAAGTGAGCAGTGAGATCAGTGCAACCATAGCCACAAGGCGAAGGCCGCTGATGTTTATACCTCATCACTACCTATTCTTATCCCTCCTTTATTTCTCAGTCACAATGTGACCAAAGTTCTGCAATGGCTCACTTTCAGCTGGCCTTTTATGGCGCGATATCTTGTCCTGAAAGGCGCAAGTGTCGATCATTCAGGTTGCAACCATTCAGCACCCTGACAGCTTTTACCCTTCATGAACTATCGGAACTAGACGCACCGACCTCTCTTTGGGAAGACCTCAGCTTGGCTTAGAACTGAACGTGAGTTCAATCTTCAATTTCCTGTCATTGTCGATCGCAACTCTGCCGTGAACCTCTAGTCGACTGTCACCAATCATCATGTGCCTTTTGAAATAGCAATGTCTTACTACATATAAGACGCAATGGAGTCCAATTGTGAGGTCTTTCAGGTGGATGTTCCAGGTTCCGGCAATTGATGCCGATGTGTCGTGTGTAAGGCTACAGCTGCACATGCAGTCAGCATACCTTTACCTTACAGCCCATCAGCAGTACGAACGCTAGACTCGTTGTCACTTGTAGCCGAAGTTAATAAATTACCAAGAGAGCATAGGCAAGTCCAGCAGTGGCTGAGTTATCTTACATGTTGTGGCTTCTTGCCGGTTTCCTTGGCGATAGACGGGTTGAATTGAGTTTGTGTATGATTTACACGGCCATTGACATACCCGAACACTTCGTCGAGTATCGTTTGGCTGTCTTGAGAAAGCGTCTCCTGGTTGTAGTTTGCATTGGCACCAAGGCGAATAAATTGGAAATCGCTTGTTACATAGAATCCAGTATAGTACACACGAGCCACGACATGAACATAACTGGCAGTGTCGAGTTCCGACATCAAAATCTAAGACAGTTTCTTGAGTGGCTCATACAGCATCAGAAATGAAGTACAGGCCGAAGAATTCCAAGTCAAGATTGAAGACCGCATTCTTCTGTCACATGTATATTAGTATAGGGTAGTCGACTTCACATTGAAGACCCCATGCTTAATTCGACCCCACATCCCATGAGCCCCGCGCCCACCATACGCTGCCTGCTTAGCGCTCCAGCCTCACCTTGAACTAAGCTCCGATGCTCCATCTTGAACTTCATCGACATACCACTTGCACAAGTTGCGACCATCAATATAGAGTATTTCTTGGGCCCGAGCCCCAATTTGAGGGTATAATAGAGCACAGGAACTTACGGACTTTCACTACAGTCACTACCGTCAGCTTCTCTCCGTGCTGTGACGCACTTGATATCCGTCATCTATCCACTGAGGCTGTAGCCTCAACCATAACACATCATGGAGCAGACGAAGGCTCTTAACGCGCTGGAGGTATGCATATCTAGAATAACACAATGGAAACAGACTAACAACTATAATAGCCATTCATCGCTCTCTCCAAATCAGCTACATCTCCTCGTGCAGCTGCCGATCTCGTCACCAGAGCTACATCAGCACCAAACACATTTCTATTCAGCGATCTCCTCCAAACACCCGCCATCCAAAACCTCGCCGACTCAGAGTTCGCTTCGCATCTCAAACTTCTCCAGATCTTTTCCTATGGAACATACTCTTCATACAAAACGACAGAAGGCCTACCAGCGCTTGCCGAAGTACAGGCAACCAAGCTACGGCAGCTATCGCTTCTATCATTGGTCCGAGATCGACAGAACCTCTCCTATGCTGCGCTACAGGAAGCCCTGGATCTACCTGGAGCACGCGAGGTCGAGGCATTGGTAATTTCCGCGGTTTACGCTGGTCTACTTCATGCCACGCTTGACCCAGCTCGTGCAGTCGTGCAGGTCTCCAGTGTTGCGCCTCTACGTGATCTCGCCCCCGGAGCGATACCTGAGATGGCCACTGCTCTGAAGAAGTGGTCTGACCGCTGCACCACCACCCTCGATGGCCTCGATCTTCAGATCAAGGAGATCCGAACAGTAGCCGCAGCTCGACAGCGTGAGCAGCGCTTGGCGGATGAGAAGTTACAGCAGTTGATGAACGAACAACAAGAGGGAATCGGACCACGCAAGTACGATCTGCCAAATATGACAAGGGACCTGGGTAGACGGGGGTTTAACAAGCGATCGGTTATGGATACAGGTAACTTGGTGGACAACGACAGCATGGATGTCGATGAGGCGGAGGAGGAGAAGAAACGAGCAAACAAGCGCAAGCTGTGAAGATAGTACCCCTCTTTCGAGCCAGGAGAACCAAAAGTCAAGCTCGCAAAACATGTATCACGAAGAATCATGACATAATAGACGATACGACGCCTTTTTATTAGCCCTACATCCGTACAAAATGCCGCCCTGAGACTTGTACTAGTTCTAATGACCTGATAAGGTCATAAATAAGAAGGAAAAACGCATGGTCGGAAATGATTCAAGATCATGTTCCAGACCGGGAATAGCTAAATTACAAAGAAGACCTGGTTGATAAACAGTAGATTTCCGTACGCCAGCCTCCAGAAAGCAACGCCCGAGCTCAATCGAGAGACTGGGATAGTATTGCTGCTTAATCAAGGCCCCTGATCATTACAGTCGTGAGTATTGATATGATGTCCAAAGAGATTCTCGCGGAGATGGCTTTTTCTTTTAATGGGAATTTGAAAGGCCAGTAATGGCCGGCATTAGTGACCGCGATTGAATGTGAAAAGAGTAGTTGCTTAGAGACGCTTTCCTGGAACAAGGATGAAGAGAACACAGAGTGCAGCATCGATGAGAACAGTCACTGCGAGGACCATGATAGCACGCTTGGCGATGAGCTTGCGAACGTAGGGTTCACGAATGCGAGAGAAGTTGAAGGGGGTGTACTCGCTGTAACCAACCAGGGCCATGATAGGGTCCAGAGAGTATTGGTAAGACGCAAGGAAATAAACACCGACGGTGAATGGAAGGATGAGCTATTGAGAGTCAGCAAGTTTTCGAGAGCTGGCTTGAGTGAGAACTTACCCAGCATCTAGTTGCACGAGAGTAGTCAAGGAAAATGAGAACGAACGCAGCCCAAAGGGCGGCAAACATGGCAATAAGACCAAGGATAAGTCGCATGATGAGAGTAGGTGGGATAAGGTTGCCAAGAGCCTTCATTCGAAGGAAGCCTGGGAAAGCATCTCGCTCCATAGCCTGGAAGACATAGTCCTTGGCAACATCGAATACCTCGGGATCGTCACGGCCGTACTCCTCAATTGCAGTAGTAACTTCTGCGGTGATAGAATCTGGGAGGGTGATTTCTCGCTCAGCTCCAGGAAGAAGGAAAGTGTAGAGGATTTTCTCAGCTGAGGCTCGGATATCCTGTCGCGCGACGGTATGAGCGGGCGAGTTGGATTCGGTTGTGACTTCGTGAGAGTTGCTGAACTGAGGACTGGGTCTAACAGGCGCAGAGGCACTCTGAGGTGAGTCGTGACTTTGGTCCTCTCTAAGGAATGCAGACATTTGCGCATCTTGGTTCTTCTCTTTCTCAGTCGCATACATGGACGGACCTGCCGTTCTAGGTTCCAAGTCGCCAATATTCTCGAGGATGGCTGAAGATCGTTTTGATTGAGCTTCGGGAGTACCAATAAGGACGGATCGTCGAAGTTCGCGAACATAATGTCGGCAGAGCGACATGTGCTGAGCAACATCGAGCCTGGCCATGTCAGCCAAACTCTCTAGAAAGTCAATCCTGCATGAACCTACCAGAAGTCGAGATAATCCACTGAGCGTTGTTGATCGCGCATGTAGATATAGAACGAGAAAAGGTCAACGGGAGGGAGAGTGCGACGACTCAAGACCTCAAAGAGCGTAGGCAGTCGATTTCTCGTCATGTCGGGCTGAGGCGACGGCGATGCCATCGTGGTAACAGGTTCGTGTTCGGCCATGTCGGGCGAACGTATTATACTTGTCGATAAGGTGAGAGTGAATGTTAAAATGAAAGAGGCGTTTCTGGCGCGCGCGGAGCAACTGCCGGGAAGCTTTATGGAAGGGTCCGGGTACGCGAAGTTCCCCTGGATTACGACCGATGACAGGCCGCCAAGTCTTGTCCAAACAACCGCACACTCTCCTAAGCAAAACAGTCCCTAAATGAGAGAAATGAGACGCTTATGCGCAAAGGATGGCGATATTTGCGGTGCCTTGAAATCAATTGCCCCAAGCTGGAATGATGGAATCGTTATGCAGCAACGGCCAAGATTGGATGCAATGCTTGCTTCATGGTAAACACCACTGGAGGACAATACGACGCCTCTAGCCCATCTGGGTTAGTTGATTTTCCGAACTGTGAATCGACCTGACCATCACGTGAGAGCCTGGCGGGTCATCAGGGCTGCGCTCTAATTGGCTCGCCAGGCCCACAGAGTGCCTGCCGATTTCGAGGGCTACGCACAAAGATTTTTGGCAATTACTACTCCAGCTACTTCATCACACCTTCCTAACGACCAATCTCGAAGAGACGAGCCGCAGGTACGACCAATACTCCCTCCTCCCTCGAAGTCCTTTTCCTCTCAAGAGACTACGAGCACGAGCGACTCATTCTTTTATCAACTTCGTCGACCGAAGGACTAACCCTCACATTTCCAGCCATGTCGTCCAAGAAGCCCTCCGGCAAGACTCAGCGCTCCGCCATCGCGGATGTCGTCGCCCGCGAGTACACCATCCACATGCACAAGCGAGTACGTTTCTTCGCCAAAGAATAGCTCGAGAACCGGAGCTTGAAATATCTGGATTAAATGCTAATGGGTAAAAGCTCCATGGTGTCACCTTCAAGAAGAGGGCTCCCCGTGCTATCAAGGAGATCAAGGCCTTTGCCACCAAGTCCATGGTACGACTATCCATCCCAAGAGTCTTATACCGAATGCGAAGTAATCGCAGAGGGCAAAGTTGTCATTTTCGAATCACATGTGCTAACCTCTATGACAGGGTACCTCTGATGTCCGTATCGACCCCCAGCTCAACAAGAAGGTCTGGGAGCAGGGTATCAAGGGTGTTGACTACCGACTCCGAGTGCGAATTTCCCGACGACGAAACGACGAGGAGGGTGCCAAGGAGAAGCTGTACAGCTACGTCCAGGCTGTGAACGTCAAGAACCCCAAGGGTCTTGCCACAGTCGTTGTTGAGGAATAAATATAAAAAGTTTCTCTTGGGACAGGTTCTATGGTGGCATGGCATTTGGAGTTGCATTCGGCATTCTGGCTTTTGACGCTGAATATACACAGAGGGAAAAAATGTGATCAAAGCTTGAAGTCAACACAAACGACAATCGGTGCCTCGGCGTGAAGTGGTCTATGGACAAGGCTTTTTTTATGAGGGCGAAAATAATCATTTACGTTCTGACGTGATGATGCGAATGTTATGAGTCGTCGATTAGAGGGTCTGCTATCGACAATGGTGTACACGTTTCTGACCCTATCAAAATCCCCTGCCTTCGCTGTTAACCCAGCTGTGGAAATGCCATGCAATCCTGTAACCTAACAAGTCATCAAACCAAATTCCGTACACCTGGTACTCCTGTTCCTCTATACAATTATCAAAGCACCAACCCCTAGTAAAACCTAATTACTCGTCCTCAACATCCCTGTGGCGTGCCAGGACCTTCTTCTGGAACTCCTCAGTGTCCTTGTCCCACAGCTCGGCAGCCTCACCGTTGAGGGGTGAAGCACTGAGTATTCGTTAGTGACATGGTTATGGTCCAGGTTGAATTGTGTACGTACTTGTTGGGCTCGCCAAGCAAGCTTTGAAGGCTCAGCAGAACAGTTTGAATGTTGTAAGCAGCGGTCCACTTGTCCTTGAGAATGTCCAAGCAAATACGGCCGGAGAAGTCGACATTAGGATGATAGATGGGTGTCTTGAAGAGCACCGTAGGAGCGGCGTAGGGGTAGTTTGAGGGGAATGCAAAGCTGAGCTTGAAGGTCAAGCCAGCGTAGGGAGTATCGTCGGGGCCCTCGATGGTGGCAGTCCAAGAGAGGAGGTTTCCATCCGCACCGGGGAAGGCAGAGACGCCGGGAGCGGGCGACGTCATGAGTTGCATCAACTCGGTCTGCAGTCTGTCTAGAGTCAGCATCCGTAGCGACCATAATGTCTCGGGACGAGTATTCACCTCTTGGTTGTGCTCTGAGAGTCAGGGCCCTTGTGACCAGAGTTAAGCTTGGCGGCCTGGACACTGCCGGGAGCTGAGTTTTGGCTATCCTCCATGTTGTAATCCATTGTGAGATGCTGATGCTGATGTTGTTTCCTCTAGTATAACTGAGTATGAACAAATGCCGGCAACCAAGAAAGCAACAGAAGAGAAGATGCGTTTATAGGTTGCTAGGGAGCGGTAGGGAATTGTTTATGTACAGACAACAATTCCGCAAGTGGAAAGAGGTGAAGATGGACGAATGCAGGGGCGATTGAGGGAGACAAAAAGACGTTGGCAGTGGCGTATGCGGGAAGGGATAAATGCGAATAGAAAGAAAGGGTTCTGAGTTGTCTTTAAACGTGAGACGATGTGCAATAGATTGTTTTGGATTGCGACAGAATTGAATAAAGAGAAGGGCAATGACTTCTCAAGATCAAAGGCTCCAACTGTTTACCGCAGCAACCAGCGCGACTAGGGTCCAGGTGAATGAAACACCACAGCCAATGGTATCCAATACAAGGCAGCAGCGCTGAAACTGTAGGGCATGCTTGTGCTGTGAGAGGATGCACAGGGCGCTAAGTGACGCTATCTTTAGGGAGCCCGGGTCGGGGTCTCACAGCAACAAAAAACACTTTACGCGGTGAATAGACGCGGATCAACGCGTGCAACTTTCTTGAGTTGTAACACCAGGACAATATCCTCAACTGAACGATTGGTTATTGTTGAACAAGAATATTAGCAACACAATTCAAACACTATCATAAAGCTGCCTACCTTTACATCATGGTAAGTAGGACATTCCTTATTTAGCCCCTATCAATAGCGTCTATCAAGCTTTTCTCCAGTGACAGATCGTCAGTATCAACGAGATTGTGAATGATTCACAGCCATACCTAGTCACAGTTACTCAATCTGCTGTGAATCTCGATCTTGTATGACTTCATTAGAGTTCTCATCACTAACAAAAACCAATGAATCAGTCACAATTAGACCCTCTACCAACGGATCTTCCCTTCCGAATCGTCTCCAAGACCGTGGGTCGAGGAGCATATGCCTCGTTAGTTTACCCCATGTTTCACTCACGATAACCGAGATGTTCACTACTGACCTCAGCACAGCATCAAGAAAGCAATCCCCCTCGACGCCCCAACACCAGTATTTGCTGTAAAGCTCATTCACAAAGGCTATGCCGTTAAACATGGTCGCATATCTACTAAGCAGTTGGCCATGGAGGTCTCACTGCATTCACACATCGGCCAGCATCCCAACATTATCGAGTGGTTCGCTTCAGGAGAAGATGACATTTGGCGATGGATTGCCATGGAGTACGCGGAAGGTGGAGATTTGTTCGACAAGATTGAAGCCGATGTCGGCGTTCGTGAGGACATTGCTCAAGTCTACTTTGTTCAACTCATCAGCGGCGTGAGTTTCATGCACTCCAAGGGCGTGGCACATCGTGACCTCAAGCCTGAGAACATTCTACTCTCCCAAGATGGATCTTTAAAACTTGCAGATTTTGGTATGGCCACAATGTTTGAGTACAAGGGTCAGCGAAAGTTGAGCTCAACACTATGTGGCAGTCCACCTTATATCGCCCCTGAAATCCTTGCTTGTGGGCGTGCAGACAAGAAGTTACCGAACGCTGCCAAGTACTCACCAGATCTGGTCGATGTTTGGTCTTGCGGTGTTATTCTCTTCGTTCTTCTCGTTGGCAACACACCATGGGATGAGCCGTCACAAGGTAGCTGGGAGTTCCAGGAATACGTACGAACATCTGGTCGCAGCACTGATGCTCTATGGGGGAGGGTCCCAGCAGAAGCACTCTCTCTACTACGAGGGATGATGAGCATTGATTCCTCGAAACGCTTCAACTTTGCTCAAGTGCGCCAGCATCCTTGGTACACAAGACACAATGCCCTCCTCAACTCGGATGGCCGAGTCACAGACCCCATTAACTTGGCGACACAGATGCTGGAGAATCTCCGCATCGACTTCAACCACCACCCTACATCACAACCTTCTTCGAGCGACAATATGGACATAGATACTGGTCTCAATGTTGGAAAATTCTCCTCTACTCAACCAGAGACACCAATCGCTGATAAGGACTGGGATTGGGAGCGTCCTCCACTTCGCTCTATGGCCTCGCCAGCCTCATCACTCCCACATACTCACGATGCGAGCCGAGCGATGCTCGATACACTTGCCGACGAGCCATCTATGTCTCAATTCTCTCAGACTCCTGGCCCTTCTATGACCCTTACTCAACAAGCTCGTCGGTTCCGCGACATTTGTCCCCCAGAGTCACTTACTCGCTTCTTCTCGGCTGTGCCTCCGGCCCACATCATTCAGATGATTAACGATGCTCTCCACCATCTGAACGTCCCCACGACACATATTTCGCCTAATCCACATGGCAACCCTGTCGCTAAGATAAAGGTCAAAGCACTTGACGGTCGTCAACAAAGTTTGCATGGCGAGATTCAAGTGGACCGTCAGCCTCTGCCGGATGGTACCGAGGTCCTCGACATTCGCTTCGTCAAGGTCAAGGGTGATCCTCTTGAATGGCGACGATTCTTCAAGAAGGTGGTTGTTTTGTGTAAGGATGGTGTATACGTCCCCGAGTCGTAGAGAGGAGAGGGACTGTCTTGTAAAGCTAGAACGAGACGCATTCATAGATGTCAGGATTCGACAGTTGGGCCATAAAGCTCATGATCAGATACAGCTATATACATAATGCGAGAACTTGAGATACCAACAGGACTCCCATAGCTCCTCCTAGGGGAGCAGGGGAGGCAATAAAACTTCAGATCTGCAACCTAAAGGACAAAAAGACTTAGGTAGGTTTAGGATAACTTAGTGGTCCTTTAGACCAACTTTAGTCATTTCTGGCACCCTGATTATATGTCAGAATGGGAGTTTTCGTACTCCCCGAGGCTCCTCTTCCTCAAGCGTTTGCCTTGTTATACTGTTCAACATGTAGCCCAAAATGATTAAATGTGTTTATTCCTTCATCTTCAATTCCCCAACGCTCAAATTCCAACGACTGATTAGCATCTAATGAGTTTAGAATCTCATCCAAATCGATTTCCAAGTTTGAATAGGGGCCGGTTTCAGAAGTATGGATTTCTTGAGGTACTCGATTAGAGCTCTCAACCGGCAACCCATGAGGGCTAGGGCTTCTTGAGGGTGACTTTTGGGAGTCTGGTTGGCAAGTCTCCTGGCTTTGACTTTCGCGAAAAGACTCCATGATACCTTGGAGGACATTATTGGCGACATCGGTGATCGTTTGAGAAGTGAGAGTTTGCTCGAGAATTCCATCGACTAAACTCTCTATACGGGGCCTCATGCGTCTCGAAAACTCACGTCGCGCGTAGTCCTCAAAGCTGTCCAAGACGTTCGCCCCGGGGTGCTCTGTGTCTTGTTCGGGTTGTAAAGGACATAATTCGGGATCTAGGAAGCTGTTCAGTGACTGAGTGTCGAGATGACGGGATATAAACTTACATGGAGAAGGAATTGGATCATCGTGGGGGAAGAGAATCCTATACATCTCAACCCACTTCTCCTCTTCTGCAACTTGTGAAGCTTTCCCATTCTTCCTCTTTCGGACACGCAGTAACCTCTCTTGTTCTTCATCGATTCCTTCTTCTTCAGACTCTTCACTTTGTCTCTGGCAAATAGTGTCCGCTCGTTGATGTTCGTTTAGGTTAAAAGCTGATTTGAGGTCTTGCCTGCATCTGTTGCAGCGGAACTTGGGAAGCACGTGGCGCCGATATAGATGCTCTCTGCGCACACCGTTAGATCTTTTCTTCCATCAAGTACCTGGGTAAATTTGACTCACTTGACTCGATGAACAGAGGTCCACCCTGGCCAGCAGCAGCTTTTCCACTGTGATGTTTTGTACTTCTCACGATTATGCTTGAAGAAAGGACAAACATATCTGGTTTCGGTAGAATCACTGGTTTTCCCGCGCTTCTTCTGGGTTCGATCTGGTGTCTTGTCGTCCTCCCCAAAACCATCATCAGAACCACTTCTCTGACGCTTTCTTCTGTTTTGACTGTTTGATGGTTCTCCAGCACGACTGGGTGCTCCGACAACTGGTGTAGAGCCACTACTGGAAGCTGTCTGGCCATTCTGAGCCCCGTGTCTTCTCAGCATCACCTCCAGCCATTCTTGAAGCCTCGCGATTATTTGAACCACGAGTTGATGCTTTTTTCTCTCTGTAACTGCTGACAAGGACGAGGCTTGGTCGCTGCTCCAGCAGGTTTCGGCACTGTCGGCCGAGGTCTCTCGACTATAGCCGCAGTCTGAAGGACCTGAAGATGCTGGTAAAGAGACTCTGGTCTCAGGAACTGACTCCAGAGTTGGACTGCCACAGACCTGAGATGAATAAACAGCCTGAGGATTCTGTTGAGATCCATACAGTTCAGCAATCCATTGATCAGGTCTCAGAGGCAGTAAGTTTGCCGGATCGGAGAAATCAAACCAGGACCCATAGACTTCTTCTGACGGGACATGAGTGCAGCTTTCATTCGTATTGAAAGCTGAACAGAAGCAACCGCTATCTGTCGATACACCCCCAGTCGACCACGAGGTCTCTGAACTTTCTGTTCTGCACATCTTTTTATTTTCGTCTGAATCCGAAGCCTCTATACTGAGCATCGGGGCATTCTTCAAGAAGCTGATCAGCTCTTCCGGAGCTGACAAATCCCAGGTAGCCATCTCATCGTCGTGCTTTATGCCAGACATGCTGCATATGACGCTGAGCCCAAATAGGAGAGAATTTGTTACTTAGAAACGCAGAGAGAGATATGTTCGATGGGATTGATCTTCTTGAATAATCATTCCTAAGGGTTCGAGAAGGAAGATGCTAATAAGTTGTTAAACAACTTGGGGTATTGTGTTTTATATGACTAAGTAGTTAATTCGCAATTGCGCAGGTTCCCATCGGCGGGCGAACCATGCATGAGCGAAGGCAACAAACGGGCGAGCGTCCTGATCAGCCAGTAAGATGGGTTGAAAACAAGCCCATGACTCGGTTGTTATGGAAATGTACTCCTCTCATACAATATGGAGTAGAGGCATCTGATTTGGCAACAATGGACTGTACGCAAGTACAAGTAGATTGTACAATTTCACTACAACCAGGCTCGATTTTGTTAAATCAAGCCACATTAACAATTCGATGAGAATGAAATGGTATCTTCGAATTCAAACGCCAAGTCTATCCCCTTCCGTCTATCCTGTTCCGTTGGTGATCATCTCATGACCTGCATGGCAGTACAAATGTTCAACTCATAAATCAAATTGGTATCTCCCATCCTCCTTTTCACATCTTCATAGGCTCGCAAAGCCTGTAGGTCAGAGTTACAACCCAGAATCCCGTAACGCCTGCACGAAGAACTGGTTATCTAGGCACCGCAAAAGGTTCTCGTTAATGCCCGTCATTTGCAGCCCTCCATCAAGAAATGACTGGAATTCTTGTGCCTGGGACACAAGGGAACTTGAGCCTTGACTGCTACCGTCTTGTGGCCTCTGGCGACAGGACTGCATACTCTCCATGAGTGCATTGCAAGCTACCTGGACCACCAGAGGTACCAGTGTAGGTTGCAAGTTCTTCATCTCGCCGACTTTGCCTCGCATGCGCTGCTCAAAATCAGACATGAGGTTCGTGTCAAAGTCATCATTGTTGCTCTTCTGTAAGCGATCGTAGTCTGGGCATTGTTAGCACTCAGTTCTTGCAGTGTATGTGGTTGAACACTAACACGGTGTAGGCACCTGGCCCCCTCCAGGAAAGATGATCTTGTAGACATCATTCCATCTCTCTTCCTCGACCTCTTTGAGATCCGCCCCTGGGTTGCATTTTCTTGCTCTTGCATGCAGTGCCTTGGACTGGCTTGCGTTGATGCCTTCCTGCTCCTGAGTGTTGCGGCTTTGAACTTCGCAAGGCGCAGACGCTCTTAAATGTTTAGAGAGCATCCGCTCTGTCTTGAAACACTGGAAACAGCGCTGACACTCGTGTTCTGGGAGTGTATGGCTTCGGAAGATGTGTTCCCTAGAGATACATTAGTTTACTCCTGGATGCTTCAGGACGAGCATCACTTACTTGACTCGATGGACCGACTCCCACCCTGGCCCGCAGCAACTTCTTGAGTTTTCATAGCGTTCTGGGTCATGCTTGTAAAAGGGGCACGCAAATCGTGGCGCCGTCGAAGTCGTCTTGGATCGTTTCTTATCCACAGACTTCCCGTCAGCTTCGTCTGTTGATGAATCATCGAGCTCGACACAGTCAAAGGCTCGCTTCTTTGACTGGCCAGGTACGACGATCCCTTGTTGAGGCTGGTTCACCAAGTTCACTAGTGGAACTGTCTCATCCTGACACTCAGTGGGTTTTTGTCCCGGCTCCAATTCCGGGACATCCTCTTCAAAGAGAACTGTGGCTTGTCGTGGCACATCCGCTGGCACTGGGAACAGTGAATTTCCATCACCTGTGATTATTCCCAGAGCATTATCAAACCACACAGGGTTTGTGGGGTCAATAGTATGGAAAAGATCGGCCTCGTCGCCAGTGACTAGGTTGCCCAACGCTGCATCATCTGCAAAGGACACACTCAGTGACGAGCCCAAATAGTGGCCATTGTTGTGGCCAGCTGTCCGTGATGTGTAATCAGAAGCACTATGTCGACGTTGATGTCTTCGACCCAAGCTTCGAAGTTTCGATCTGGCCTTGAGTAGCAACCATAGCCACCCAAGTCTTCTGATCAGAACTTTGTTGGCCTCAGTCTTAGTCGCAGGGACGAAGGTTTGCGACGAGGAGCCGTGCTGAGGCCTGGGGTATGGCCATTCACCAGCTGACGAGAAGCTTGGATGAGCACTGAAAGTGGGTTGGCTGAGAAGAGCCATGTCGTAGCTTGGGTAACCATTGGTTGAGGAACTCATAGGTAAAGGCGACTCCGAGTACCCATATTGTGGACGGACATTGGTGTTGATAGCGCCGAGACCTCCTTGCACTGCCCAGGGATAATTGGCCACTGGTCTATTATGCAGGCCATCCTGAGATTGAGATTGGGCAGTGAATTCGGGTAAAGGTGTAGGGTACGAGTACATTGAGACGATGTGTTGGTACAGGAAATCGCCTTTGTTGATCTGAGGCGAAGCTTATTTATAGATGGTAGCTTCTTGGTGGATAAACTGATTTATATTGTTGTACGGCGCTAGCCAAGTGATACTAGTTACGATAAAGGTATATATATATGTGTTGTATATATATCTTCTGAACTAGGTTTCAGGTTAAATGGAAATAAGATCTCGTTTAGGGAGCCGGGAATGAAGAGAGGCGAAAATGAGATCCTTGGGGGAATAAGCTCGTATTTAACTTTGGAGGCCTTTGCGCAGCTGCGCAGTTGCCTCTGGTTGGCTGCGAACCAGGAGCTGAGATGGCAGCAAGGCAACGGGACCCTCTGAAAGTGCAACTCAACAGCCCCCAAAGTCCCTTATTTCCAAGATAAGTCTTGAGTCACAAGGGTTGCGAGCGGCTCTTTAGTCTTGGCTTTTGAATCCTTCCAAGACACGGGCAGCCGAGTTTGTAGTGAGGACAGAGGTTATGAACCCCTGGCTTCAGAGACAATTGGTCAATCGATTAAAAAGAGAGCTCAATGAAACTCAGACAATGGCGATAATCCGCTAAAAGAGACAAGATATTCTCAAAGAGCCTCAAAGAGACAACAAGGACAGTCAACAGAGTTGAGAGACTGTCTTGGGCTGTCATGGGAATGTCCAGACTATCAAGGCTTGACTGACTGGCATGGCACAGTCAGCTTGATTGAGGCTGTGGGCTCCCTCACACTAGCAGCCGAGTTGTGCATGGCTCACCAACTTGCATGTAACAGCGCAACTCATAAAATGTGCCAATAAACCAACCAGTAAGCGGCTGAATCGATTTGCCCAAATCCATTTTGGGTATGCCTGACGCCAATTTCTATGTATGCCCTGAAAAACGCCCGACGCCTTGCATAACATCATGTACGAGCACCGTTACTCGGCCTGCGTGACTGGTTCTTTCAGTTGTTCATTCCACTCAAAGCCTGGAAACAAACGTCAGCCTGATTTGGTTGAAAACGAAAGGGTTGGGGGCTATACGTTGACGACACATGGGGCATTGCCCTCTTGATGAATCTTGCTTGATCCATTCCAATATGCAGTGCTAAACACAAACACAGTCACAGTCAGCACGTCAATATTCACGATAATAGAGATAAGAGATAGAGATAGGTGAACTCGAACCATGTGAAAGTTATGACCGCACTTCCCCGATACTGAGATTCATATTGCGTTAGTAGGGTCTATCTTTATCAAGATGGTCTGATGTTTACTTACACAGGTTGCAATCGTCGCCTGGGTATTTACATGTCGGACACGTCCCGTCAAAGTGGACCTGACAGATACCACAAACATCGTCTTCAGGTATATCCCAGCGCCAAGTAGCGACCGTATTCCACTTCTTGATGGTGACCTTCATGATGTTTTGGAGGAAGAGAAGTCACGGGATCGATCTGGTAGAGATGAGGATTTCTGGAGCTAGGATCGAGACTCGAAGTGGTCGTGCAACCTTTGAGTGAAGAAAGGGTCAAGGTTTGAAGCACTAACGCAGACGCGGGGAGGCACATGAGCTCAGGTTGACAAGGTGAGAGGCCCAGACTCCAACCGAGTGGATTGGGCTGTAGTGGTGGGTGGGCGCCTATCCGTTTGGCGCTTCAGTGACCTCATCCGCTGAGAGCCACCCACTGAACAAGCTGTAGCCCGCTGTAGAAACCCCTCCGACTCCGTCATCGTCCACCGTTGGAAATGCCTGATGGAGGTGGTCCAAGCTCCTCACGATTTCGCCAACCTCGCCCGCACTTGCGCGAAAGGTATCATCCATCCAAAGTTGACTCGATTGGTCGTTAACCTCTCGTCATCAACCTCACTCGCCTCACGTCAAGTCCACCAGACAACTTTGCGGTACTCTCCCGCCGACGAATGAGGACGCAGACGGACAGTTAAGCCTTTTGCTAACTGTCTCTTCCTACAGTGTCTGGCCTGCGAATTTATATTTCGTTTGGCTCTGACTCTTATCAATCGCTCAGGAACTTGCCCTACATCAAGTCACTGAGTCCGACGAACTCCCGCCACCTCTTCATATCCTAAACACAACATCTATACGATGGCGTCTATCGCATTCTGCCGCTCAGCAAGAGCTGGCATTCCTCAATGGGGCTCCAAGGTTTTCCGACCTTCCCTGCTCACCCGCCGAAACTTCTCATCCTATCTCGTTACCCCGAAAGAGCTTCACGAAGCCCTCAAGAAGAACCCTCCGTCACCGATCAGCACCGATCCTCGAGTCATTCCTCTCTGCGCATCATGGTTTCTCCCCAACGATGGCCGATCCGGTATCCAAACGTTTCGCGAGCAGAGAATTCCCAAGGCCCGGTTCTTTGACCTAGATAAGGTCATTGACAAGCGCAGTCCCTATCCGCACATGCTTCCTAACCCCAAAGGCTTCGCTGCTGCCATGAGCGAGTTGGGTATCCGAAAAGAGGACATTGTGGTGGTGTACGACAGCAAGGAGCTTGGTATTTTCAGCGCACCGCGTGTGGGCTGGACCATGAAGGTTTTCGGCCATGACAAGGTTCACGTACTAAACAACTTCAAGCTGTGGGTGGATCAGGGTCTGCCTACCGAGTCGGGGGAACTCTACAGTATCGAGTGTTATCCTTACCAGATTCCCGAGATGGAAGAGAACCGAGTTGCAAGCTTCCAGCAGGTCAAGGAAATCGCACAGGACTACAACAAGGAGGGCGCTGAGGGCGTTCAAATTCTTGATGCCCGACCCTATGGACGTTTCACTGGTGAAGCCCCTGAGCCCCGCGAGGGTCTTTCCTCTGGTCACATTCCTGGATCTATCAACATCCCCTTCAGCTCTGTTCTGGACCCTGAAACCAAGGCTTTCCTCCCTAAGGATCAACTGAAGAAGCTGTTTGCGGAGAAGGGTGTTGACCCTCAAAAACCTATCATTTCAAGTTGTGGTACTGGTGTGACTGCCTGTGTTATTGATACTGCACTTGATGAGGCTGGCGTTGGTTCCCCTGACTCCAGGAGGGTCTACGATGGCAGTTGGACGTAAGTGCCTCATTTGAAAAGTTCATGATATGGACTATGCTAATATGTAACAGTGAGTGGGCTCAACGGGTGCAACCTTCAGAAAACTTGATTGTCAAGACAACGAAGGAGTAATGTGACTTGGTGTCTGGTCTAAAAGACGGTGAATACCAAGTAGTCGAGCTGCGATACCCTCATTAATGATGGCCTGTGGTGAACAGGCGTGTACGAAGAAGAGCATGGATTCCCAATTCCCCTCCGTGGTTTAGTTCTGTGTCTGGTTCAGGTCTCCATTGAAGGACGAGAAAAATGGCTCATGGTTGTCCTCTAGCATTCCCACACTTTTGCATTATTTTTCAGTATATATATGTGTGTATACGTGAAGCAATTGACTGATGGAATTGTCAATATTGAGTCTGAGTCTGAGCCTGAGTCTGAGTCTGAGCCTGAGTCTGAGTCTCTTAAAGTTGCAGTATCGGACCGGGGTGTTGTAATTTGCCGATCAGTCATGATGGGCGGGGTGGCTTGTCCACACCGAGAATTGGACCATCCTATTTTCGGTGAGGATCAAGGTGAGGCCCACCCCCACTACTCTCACCTCGAATGCGGCCTAACAATTAAGGCTCCATCTTTCATTAGGGCTCGCTAACGTGAACCTCCAAAAATTGTGTGCGCTATCCACCCCACCTGGGCCAAAAAGTTCCAGTATCGCCAACACCAACAGCAGCATCTTGCTCTTGCGCAGACCACATCTTGCCTCCCACCCCCTCCAGCGCAAAACAACAAAAATCCTTCACAATGGCTGATCGTGGAGCTTCTCGCGGCGGTGGTTTCGGATCCCGAGGCGGTGATCGCGGCCGAGGACGTGGCCGTGGCCGTGGTCGTGGTCGCGGCAAGAACGAGGAGAAGGAGTGGCAGCCCGTCACCAAGCTCGGTCGATTGGTCAAGGCCGGCAAGATCAACAGCATGGAGGAGATCTACCTTCACTCTCTGCCCATCAAGGAGTACCAGATTGTCGACAACTTCCTGCCCAAGCTCAAGGATGAGGTCATGAAGGTGCGATACACAGTTCCCTGAATCTATCACACGAGGAAGCCCTAGAACGAAGCGGAAATACAAAATCGAAGAAGGAGAAAAAAAATACGCAATTGGAAGGGGAAAAACGGCTTGCTAACTCGTCATTCACAAACACAGATCAAGCCCGTCCAGAAGCAGACCCGTGCCGGTCAGCGAACCCGATTCAAGGCCATTGTCATCATTGGTGACTCCGAGGGCCACGTCGGTCTTGGTATCAAGACCTCCAAGGAGGTTGCTACCGCCATCCGTGCCGCTATCATCATTGCCAAGCTCAGCGTCATCCCCGTGCGACGAGGTTACTGGGGTACCAACCTTGGTCAGCCTCACTCCCTGCCCTGCAAGGAGTCTGGCAAGTGCGGTTCCGTCACCGTCCGTGTACGTACACCAACAAAGAAGCGAATATCCTCGAAAAAAAAGAACGTAAAAAACTGACAGTTTTATAGCTCATCCCCGCTCCCCGTGGTACTGGCCTCGTTGCCTCTCCCGCTGTTAAGCGATTCCTCCAGCTTGCCGGTGTCGAGGACGCCTACACCTCCTCCGCCGGTTCCACAAAGACCCTCGAGAACACCCTCAAGGCTACCTTTGTGGCCGTCTCCAACACTTACGGCTTCCTTACCCCCAACCTCTGGAAGGAGACCAAGCTCATCAAGAGTCCCCTGGACGAGTACGCCGACACACTGCGGGAGGGTAAGCGATACTAGAGCTAGAGCGGGAAAGTTTTATGCTGGGAGCTGGAAACTGGTGCCGCGGAGTCACGATTCCTTGTGTTTCATTGCATAGGTTGGCCGGTTAGGACACGTCGGATCTGAGGCTATGAGAAATAATGGCTTAAGGTCTGAATGAAAAAGAAATTTCATCCTTCATGATTGCTTTTTTTGCAAAACAAACATTGGTCCCTCATTATTTACCTGCGTGTGGTGATAAAGAAATGGTGAAAATTGAGAGATTGAGCTAACAACACAAAACTAACTCCAAATACCAAGTCTAGCCAAAGCACCAATAACTAACAACTAATACAAGGATAAAGCAGTAGACCCTACTCAACAGCCGAAAAGCCGATACCAGTCGCATATTTCACTACAAATCAAACAAACTATCTTGGTCTGTCTCCTGGTCCTCTTCTTGCTGCTCTGGCAATTCGGACTCTGGCTCGATAACCTCCAACTCAACCGGGTGAGACTGTATTTCAGTTGTCACTTGTCTGAGTCTCAGCCGCTTAGGCAGAGCCCCGGACAAGCCTTGTCCCCACGTACCAGCGCTGCTCGATTCTGCCTGAGTAGTCCCAGGTTCTGGAGGGGAGACGGAGGAAGAATCAGGCTTAGTCAGGAACGTTGGGACAATTGGTGAAGGTGCTTGGGCACGAGATGAGCGCCGTTCTGAGGATGGGCCTGCTTGAGTTTCTTCCCAAAGTTGCATCGCAGCCTCGTCCATTTCAACATCTGTGCTTCCGACAGAAGAACCCTCCCCTTCAGCGGGCTCATCGTCTGAAAACACGGGCTCGCTTCGAGGCTTACTTTGGGGAATATCACGAGGATTGACCCTGGGCAGCGCACTGGGATCCACTGGGACGTTCTTACGACCAAATAGAGCACTTAGGCGCTGAGTCCAAGTCCGCGGTTCTTCTGTCTCTATACCTACAGCAACATGTTAGTCAGAGTTTGGCGCTACATATTTCAATGCTTACCACTCTTGATGAGATCCTCGATATACTTCTTCTGCAGAGGCGTGTCTCCAAGGAGATACTGAGAAGACCCGGTTGTGAAAGTACGACGAGAATCCGCTAGATCCTGGAACGTGACAGTGAACTCCTCACCAAGACCAGGGAAATGTTGGACTTGGCTTTCGGATGTGTCCATGCTTTCAGTCATGTCAGGAGCCATAGTCGTGGCTTCAGGCTGGACTTCGCGATGCACTTCTCGTTGAACTGTAGGCAATACGGATGAAATAGGTGATTCTGGAGGCGTAGCAACTCGTACTGGGATCCGTGGCGCCTTGGTTGGTTCCGGTGCCAGAGGCGAAGGAGCAGGCCTGTAGAATGTTCCAGATCTGATGCTCTCGGCTGTCGATTCGCTTTGCAGATGAAGCGGCCAACGATTGATATCCCAAAACCGTGGTGCTTTGCCTCTGCGATCAGGATGAGCAAAGGACCAAACTGGCTCACGTCGACGAGGGGATCGAAGCCTCAGTCCTTTTTCATCCACACTGCGATCAATGCGGTTTGGGAATAGCATACTCTTGTTCTCATAAGCCTCGCGGAGAATTGCCTTTCGAACAACATCAACAGTAAACCTGTACGACCGGTTTTGACATCCGTAAGTGATTTCGGGGTATCCAATGTCACCAAACTCATCTGCGGGCTGAGATACACACATGATTTCCGCGTAGTCTGGCCTGGCATAATTGTCCAATGGTACGTTGGGGTTATACTGAGGCAACTCTGGTCGTGTTCTAGTATCTGATTCCCATTGTGACACCATTGTGTCGAGAAAATCGCGGTTACGGCCTTGCTGTTCGGGTGTAAGCTGCCTCCTGTACCTTTCCATCCTCTCTTGAAGTTCCCTTATCGTCCTTCCAAGTCGGAAGCAGAGGCGTTGGAAGAACCCGTGGTTTCTAGACATATCTTTCTCGCTAGCCTCTCTGCCGCTCGCAGTACCAAGCCCAACCCAACTGCGGAGGTTTTCAATTTTGGGAAGACCAAACATGTAGTTACCAAGATCCTCCATCTCTGGGACACTAACGTCTGTTGAGATGGTCATAATTTCATCTTCGTCGTCGCTGTCACCACTATCATCGCTGTCATCGCTGTCGTCATCGTCATCGTCGGGTTGACCACCCCTAGTCGCTTGTACACCTTGCATGTATGCGTCCAGGTCATCGTCAGTGTCGAGCCACCGAACACGTTGCTCAGGATGAAGGTTGGGTACAGAACATGATACACTGTTGTCCTCGTTCAATCTAATCTGTTAGAAAATCGCTCATACTATGGGCTGGATATAGGGGACTTACTTAATCACTCCCCTTTTGTCAAGAAGTTCCAGTTCTTCCAAGGCCTCCTCATTGGAGAATCTCCAGCGCTTCACTGGCCCATCACATACTTCATTGAGTGACACCATGAAATTAGCAAAGTCGTAAGAGCCGGCATTAGCTGAGCCGCTCGGATACATGATGTCCTTAACTCTTTGTTCGAATATGGCAGAGAGAGGACTGATGCCATCATGGTTGATCTTTGGGTCGACAGTGTTGGAATGGATGGATTTCATGCCCAATAATCGCAAAAAGTCTTCCTCCAAGGGACGGATATGAGCCAAATCCTGTGAGCCAGAGACGAAGTCTTCCCCTTTGAAGTCCAGCCCCGTTTCATCCCAAGGCCTGCCCGAGAGCCCCTCAAGCATCAGTTGCGTCATGTCGGCCAGGAAGGGTCGCGGTACTCGTTCGTTTTGTAAGAATATCCGCCTTAGCAGGATTTCGCATCTCCTCAGCAACTCCAGAGTCTTCTTCATGTCGTGATCCAGAAAATCGTAAACAAAAGGACCCATCCAGTTCTTGGGCAAATCCATGATGGGTTCTTCGCGTTCCTCCCACCGCTTGTGACCATAACATTCTTTGACGGCGTGCTCATACGACCAGTTCTTCCAGAATCGCTCTGCTTCGAGGTACCATCTATGCGCCACAGTGTAGCTGAAAGGATCACGAGACTCCTTTTCGGGAACGTCTGCTACCTGCATAGTAGGAAAAAGGATACCTGCGTCTGGCTTCTCTGGAATTCTGGGTGGCGGCAGAATGAGTGTGCGGAAAATGTTGCAGACTGCAAGATTCTCAGAATTGTCCAGATGGCTCAAGGTCTGTTGGAGGGCTGCTCGTTGACTTCCACGAAGTGTGGCAAACGCCTGAAGAGCACTTGGGCTGAAGCTTTTTCGGTCAGATTCCGACTTGAACTTGGCTTCAGATGCTCTAATCAGTTTGTCGGTGGTTGGCATGCCCGAAAAGACGCACTTCTCAAAAGCGTTGTTTTCAATCTTGACCAGCTCATGAAGGGAAGATTGGGAACGAGGTGCAGATCTCCAGAAGTAGGGAGCCTCGGATGCATAAAGATCGATGTACTTTTCGAGAACATCGCCAGGCAACTTGTAGTGAACATCAATGGCTGGTCGAATCTTGTTGAGGAGCGACCTTCGCTCGCCCATTTCACTTTGAGGCTTCTCGACAGTGGTCTCGACACCAGGAATGGGTGGCAGCCTCTTACTATAATTTGGCCACACGTTATCAAATTTGAGATTCAGCCTGGGCTTGCCATAGTGATACTGCTCAAAAATCCAGTGTGTACGAAGCATGCCAATAACTTCATGGAGTTCTGCGCCCCATTCTTCACCCTGCCAATTGTGAAGAAGGTATGAGAAGTACTCAGTCAGCTCTGCAATCTTTTGACCCCAGTTCAGAGTCCGATCGATATCTTCATCGGCAAGGAAGTTTCTCGCACGATGGAGTAGGATCTCTGGCGGCTCAATCTTCCATCCCTTGTAGGGGTAGAGATTAAAGTCGTACTTTGGACCACCAAGCGCTTCAACATAGTCTTTCAGCCAAGCTGTATTCTGTTCTTGGCGAAGCTTTTCACGTCCGGACCCTTCAACTGCTGGTTTGTTGCTACCTTGGTCTACAGGGCCCGTTCGAGTACTAATCACGAAACCGGGAATTAAAGGCTTCTTGGTAGGGGCAGACTGGCCTTCCAGATTATCTACGGGCTCAGCAGGGTCAACGTGGATAGACGGAATATCGCTCGAAGGGCCGGCAGTTTCTGGACCAGCCTGAGAGGGACTTGCTTCGACTCGAGTCCAATGCAACAAACGGCCTTCGGGGCGTGCTCTAGTACGAATTCGCGCAGGCAAGGTAAGTGTACTAGCCAAGTTTGCTCGAGAGGTTCCTTATGAAAGTTAACAGAAAGAAAATATCATAATTCGTATGTTACTTACGCCGTGAAGATTCCCTGGTTTGCTCGTTTCGAGTCTCACGCAAGGCCTTCTTCTGTGCTCGGCGTGGTGACTTTGGCGACCGGCGGCGTGACCCGACCCTCGATCCAGCTCTCTTTCTACCGCTCTCTAGGTCTTGAACCCGTAATTAGTATACGAAACGCCGTTGAACGAGATTGTTTCATACCATCACGGAGCTTTTTGAGGCCTAGATAGGGATATCTACTGTCAAATAACTTTGTGGCAGCAATCAGGCAATTAGCCGACCCCCCCATGAAGTCATCCAGACGTCTACCCAATACCAAGCGCTTCAGTGTAGCTGCGAACTCATTATAGCTCTTGTTTTCTTGAAAGCGAGTGTATGATTGTTGGGCTTCAGGCGGGAGACGCTCAAAATCGAAGCGGAAAGTCAAGAGAATTATTTCTGAGGCATGTAAGTATATCTAACACACAAAAGCTGAAGTCTGCCTTACCCAAGAGGTCCCGGATCCTGTCTGATCGACGGGCCAAGGCTGAGCTACTCGCCAAAGCTGGCGCATCTTCTGAAGGGGGGTTGCCAGCCAGGTTAAGCCCTGGGATGCGTGAAGCACTTCCCTCATCCATAGGCCCCGCCATGGCGAGTTGATGGTGATCGGAGATACGGTATCGGACTCAAAAATTATTAGGCAAGGGAACAATGACTGTGAAGGAGGTGGTGAGCTTCCAGGTCGGATTGAAGAAAAGAAAAAAGGAAGCCAGAGGAAATGGGACATGGTATGAAGTGAAAGAAGAAGAATCTATCTACCCCTCTTTCAACAGGTCAATACAAGCATTGGCAGTTCCATCCTCTGCCTAGAATGAACAAAGGAATGCATTCAGGGACAGCCAGCATGGGCATTGACATCTTCCATCATCTCATTCACAATAAGTTTAACAAAGAAGTCGGCAAGCCCGCTCCGCATTGAGCACAGAGCTCCCGTATAAGAAAGCCAAAAATACACTCACTAGGACAAAATTGCGGCGGAGATTCAATCACGCTGGTGTTTAGAATGAAGTGAAAGGTTCGCAATCCGTTATTTCTTTGTTTGTTAACTTGACGCCACAATCCAAGATGGTCGCAATGCCCAACCGTAAGGGGGACAAAGAAATGAACTGAATTCGGTTCAATTGAGCTTGTGTGCTGGCGTAGAAAAACATACGGAATGATTTGAGACAGTCAAGTCTGAAGAATCCTTCATTCACTGCTACTCTCCTGTCTGTAGCAAAGCAATCGCGCAACCATGGCTAGAAAGAATGGTGGAAACACCAAGAAGGATTCCGGAAGACGGATTCGCCGACAAACAGAAGGGACATCGATTGCCCCTAGGCTCGGACAGCGTCCAGGGAGGTCTCCAGCCAATCGTGAAATCAACCTCAGACTTAGACGAAGTCAGCGACTCCAAAGTGCGAGACCACAGCTGTTTCCAGCACCGCCTCACATGGGAGAAGTAGCAGCAGCGGAAGGCTATTCTGCGCAAAGTCAAGGGGAACAGACGGCAGCATCGACTAGTTCACCTGATACATCTGCACAAATGTCCTCTGCTGCTCATGAGCCCTCGAAGGCCCGAAAGCCAATTCCTCCGGATTGGAGACCACCATTGGCCATTGGTGAATCTCTTGGGGATAATCTGAGCCGCCTGGAAGAAGCAGAGCGATCAGTGCTTCAGTGGGAAGCTATTGTCGAAAATGCTCGGATAACTCAGCCGTTAGCAGACTTATCCGGTCTCGAACAGCAACTGCACAAAGCCAGACAGAGATTCTCACAGATGGAAGATACCGATGAAAACTTAATACCTGTGTAAGTCAGCCCGCTCGAAGGGCTATGGTGGCATATGTACTGACCTTCCAGTGATGAGCTAGAGACAACCAAACGACAACGGATTCAACAACGAATAGGTCTTTTGAAAGCATCACTTGAGAGAAGTGAGTGTCCAGTTGGCGATACCAACATACGCGCTGCGATCCGGGCGTACCAGTCCGGGCGTATTAAGTGCTGGGACAAGTGGACGCTTCTGTATGCCGGTAATGTGGTAGACTTCTGTCCCTCATACGAGTCTTTTACCCTTGATCGAGACGAGAGGCTCGATCGATATCATAGCATGTACGGTGATGGCTGGCTCTGGTATGAGGCACCTTTAGCACCAAATGGTAACTACCAACCTGAACAGTTAATGGCTGCCACTTGGGCCCAGCCTTCTGGGTCATGCAGTGCCCTGACGGACTACCATTCTCATGCGTGGTCTATTCATATGGGCTTCCAGCGCGTGAAGGGATTTCACAGCCGCTTTATCTCAAGGCTGAATGATCCTAGCCCTATGGATACTGGAAAAGTCCTTCCATATGAGACGAGAATGAGAGAACATGGCTCGCCCGGGAGAGGCACGTGCTTTGTCGAAGATGACAGTACGGCGCCCCGAGTATGCTTTCATATGCAACTCGACAGTGGAGCCACTCATCCTTCTCTGCACAAGACCGATATGGCCTATCTGGCTATCGACCGCAAGACGTACCCAGCGCAAACTCACACTACAGTCGCAACTGCAAATTCAACCACAGTTGCGGCGTTGTATGAAATACGCGTTGACATTTGCCGACACAACGGGGAGTCACTTGTGGGTGAAGAGCCAGTCTTCCCGAATGCTCGTCGACAAATTGGTGGGATCGTACCAGTCATGGTATTAGTTGAGTCAACAGCAGACCAAAGCAAACCATTGGCCGAATGGTATAAAGAGGCTTTGAAGAATGGCGAGGATGTCTCCGAGGAAGCGATGGCCGCACGTTATAAGGGCCAAGATGAATCCCGTCTGTCTGGAATGCTCCCGTTTCAAGTGTGCTACTTCTCTGGAGCTCCCGGGGCACCAACCTTCTGGTTCGGAGAAGACCGGCGCGATGTACTCGGAGCGGATCGCATGCCAGGTCATCAACGATGGGAACGACATAAGAAAGCCTATATCGTAAAGCGCCCGGCCGAGTTCGAGGATTTGGATCGTCCAACGGTTATATTCGAACACAAGGGCAACGGCATAAGACTTGTTGACATGGACTCTAAGGAAGACAAGGGCACAAGTATATTGAGCGTTGAAAGACAAGTGACCTTAAAAGCAGGAGAAACACCGCAGAAGAAAACCTTTCCAGGCAAGGGTACCTCATCGAAGTCAGGATCAACGAAGAGGAAAAGAAGACAGCAATCATAGCTGGGTAGATGAGCTGCACTATTGTTTTGCGAAGACAAGGAGGTTGCGTTTCGCAGAATTGGCTAGAATTGATACGTGCTTTCAGCTATAGCCACATTGCGCTGGAATTTTTCACGAATAAGATTTATGATGTTAATCAGGAGTATTTCTCGAGTCCATGCGAACAATGATAGATCGAAGTTGTAGCAGCGAAGATGGAACTCGAGATAGACCTAGATGGGGTCTCCAGCCACAAGTGGCTCCTTCCTGCCGATCTTGATCTACGGCAGCGGGGATAAACTGGGCTTATTCCTGGCCGCCACGATCTTGATTGAAAGTCAATGCTTGGCAGGAATGAAGCATTTGTCCATTGACTGATTCCGTAAATATCAACATTTAGAGGAACTCATGTCGTATTAGGTGGAGAATGTTGCATATATCTCGGTACAATCTCTTGTAAGACGTCAATAGCGAAAACAAGACTCGGTTACACGCAGGTAATATTCATCCATGAAAAGAATGGAACTAACGATCACATGGATCCGATGGCCCAATCCAATGACAGCATCTTCATACTGTCCCTTTCTACTAAGCGGGTGCTGCAGCAACAACCGTGCAGCTTAAGAGCATTAAGAGTTGGTCAACGAGCTAATTAAGAATAACTCTATTAAGCCAAGACATTACATATATCAATGTCTTATACAGTAACTCTATCAATATTGAATAAGGTATCCAAGTACCTATTCATATACGAATATCATTCATTTCGCTCTCATCATCGCCTCCACATATTGTCTAGGCAGTCAGCCTTAAGTCTTCAAGACTGCCTTACCGCGTGAGATGGATGGATTTCATCAAATGTTCTGATTTGGCAAAGGCGCTTTTGAATGCTGACAGGACCCTGAACCTGGTAAATTGATTACACGTCGAAAAGGGAAGAGGAAAGGCAAGCGTTTAGCATTAGGGCCTTTCACAGACGGGTTGGGGTTTTATTGTTTCAGTGAAAAAGCAATACTTCTGCCACTATTTTTCTTTGACGTTTCTCTCGTTTCTTGGAAGACTGCTGAGAGGGTTGCATCTTTCAGCTTCAGCTCCGATTTCCTTCCTTTTACCTGCATAAACTCCACTCTGCACTCCACGTTCAGGCTGAGCCTCCAGTGTCTTCCATCCCATGCCATTCCCATCCGACCCGTATCCTAACCTATCCATTTCTCTTTGGATCAGATTCTTCTTCCATTCTTTAGCTGCAAGCACTTCTGCTTATTGACCTGCTTCTTCCGGCTTCTGGTCCGATTCGAAGCTTGAACAACCCCTCTTCGGACGTCATCCTGGCTGGTGATGCTCTCGTCATTTTCAACAACATAGCGTCTTCCGATAATCTTCAACTCACAGCGCTTCGAATTATTGACCAGAGCGCTGCTTGTTGCCCCCACCTAGATCTTGGCAACATTGACGCATTCCTCCTAGACACCCGCACTCTGGGAATAGTACAACACCTCCAGTAGCTGGAGAGTAAAACGATATCCTTGCTTTAGTGGGAGCCTAGTACCCAACACGAGCACCCGCCGTCTTTCGCACGCAGCTACTGGTCTCGTCGCCAGGGCTCCATAAGCTTCCCCCTCCACCAACCTGCAATCGACACTTAGCAACTCTTGGATTCATGAACACCACTACATCACCAATTTCTCAGCATTTACGCTCAATTCTGGCATCGCAACTCTCCACACGCCCTGGCTCTGGCGTAGCCCGACGCTTTCGTCGCCATCGGGACTCAGCCAGCCGCCCCCTCCGCTCCCGATCCCGCTTCGTCGCCGTCATCTCCCCCCACTCGACACCGCCGCTCTAGGTACCGTTCCTCACTAGGATACTCGGCTCACAGGGCCTCACAAACCTTAAGCCTGACGCTGCATCAACAAAGCCACGATCATGTCGGGCCCTGCGAGCGTGAGGGTCTCGGGTCCTCCAAACAGTAGCTTTCTCGTGGGCTATCCTGGTATCTCTGCGACTCTGGTACGTCAATCTCAGCTTCAGCTTGTCTTTGCTTACGCCCTCATCCTTACCTCACCAGTTCAAGTGCGCCGGGCCTCGTTATGCTGACATTGGTGGTTTCTGTAGCCGCGCATCGAAGGAAAAGTCGAAATTCGCCCTGGGCAAGGTTTTTCCATGCCCGTACCCGTATCCCTCGTTCGAATATGTCTTCAGCGCCGAGAAACAATACATCCCGATGCCGACAGCATTGCGAAACGACATCTAGGCGCTCCCCGCCGCGAGACCACGGATCTAGTCGGAAAAGAGCAGCTCCTCTTTCGCTGCTCATCTGGAAAGGAGGCCGAGAGGATCATTGCTATGGATCTACCGTTCGTTCTGTTTATTCCTTTTGGTCGCGGCGGCGAAGAGTCGAATCGTCGTATACCTCCAGCGTCCCTCCAACTACCCAGCCGAACCGCCGAAACATACTACGAGCTCGTCGTTACTGTTCAGCAAGGCCACAGCAACCAGTACAAGTACACTTTTCCAATACCTTTACAACGCTACGATACACTTTCTACCTTCGGAATGTATAACAAGCCCGAATCCAAATTGGTCACTAACGATAATATCGTACACCTCGGCATCAATCTACCACGGTGGAGCTACGGCCCCAGTGATCCCATCACAGTATATATCAAACTGTCACCAAACCTCGATTGGTTAAGTAAAGCGAAACGCGTCACAATTGAAAAGATTACCTTGACTGTTGAGGAGGAAATCACATTCAACCCAGAAGGTGATGAACCTACGAAAAAGATAAACAGGATCTCGAAACAGGTGCAACCGGTTAAGACAAAGATGCCAGAGGCGGGTTACGCCACAAACGTCGGGCTGACATTTCCATCCAAGGATCTGAGAGATCCAGAAGGCGTCGTCAGGCGGGGGAAGCCCCAATTTCCTCTTTACGAAGTCACATCATTTACCACGACTTCTACCCTTTACAAAATCGAGTTCTACTTGGTTATTAAGGTATGCTCTCTTCGGGTTTCCATGCCTCGCCTGCGCTAACAGTCCAAGGTCAATCTTAGTGGTGCCCGAGATGTAATGATACGTCAGCCGATTGTCATCTGCCCGTTAGATCAACAGGCCTGTAAGGAAGAGATGGACGCTATAGAACAGGCGGCCAAAGACGCCTCTCACGTGGATCCGAACAACCCGATGCTTCCAGCGCCGACTGTTATTCTCGCCAACGACCGCGATTCATTACGAGCATTGGGTCTATGTATGGTTGGAGGCCAGAAGAAGCCATTCATTGAATGATGAACTAGGAGGTCCAGGGATGGCTTTTAAGAACCTTTTTGCCATGCGCCACGCTCACCCGAAGATGGCAGGACGCCGTTGCGCCAATGAGCCGCAACTGAAGCCGCGTCGGGAGTATATCTCCCATGCCAGATCCAGCGTAACGGCACAACGGTAGAGAAATAGGTCGCACGACGGCATATGAAAGGACCTGGCGAGAACGGAACTAAGCTATCGAGGTTCCCTCCAGTTGAAGTATACCCAGGGGTGTTTGCATTTTGGGGAAACCGGCGAAGAGGGGATAGGGCTCTTGTAATACCGGGCATAGTTCATGGCGTTCCGGGGGGGCTTCAGGGAAAGGAATGAGCACAGGCAGTGGGCAAGTGCACGATGTAAATGTTCCACATGTCATAGTGATATGAATGAAATATATTGAATCTTATGAAGCCATGAGTTTTACAGATTGGTCTAATGAGTCATTTTCTGAGGGCATGAGTAGAGTTGATCCATACTCCGAGCATGAGGAGCTGAACTCGACATAAAGGAGATTGCACCAAGGAAAACACCTTCGAAAGACAATGGGAAACAATGGAGGGTCATTGTACTTGAGAAACAGAACGGAAGGATTGTTTGAGAATTACAGAGAGGATTGCATAAACCTCAAGCATGATCCTATAGAGACAAACAAGCAGCACAAATTATCCAGATCATCGGTTCTCGCCAATAACAATAACAAACAAATCAAGCAAGACAAACATCTAAGCAATGACGGAAACAGCAAAAATTGAATCGCTATTTTGCTAACTGGAGGGTTCGAACCTCCGCGGTTTCCCACTGCGGGTTTGGTTTCTGATTAGAACCTAAACACAGCGCCTTAACCACTCGGCCAAGTTAGCGATGATGATTCGTTGATTGTTAAAAACGCCTGCGTTGTCAGAGTATATACTACCACAGCTTTGGTGGGGGCAGAAAATATCAATATCGGAGCTCATAGGTTTGCATAAAATTATCTTTCAACATCAGTTCACGCCAATCGACCGAAGATTGTTCTCGACGCCTCCGAAGCCCTCTCCGACAATATCTCAAGCGATTTTAATATCACCTGAAGCTTAAGAAAGCTCTTTCGCCATATAATCGCCATGGCTTTTGACGACGACGATAATCCCAGTACCTTAGCACAACCGGTCAAAAGCACCAATGGTGCTGCTACAGAAGATGTCGACGATGACGCGCCGGATGTTAACCTCTTCCTATCCATGTTCGATAAGCATGGTGTATCAAGCAAAGCTATTCGCAAGGGCGAGAAGGATTTCGAGTCACATGGCACCCGTGCACAAGATGGTCTTCTCGAAGCGAGTCGCACTGTCTTGGATAATGTCCTAGGCTACACAAGGATACATCGCGAAGATTCCTGGGTTCGAGGATGGTGTTTTACCGACTGGTGGGCCAAGGTAGAGGAAGCTGGCGAGAAGGAGGGCTTGTGGCTACGTGACAGAGTTGTCATGGTTGAGCATGAGCGCGGAACATGGCAGAAAGATATTGGACGGGCGGTACCTGCACACAAGGAGCGCTTGGGTACGGGGAAAGTCTGGCTTTTGCCTGAGGAGGCTATTTTTCTCATCGAGAGAGGGACCATGGATCTCTGGTGGCCAAATCGACAACTGGAGGATATCCTACCCCACGCTGATGGAAAACCGAAGACGGATATGGGACCTGACGACTATGATGCCGGGCTGCCTTTGAGTCTTGAGGCAGCATATTCACTTTTTATCGGAAACGAGGGTGAGAGGGGCAAAATCACATTACCACAATACCAGGTTTACTCGCATCTGAAGCGAGCAGGCTTCTACGTTCTACGCGCGCCACCCTATGAGGCACCAACACCAACACCCCAATCCAAGACTCTATGGCAGTGGCTATTCTCATTCTTTAACTCAGAATCACAACCAAAGCGAAACCCATCTGGACCTCTTGTTCAGCCGGGTCTTTACCGCGCTTATAGACCTATCTACGACCAACTTGCCATTCTTCCCCGCCACAAACCACTACCTACACCTCCCATAGTTCATCCTCCCCAAGATCCTTGGCGAGTTTTCTTTCACGTATGGAAATCAGGTGGCGCGCCATTCTCGAAAAAGAACCCACCACCACCTGATTTCCGCTTTGCGGTGGTCGACGCAAGCGATACATGCGTTCCAACGCTCGAACAAATCGAAGCTCTTCTAGAATCTACACCTTACGACCCACCCAGTGAGGCTTGGAAGGGCCCTGGAGGACGGATGTATCAGCGACTAAAGCACGGACACCGCAACGTGCTGGTAGCGATTGTGGATCGCGGCCTCGTCAACTTTATGAGATTTGGCGAAGGAGCATTTGGAGAGGAGAGATTGTTTGAGAGATTTGATAATCAGGGAGGCCAGAGAGGTGGACCAAAGACAGGTCGTGGTGGAGGCAGAGGACGCGGTCGGGGTAGAGGCCGTGGTCGAGGACGGGGGAGGTGATGTCAGCTACAATGAAGAAATGAAATGCAACGACATCGAATGAATTGACGTCAGAACCTGATCGTACTATGTTTGCAACGGATTATGCAGATGAGCTGACGTGTGTCAGGTTTTCTCATGGTGCTATAGTAAGAGTGATCTCGTTGGTTGACATGCTATACTGACAGACTAAGTTACCTATCGCAATCAACTACTCATAATCATCGGGAAAACTCGTATTTACTGCACTCAACTTATTGTCAGACTCACAATGTCAGAACTTGGGCTCTGAGCTGGGAAACTTTGGCAGTTTCTTCTGGCTATGAGTGTCATATGCGGCCCAACTACAAAACCGCCACCAAGAGTTTTGATGAGTGAAAATATTTGCAGCCATGGTAATTTACCCACAAGTGTATTTCAACATGAGATATGAGTCAGGTTTTACATTAAACAGGCAACCCTCGGCAAAGAGTATCGACTGGTTCGCTTGTCTTCAAGTTCAACCAGTCGCATCTATGTGCTACCCGGGAGGCGTTTCACAGACATGACAATTCCAACAATTACACTCGATTACCGTCGAATCTCCGGAACGCAAAATCCTTGCCTTGAACGAGAACGAAAGTGGCGTTGTTCCAGAGACCGAATGTGCAGTTGTGACAGACGAATCACATTGTGATCACAGCGAGACACTATTTGGATAAGTTGACAACTCAATTTGGCAGAAGTCGACCAACAAAAATGAGGGAATTAATGGCAACACGGCATAAAAGACTCTGAAACTCAGACAGGCATATTATGCTGATAGACAATGCAGAGAAGCATAATTGGCGCGACGCTGTGACTTGCCTTAACCATACACAGTAAAAGAGTTGGTGATTTGCGAGACGTGCATAATTGGCAGAGAGGCACGGTAACTCATGATAACCAACCAGGACGACCTAGCAGTGGATATCATCGGCTCCTATTCAATTGAGAATGAGCTTAGGGAACGAGGAAAAACTTGGACTTTTACAATTCTCAGTGACATAAAAACCGAGATAGGTGTAGGATAACTTAAAGTGAACTTAGTAGGCTCTTTGACTAGTCCATTTTCGTCCCCACATGTGAAGGTCTCAAAGACCTCTGACACCCTGAGGAAAGTCCAATTTTTCTTAATAATAAAATTTACAGGGGTTGCTGAATTGTCGGGACTTAGTGGGTGAGATGGGCCGATCGCGAAGAGATTGGGAACTTTGACGTTGAATCTGATGACAAGCGAGTCATGTAATATGAGTTGAAGTTTCACAAGTCTTTTGAGGAAAAATATGTAGATGATCAGAGTCTTTTCGCACTTGGCGTCATTGTTGTAAACATGTCCTCAGAAACTCATTCTTTCGTAAGCACTTGTACTAGATATCTTGCTTGACTGTCTCGGCGACCTCCAGATGGAGCGACGCTGACGAGAAGTCAGTAATCAACTCGTGTAAGCAAAGAAGAGGCAGGATTGGAGAAGACTGGCCGCGGGCGCTATACCGGCATGGTGCTATTTATCCGTCCTTAGCCCTGCCACTATGTGCGTTACCGTACAATTCTGTACAACCGTCGGTTGTTGAGATGAGCTGAGTTGAGCTAATGTCCGTTGGAGTTTCGAGGGTTGATACCCTTTTTCGTTTTCAACCTCGGCAGTTTCACGGTGCAATTGAGTTGTCGACGAAGTCTACCATGTGGTCATGAGTTTGAAGGGACGGCTCTCATCAGATATTCATGTGAGATCGCCCAAGAGATGAATTGGGTGATGACTCTGTCAGGAAGCTGAACTGCTATAAAAGACGAACGATGCCCAAATTGAGAGGCGTGTTTCAGTGTTTAGATAGGGCGTGCGTATAAGCGCGGGAAACCATGAAGTTGCGAGATTACAGATTTTCCCGCAAAAAGACTCGCTGTTCTCTATTGGCTACCGTCCAGAGCTGGAACACAATGCTGTTACATGATTGGCTAAAAAGAGCCAAATATGTCATCATAATCATAACGTACTGGCACTATTCAATCAGCACATGCCTCAACTTTTCACTTTCCGGCATATGCAACATGAGGATATTGACTTTTTGGAGTGCTACCGCAAGTCAAGGTTTCAAATTAACAACGTGAAAGTGCCGGATTGAGCTAATTTTGTTGGCGATGAGGAGAAGAGAAGAACGGGAGAGTTGTCGGGACTTGTGATGTGATGTGGAAGGGTTTATTGGCTTGAGCTTGTGACTATTGATGGAAATCGTGGCATCATTGCTGCTATCAAGCCAGGCTTGTCTTGGCGCTGCGCTGCTGCTAGGGGGCGGTGTTGCGCTGGCTGGCTGAGTCGATCAGTCACAGAGGGTGAACCATTGCCAGCGATTAGTGGTAGGAGAACGATTTATTGTATCACTCTGTAACCTGACAGTGCTCGTTGCCAATTTGGAATCTCGTATCCTTGGCATCTAGCCTACACGTCTATTCACCGGGCCTTAGTGTTCAGAGGGAGCGGTGTCAGTGTATGCGTCAGTAGTTGTCAACTAGCACGGGTAGAATGATGCACAACCCCATAGGTGCCGTTGAGGGGAATTGGAAAGACACATTGGAAATGATGCGACATGATAAAGTTCAATAAAAATACAAGGGTCATTGTTGATTAGAGTTGCTGTATCGGCACATCGAGTCGCGTCGAGTACAGAACTTGACAACACCTTATCTAAGAGACTGTGAACCTATGGGGGTGACTGAGGATGTTCATAGGCGTGTATGTAGTATTGCATGAGCTGGTCTAAAGCGTCCACCTATGAGATGTTTCATGAGTGAACATTCGCAACCACAAGAAAGGGGATTCATCATCAGAGAAAGAGGTCAGAAAAAACCAGAGCTGAAATGATGAGTGAGTATAAAAAGTTAAATATGGTTGAAAGGGAGATGAAGGGTGGAAGAACTGATGGCTTATACGGAACATCTCCATGGTCAACTGCACAACTACCTTTCTGACTATTCGAGATTGTGCAGAGCTGACCTCGAGTTACCTGATAAACGCAATGAACCTTGACGTTCCAATCTTGGTTCGTTGTTGCTGCTCTTGGTGCACCTAAGTGTGATGTTGAACCAAGGCTGGCAACTCTCGTGGCCAATCAGAACCAGCCATGTTGATGCAGTAAATCTCCAATAACGAAGAATGAGAATCGAAGGCACAGTCACTCACTCCAGTTCAGTGAGGGGTGAGCCAAGGTCTTAAGTCCACGAGCCAATCTTAGTTACCAAGGGAGAAGTTTAGAGTAATCGACCAGTCGCAACAGTATCGTGTCAGTGCTGATACAGTTGCAGAACAAGTTCAGCATGAAATACTCTCGCCTCCAAGGGTTCAACTGATAGCGTTGCCTTGTCATTGATTCATTTCGTAAGATTCAACCAAGGCATCTATAAATCCACTCTTTTCTTCTACCGTTTCCACACAACTTCTCTTCCGGGCTCCCTGGCAATTCCGTTACGACGTAAGGTAACTGTTGACTTTTGCCTTAGCTCTTTGCATGCCCCACACGCCCCCATTTTGAGATTCCTGGACTTCCATGTCTACTATTCATTCTCCGTTCTCAACCTAACTTTAACTTATCCCTTTCCTACCTATTCCCCTTCCTCAACTATTCATCGTCAACTTGACAATCTCTCACTCGTTGAGTTCAGTTTGCTCCTCGATGGATCTCGGTCTCTACACAACTCGTACAACTACCTCTGAGTTATCCTGTACGTAATCCCTTCTCTTGTCCTTACTCGTCAACTTCCTATCTGCCAAGTTGAACTGCGCTTATTGTCTTTAGCCCTGGGCCCCCGGCTCTAAGATTCCAGAATCAGATCCTCAACCAACCAGGGTGTTGGTCTTGACTCTCCCATTCCTGCTTCCCGACGCCATCCACTTCAACTTTACCTGAGGTGACCTTAATTTATTTCATCTCACCTCCCAAGCTGTGGCAGTGGCTGTACTAGTTAGTCTTCTGCCTTGCCTTACCTCACCTTAGCCTCAGGTAATACCCAAGGTAATTAATTGGCAACCTGAGTTGCGACCATTGACGCGCAAGTCAACTCACTTCTTTTCTTGCAACTACCTAAACTCGGTTTTTGATAACGCGCCATCACCTAATTCTCTGTCTCCCGTTTTTCTTTCTTTCTAAATCTCCCCAACGGTCAACCCAATTGCATTTTCATCAACTGAAGCCAGTCAACTAACGACAACTCTTTCGCGCTCCAGTATAACCAAGTGAGATATTCCTCAAGTCGCGCGCGTCATGGAAAATACGGACAGTGACAAGCCCAGGCCGGTTGCGCCGCCTGAGCCCATATCACCCGCGCTCTCTTCTGGTGCTCCCAAGCCGTCAACTTCTGGAGCTGCATCACCAGCTCGTGTTCCAACGCCAGACTCTGCCCTCGTCATAAAGGTTAAGAGCCCTTTGGTTGAGAGCGCGCCTGTTAACGTTGCAACAACCGGTATATCTGCTACCCCAGCGCCCAGAGCCGCATCACCACCAGCAGCCATGCCGCCATCACCATTACCAAAGGCTTCAACTCCAGCTCCAGTTACTAAGGATCGCGCTCCATCACCGGCGAACGCGCATTCACCTAGTACTGCTAATGGTAAGTCACCAGTTGCTGCTCCGTCTGCCGCTATAAGCGCATCACCAAGGCAAGTTACATTTCCGTTGTCATGGGTTGTTACTCTTTCTTTCTCTATCCTCAAACCTCCCCAAACTCGTCAAAACATTCACGTCGTGTTGGATTGCTTCGCCATCATGTCTTCGCGTCCTCAGCCAGTCAAGTGATTGAGCCAGAGAGTGAGCGAGTGGCGTGGCTTCGAACAAGGGTTTACGGCCTAAGTTAGTTGGCATTGCCCGATTTGTCAACACAAGGGCAATTGTTGTTGACCGCATCTGACCTGACTGTATCTCATCGTGATTTCTTGAAAGATACGGTGACTCTGAATCTAATCACCGTCGACGAATCAAGGAAGTGACAGGATTTGATCCCAAGCGGTGTCGAATGTTGCCCAACATGAACCGAATAGGCTGAATCACTCACTGCCGCAAGTTGCATTCACACTCTTTAGTTGGAGATGTAGCTGCAACTGCACTGCAACTTTCCTGCTTCAATGACAACTGGCAGCAGCGATTGTCTTCCTCTCTCTCTCTTGTTTTATCCTAGCTCAAACCTTCTTTCCTGCTCATGCTTTCATCTTTGTTTTGGTATTATTTGCTTGTGTTTTGTCTCAACATACACCCTCATCCTTCAAAGTTTTTGGCAAACTCAACTATTCTTTTGACCTTGTACTGAGAAAGAGGAGGATTTTGGAGCCAACCACACGCTCTCACATTCACCCTCAGGGTGCGGACCCAAGACTATGGTTTCTGTAAAAAAACCTTAGGTACCCCAGCTCTTCTTCCCATTCCCCCTTTGGTCTCACATCCTTGCCCCTGTAACATCGTCATCTTTCACCTCGTACTGGATATTATACACCCCTGCAACCACGTCAGGCTTCATCAACCTAACAAACCTCACCTCAACTTGACGATGGATTCGGGATCTCGTCAGCCCCAGCCCGCATCTTTTCTTATACTATATACACCGGTGCTTTATTAGATCGAGTGGTCGTTGGGCATCTTACTTTCTGCCCGAGTTCAGCAGTGGTTGACTTGATTCAATGCATTTGTCTTATACCACCCTGTGTTTCAGAATATAGCGCTGGCCAATGAATCACATCTAACTCACCCTCACAGACAGACCAACGGTCGCAAGATTTCCATCGGCGACGCAGACGTTGAAAGCGAGCTAAGTGAGCCGGCGAGCACTGTACATTCTCCGTCAGGGGTCGACTTCAACGAACTTGAGGACGAGATAGTAGTGGGCGCTCGCACTAACGGTATTCGCAAGTCGTCACCTCTTCGGCCAGCATCTGAAGCCGATGACGAGATTATGGGAGATGCTGAGGATGAGCCCGTGGCTTCCCACTATCCAAAGAGAAAACGCAACTCTATTTTCCATGACCTGAGTGAAAGGAAAATGGAGCCGGTGAGGTCTCTCGCTGACGAACGACAACCACAAGCAACTACAACGAAGAGCAAGCCTCCACGTTTAAGCACCGGAAGTGTCAAAGGCGTCACCATAGGATATTGGAGAGACTCAGAGGCTCCTACAGTGGATCTTAAACATGCCGTCATTGGTTTCATCGATGTTCGCGAGCGATTACGGACCCGTATCCAGCCCACCACATTATCTGGAGAAACGATATCAGATGAATACCCCTTGCCACCAGGACCTGGCGGAAGTTGGGTAACCTTCGACAAGATTGTGTTTTTGGATCATCTTGTGGGCTTAGACCAGCTACAGGTGAAGGAGTATGTCAAGATCCGCGCCGAAGCGATTGGGACAGACGAGCTTGAGGGAGAGAGAGTTGCTGCTGAGAAGGCTGCCGTCAAAGAAGCAGTCCGTCGGGCCAATCTCAACTCCACTGCCGAGCACGGCACAAATCTACCTCAGGTTGCTTATGGAGTTGATCTTCCCGAACACTTGCAACAGAATCGCGATGCCAAAAGGAGGAGGACGAGCGGAGGGTTTGCGCCAGCCAATCCTCCTCCCTCAAATGGCCCTGTCATTGAACACACTCCCATTCAGCCAGCCCCCGGTGGCCCGCAACCTTTGCGACATACCGTCGATCCCCTGCCCGGCACCAGACCTACCCGAATTCTTATTGGGCATTGGGCAAAGTCCAACTCGCCGGATCCTCGTGATCGCCATGCAGTATACGGAATCTTGGGACAGAATGATATGTTCCGCGTTAAGCTGGTACGGGAGACGCGCGATGGACGTTTCGTGGAAGGAAACTTCCCCGCTGGGGCTGGCGCACTCTGGATCGCATACGAGGAAGTTGCATTTGAGCCGCACTTGAAAAACCTAGCACGGAACGAGATCAAGGAATATTGCCGTGTTCGACAGTATCAGATAGACATGGGAGAGAAAGAAGGGGAGCGAACCTCAAACGAGACCAAAGCTGTTTATGAAGCACAGGCAAGGGCCGCGGGGACGAATTACAAGGCGCCTGCTCCCTTGTCTATCGCACCCGCTCTACCCCGTCTTCCAGGCGATTATGGCGAAGAATCTGATCAGACAGGGCGAATGGGATATGGAGGCCATGAGTTGCGTCAGAGTCGCCGCGTCGAGGCCGCCAGAGCCGAAGCACGCCAGTCATACATAGATATTGACACTCCTCCTCAACCTGCGCCAGCTCCTCGCCAAACCACGGGCAGGACATCGTTGAACAACAATGCGATCGAAAGAACATCGGCTCTAGCGGAGCGTGAGATTGCACGCGTCGAGCTCGCTCAGGAACGCGCTCATCTGCAAGCAGCGAACCGTGAACGTGCAGCAGCCGCAGCCGCTCAGGCAGCCCAAGCCGCTGCCGCGAATATCCCTGGCATGGCCGTTAACGGGCGGCAGCAATTACACGAGCGGGACGAAATGCAACGCCTCAATAAAGTCTGGGCGCGCCAGGAAAGCCTCCGACTAAGAACAAATGCCGAAGATGCAAAGATGTACGCCGGGGTGAAGTATGAACGCAAGACGCAAGGCCCATTTACTGGGAAACTCGTTTCACAAGGCACCATTATCAATATCGACGGCGAGGACTACATTGAGTACCGTGTCCTCGCCAAGCCGTCGTTCTTCTAGAATGATGATTGAGCTGTATGGGCACTGGGGCTCATCCATCAGCTCCGACGAAGTGAGGGCTTGAAAGCAGAAACAAAGCCCGATACATCACCGACTCACATTACCTTTAATATTTATCTACACATCACCTGCAGCAAGACGCCTTTGTTTCAGGTTCAACCTCTGTATACCATGGGAAAGGAGAAGACTTTTGACAAGATGTTGAGGTTTTGAGCAAGACAGAAGTTTGGGGCTCTACAGAAAAGGACTCGGTCCACTTGCACTAGAATGGCTCTTGATGCTAACCTTTCTTTTCTTTTCTTTTCTTTTGTTACTTTATACCTGATGGTCGTGTTTCATCATACTATAGGTCAAGGTTGGGAGGTGGAATGGATGTGTCTAGCAGATTAGACTCCGCGGAAACGGAGAGGATGGTGTTTGGGGTCGGTGTGCTGCGGAATTATACCCGGTATAGGCAGACGGTATTACATTGCTCTTGTATGAACTAGATATACTTTTTATTTTTATTTTTAATTGATGCTCTGGAAGCATGTACTGGACTGGACGTAACATCGTGACCACCATGGCTTGTATATTTGTGTTAAAAGAAACTACCGACATCGTTGCGAGTTAGCTTCAGAAGGTGATGTCTTATTTCGAGATGCAGTCGAGCAAGCATAAGATGACCAAGGTTGGTACTGCAACGCTGTCGCATATAGTACTGTAATGTGGCCGACTTGAGTCCTCCTGTGGATAATAGCGCAACGCTCTTGTACTATTGGGTTATTTATCATCAATGATTACTTACAGACCGGCACCGTGATAGAAATTTATGTGTATCCTGCAGCAAGGATCGCTTGCGGGAGTTCAATATGTGTAATCATGTTTTGGTGTGAGGCAGCATGTGCGTGTGCTATATGCTAGAATACGAGCCCACCCTTGTATCAAATCCTCTCCAGCCGTCATCGTATAGGGGTCAGTACATCAGTTTGTGGCTCTTTGAAGCACTGAAAACGCAAGTTCGAGTCTTGCTGACGGCAAAAGAATTATCTTTTGCTATTTTTGGCGATTGGTTTTTATATACTTTTTTATATCCTTAGAGTTTATTTTGCATTTTGTGGTCGACGCTGTTATTTGAATGGGGAGTCAATGCCGGTGGTGTAAATGAGATATCAGTGTGACACAGTGAATGAATGATGCATTGTTTCCAGTTGGGAGAGAATACGACCGGAAATAATACATTGGTCCTTGCTTGAAGAACAGAAAGATATTGGAATGTCTATCGTTTATAAGTATCGGCTAACGATTTGTGCAAACACATAATCCATCAAAGTAGGCTGCTTCACAATTGTACAAACGTCATGACGTTTAGAATGCATCACGCTTGCGATTGATCCGTTGGATTTGGTCAAGAAGCTGTTTGTGGGATACTTGATAGAGATCAACTGTTTACCTTGCACAGTCCGATGATGGGCCTCGGGAAAGATATCGGTCCTTTGGGCGGTCTGTAACACATCACGAAGGAGAAGGCTCCCTTTGCGGAAATATACTCGAGTATGTAATCCGCTATCTCGGAGACTCTATAGTTGCCAATAGTGACGGACTGGGACAGAGTCACAAGAGAAGATACACTCGGAGTAACTCCACTTGGTGGAATGTGATGACCAGAAGAGTAACGAGTAAGAAGTCATAGCTAGCTGGTCATCACATATACGGATGATGACTCTCCCGAAGTGCCTATCCTCATGACGTCAACGAGTCCCGTCGGGATGGTATGGCCTATGCTTGCTCTTTAGCAGGCAGCGCAGTGGTTCGCTGATTTGTGCAAGGGTTTATCAGCTCTTCAGGAGAGTCAAGTACAAATACGAGGTTCAGACTCGGCCAATCGTGTGTATCACAGAGACAGAAGTTTCTATTTGGGGCGAGTGCCCAGACTCGAGAACTCCCACGTGAGTAGGACTCATTTCATGCGGTGAGAGGTCGATGGCGTTCGTCCCTTGTGCATACATAACCCCTGCTGCAGAGGTTCCGTTTCACAATATGAGGGTGAGCAGAGCACGTCGTAGACGCTGGACTACAAGACTCTAATGCGCTGTGCCGAGTCAGCCTCTGCTCAGCTCAGAGTCGTGCATTGGATAGATAGACACGGTACAGCACAGTAGTAATGTCTCGTCTTTCACCGCAAAAGTGAGGTGCATATTTTGGAACAATTGTTATGCAGAGTTGAATCATGTGTCTCTGATTGTGTCAGCGTCCACCAGTAGCAGTAGGATCAAACATACGGAGGATAGATGATCTGCTGCAAGATACCGTCTCATAGACATGAGAGAAAACAAACATCAAACGGGGAGTCTTCTAAAGAGTGGCAATCTGCAGTGCATTTCAGCTCTTCCAACACGCGGGAAAACATGGCTTCAGTGGGGGGAGAGGGTCTTGTGTAACCACGAGCAAACGGTGAACGCGCAACTGAGGTTTGGAGGGAGGGAGACTCGAACGAGAGAAAAGGATAGATACAGATAGATAGACACTATAGTATGTGCATATCCTTTACATAGCCTTTTACTCGAAACCTCAACAAGAATTGCCGGCCACGTCGTCTCTGAGGGAAGATATACTCTCACTCAAAGTATTGTATTAGCGAAAACACACTCAGCAGAGTTGGTTACCTAGAATGCAACATCCTTGTCGAATACTCGCTTGGCCTACCAAACAACAACCGTTTATGCCATTGCAACACACAACGCAGCTGAAGCATGTCTTTCTCTCCCTCCGGCTCCCATTTCCCTGTAAACACCGTCCCTTCTATAATGTCATGCCATGTCATGTCATGTCATACACCAACAAACATCGGCTTCTAGACTTTCCACCCTCCCCCATCCATTCACCCATCGTGGCAGCCACAACTAGAAATCCCGCTGAGGAAACAAACGAAAGAAGCCTCGAAAACCTTCTGGTATAGGAAATATTCTCCGTCCGCCACGATGCAAGCCCCCCTCGTGTCTACCAAGTTTGAGTGGATGGAAGGGAGAGAAGGCACACGAGGCTATTCTCGTCGGACGCGGGTAACTGCGGTGTTGATGCCGTGTAACACTTGAACAAACAAGGACGCAGACATACATTACATTGCATACTCAATTGAGGCTGTATGATAGCGGTAGAGTCACGGAGGCACCAGCCTGATCTTGTCCATGCTACCGGTCCTGCCGTGGGAACTGTCACCGGTTTGTGCTTCGTACTTTTGGGGCCTGGTCTGAAGACTTTGGTTTGTGATTTGTTGGTCACAGAATGATCAGAGTGACAGCTACAGCTGCAGTTGCAACTGTTATAGGTCTAGGTTCAACAGAGGAAAAAAGGACAAGCTAACAATGTGAGATGCGGTCTCCTCAAGTATTCCTCACCTCGCTCGTTTGACCCTTTTCTCTTTTCTCCGTCTCCTCCTCCCGTTTTTTTTTTTAATATTTTAAATCAGCCTATTACTTTCCGTTTTTATCATTATCGTCTCTATCCCTCTCACTTCGAGTTACCTCCTCTTAATTCAGCTGAAACTCCAGAGCATGTCCCATCAATAACACACCCTCTCCCTTCCGTCTTCCTCACTCTTCCAAATGTCCACCAAGACTAAAGGCTGCAGCGGCCACAGCTGGGGCTTCATTGCGCCTGATGTTCAGGATCCGCCACTATGCATCAGCCTGTGTAGGGAGAGGTTCCTCAAGGAGCTGGTGCCAGGGGATGAGACAATTGAGCGCGTGTGCGAGGTTCTTCAAGACAGGGACTGGATGGAAGAGGAGCAGCCTTTTCGGGCGCTTTATTGTTGTGATGCTCAGGCTTGTGGCGTGGATAACCTGGGCGAGGGTGGAAAAGATCGTATGTGATGATGGCTTTGGGTCGTTGAGATGCTAACAGATGTAGCGAATGTGAATTGGCTCATCAATACTTGTCAAGAGTAAGCTCACCTCTACTACATCTCTTGATTGCTTATACTGACATGTTGAAGCCATGGTTACCACTCTATAATAGACCCGGGTCCTCCACAACCATATCACATTTGTGATCCTGAATCTCTCAACGACGACAAAGACTGTCAACAAGTAAAGGGAACAGACAAGTCACAGGATGCGTCATCTCAAACGACGGCGGGGGCTTCAACAGCAGAGAGTACGCTACAAGCAACGACAAGACCAACAACATTAGAAACAACTTCAGTTCCAATACAAAGCTCAATACCAGAAACCACATATTCCACCACAACAGACCCTTCAACACTCGCAACCTCCGACCCCTCAAGCAGCAACTCAAACGAAACCAACAAAGGAATGCCTTTGGGCGTCAAAGTCACAATAGCTATCATCTCAGTCGTCGGTCTCCTCGCCATCGCCGCCCTCATATTCTGCCTCCTTCGAAGACGTCGATCTCGCAAGACTGATATTCGGAGACTCATCAAACATCCATCTTCACCTCCTCCTCGCGCAGACTCACCTACGCCTTTGGTTTCACCGACTATTTCCCATACAGATCCTGACGGTGTCCCGCTTACACCGCCTGCACGACTTCGAGAGCGAAGATTTCTAGCTGATGAGCCGAATGGGTTTCCTGCGTCTCCGGTGTATTCACCAACAAGCAGTAAACTCTCGCCGCGGCATGAGAGGACACTGAGGATTTATAGTGCCAATCAAGTTCCCATGATAGTCATGACGGCACCTGATGGAGGAAAAGTCAGGGATGATGGATCGCTCAGTTTCAGCGATGGGATTATCACTCCTCCGCCTTCCGCTCATATAGCACCTCTTGGCTATAACACCCAAACTTCTCCACCAAGACCCCCAAGATCTCGCGATGCTTCATTTAACATGCTCGCTAGTCCTGGGCCTCCACCCACGAGGGCACTTCCATCGACGCCTCCTTATCGCCCATCTACTCCAGCATCACCACCCCGAAAAGGAACGATGCCTCTCTGAGACTTCAGAGATACTCAAATTCATATCACACCCGAAGCCATGTCGAGTTTATAGAAATGCTTCTATTTCGGAGACTACAGATGATGGCTATCTTGAGATAATGGGATCGACAGGATAGACGTTAGATATCGTACACGACGCATGTATGTATGTATGAAGACACAGAGAGCAGTGGTCAAGAGTCACACGATCCACAACATGTAAATTTATCCCTAACAGGCACTTTCACTACAGTACTTTACTTTATTTCTTCTATGTAGCATACTTACTTACGTATCCCATCCTCTAAATACCAATTTCCTTCAGTGACTTAACAAGATCCGTCACACTCTGCTCAATGCTGATCCAGTCAATCTTGAGCAACTTCTCCGTCTCCTGCGTATCAATCTTAAAGATCTGATCCTTAGGAGGAAGCTCTCCGCCCTTGACTTCTGGCCCAGGGAGTCTATCCTTAAACTCCGGAAAGTTCTTAGCAACAGCGTCGACAATCTCACGGTGTGAGAACCATCCAGCTGTAGCAAAGAGTCGCTTTCCACCAGCGTTAGGTTCCTCGAGACCTCTGACGTGAGCACGAGCAGCATCTCGAACGTCAATCCATAACGGAACAGGTGTACAAGGAGGAATCTCGTCTTTCCAACCCCCCCTCAAAAGCTTAACGATCCTCTCATTGGAAGTGTTGATGCTCTCAAGTGTAGCAAGATGCTTTGATACAGGTCCCAGAACCAGAGGCGGACAAACAGTCACGATATCGAAAGAGGGCTTCTTTTCAGCGACAAAGTCCCAAGCTGCACGCTCAGCGAGAGTCTTTGAGGCGCGGTAGGCAGTCATGAATGAGCTGCTAATGTCGTCGATTGTGACGGGGTTCCAGGTCTTTTCTGAGAAGACGTGAGAACCGTCTGTGAAGTGTGCTTCGTCGAGAATAGAGGCGAAGGATGAGGTTATGACGACTCGCTTCACGCCTGGTGCCGTGGCGTGGAGGGCTTTGAGAATGCCTGTTGTACCGATGACGGCTGGGTCTATAAGATCCTTCTTAGGGTCGGCTAGATAATGTCAGTCAGTCATTTAAGCATGGTCCCTACACTGAGACTCACTGATGTTGTAGTGGAAAGGACTAGCAACATGAATAACAGCGTCAAGACCAGGCGTCTTTGCTACTTCATCAAAAGCATCAGGCTTAGCAATGTCTGGCACAAGAACGATCTCTAGCTTTCCAGCCTCGGCTTTATCTGGGAATGCATTACGGATCTTTTGGGCTTTATCCTCTGAGCGGACGGTTGTCACGACGGCGTAGTCCTTTTCAAGGAGTTGTTCCAGAGTGTGAGCTGAAGTTTGTTAGATAGGTACTATCCTTCATTGTTCTCAAAAGAGCACAGCATACCGGCAATGAAGCCTGAGCCACCTGTGATATCATTAGTGATTGACTCAGCATGAAGATATAATGAGGACTTACCAGTGAGGAGAACCTTTGTCATGATGATAGCTTTACCAATTGAGCGTTATGCAGTTGTATAATTGAGTTTATATATTTGTTGAGTGAGTATCAACAGTCAAAGAAGAATCTCAAGACGCAATATCTCGTCGTTTGACGTCAATGGCCTCTTATACCTCGGATACACATTGGGGGTCTTTGATAAACTGGGCCCGCATTCGTCATTCCAAGTTGGGGGATTCGACGATTCACTTTCCCCTCCCCCACGTTCTCTTCCTCTTTTGTAACTATATGCAACTCTATTCATCTTCCGCTACCGGAGAATTTCACTCCAACTACAATCCCATTAATAAGCCCAAGATCGTATTTGACGACCCTATCATATCAGATCATGTATATATATATATACACACATACATATTCAAGTCAATCACAATAAGGAACTGAAGAATATCACATATCTCATAACCGTCCATAAAATACACATACAAAATAAATTATTACAATCGAGACAGATAACCGAGAGGGTAAATCCATATACACGCTTGGTGTAGGCCTATGCCAAAGATTCGCTGCATCGTCTCCCCTATTCCTAGTTGATAATGATGGCTCATCTTGGCTCCTGACTTCCTTCACGTTGCCACTTTGCTCCAACGGATAAAAGTCTATATCAACATAGACATCAATCGCTAAGCGTATGCCCAGGCCAGTTTGCCCCTCGCTAGGAAGTCCCATTCTCGTTCATGTCTCGCAAGGGCATGCCGTCCAATTCCATACGCAATGCTCGCTGTAGAAATATGCGCTTGAGTTGGATCATCACCACTTTTTCCCACGCGTCACACAATGCATGTGGCGTGGACTAGCCATCGCATCCTCTTCGCCTTCTCTGACCCCAATCTTGGCGTGTTATCCACTACCAAACCTCGGAGCTCACCCTTCAGTGTTTGATGTGTCTGCTGCAGCTGGTGGCGCGGGTGTCTGCGGAGGTTGAGGATGAGTCACGCCGCCGAGACCAGGAGGTGTCGGGGCTTGCTGAGGGATAGGCAATGTCATGGGTCCCTTAGGAGCGATGATACGCCCAGGGAGGCTCTCACCGCGAATCACCTTCTCCACTTCGGCCTTGTCCAAAGTCTCGTACTTAACAAGAGCCTTGGCTAACAAGTCGAGTTCGCTTCGCTTGTCCGTCAACAGTTTTCGTACATCCTCGTACGACTTTCGTATTGTCCTCTGAACCTCGCCTTCAATTGCTGCCTTTGTTTCCGAACTGAGGTTCTCGTATCTTCGGCCATATTCAACAGGTCCCAGAACACTAGACATGCCAAAGAGTGTCACCATCATGAAGCTCAGGTCGGTGGCCCTCTCGAGATCCTAAGAGAAATGAGTATATGATTGTGATAGCTTCTCCTTTAAAACTTACCGATGAAACACCAGATGTCACCTTGTCGTCACCGTATCGTAGCTCTTCAGCCATCTTTCCTCCAAGTGCGACGCGGATATTTGACATATACTCAGCAGCTGTGTAAGAATACTTGTCCATCTGGGGAAGTTGGGCGGTGTGGCCCAGCGAGGGACCCTTGGGGAGGATTGTGACCTTGTACAGAGTGTTTGAGCTCTCCTTATCAAAAAGCTGAACAAGCGCATGGCCAGCCTCGTGATAAGCAGTCATCTCCTTCTCCTTCTCAGTGACAACCATTGACTTGCGTTCGGAACCCATGGTGACTCGGTCGTAGGCCCATTCCATATCTTGCTTTCGAACAACACTGGCCTTGGCTCGGCTGGCTCGGAGAGCGGCAACGTTCAGCATGTTCTCAAGCTCGGCACCAGATCGACCGGGGCATCGAGCAGCAATAGCTTCGAGGTCAACATCAGGTCCAACCTTGATCTTCTTGGCGTGGTGCTTGAGAATGGCAATACGGCCACGAACATCGGGTAGTTCAACATTAACATGGCGGTCAAATCGTCCAGGTCGGGTAAGGGCCTTGTCGAGCATTTTGGGCAAGTTGGTGGCTCCGATGATGATAATTTTGCTGTCCTGATCGAAGCCATCCAATTCGGTAAGCAACTGGTTCAGTGTCTGCTTGGCATGGGCTTGGTCCCGTGGGTTTCGCTTGCCCCCAATGGCATCAAGTTCGTCGATGAAAACAATGGCAGGGGACTTGCTCTTAGCCGCGGTGAAGAGCTCACGGACTCGCTTGGCACCAACGCCAACGAATATCTCGTCAAACTCACTACCAGACATGTAGAAAAAGGGAACACCGGCTTCGCCGGCAACAGCTCGAGCAAGAAGCGTCTTACCAGTACCAGGAGGACCAACCAGGAGGACGCCCTTGGGCAGTTTAGCACCAAGATCGCTGAACTTTTCGGGATTCTTCAGAAACTCTACAACTTCTTGGAGTTCCTCTTTGGCTTCATCACAACCGTGAACATCGCTGAACCGAGTATTTTGCTTCTCAGCCTTGACCTCAGAATCTGCCTTGCTGCTAGGTCCACCGCGACGGAAAGTACTGAACGCCTCGATGGCAATAGTAACAAGCGCGAAACAGAGATAGGTGGTCACAATGAAGATGGCCAAAAACTTGAACCAGCGGAAGATAGTGGACCGAGTTGACTCCTGAACGATAACGTGGATGGGCTCACCCTTGTGGCCCATAGGATTACCACCATTGGCGGATCCAGCCACAGCAGCGTTGGCAATGCCTTGCTCATAAGTTGGCCATTGAGTTCCAGCAAAGTTTCCGTTCACAGCACCTTGCGCGTTCGCAGCTTGGTTAGCGTTAACACCAAGCATCGTGAGGGCTCGCTGGTAAGCATCGTTGGTTGCAGCGTTGGAGGCAAAGCGTCCAGATTGATATCGTTCCACAAGAATAGCAGGCATGTTGGCACGGAGAAGGAGCTGATAAAAAGCGTTTTGTGCGTTCGCATTACCGGGATTTCGATTGGCGGATTCCTCCAATGTTGCCAGCTGGTTACGGGAAATGCCATTGGAGCTGCCGAATGCTCTGCGCTGAACAGAAAATGCACCGAGAGTTGAGATACCACGAGGAGATGAGAGAATACCGGAAGAAGATTGCGAAAACGAGCGTAGGAAAGACGACTGGGTCAATACGCGGGGCTGAAATTGAGGGTGTCGCAAAATGGGGTTGGCCGCTCGAAGGCCAACACGGTCCATGATGGAAAGAGTTGTCTGAGCAGTCATCGGTTTCATAGGAGAAAATCGTGAGCGAGAGAGGGAACCAAAGTCAACTTGTTGAAGGAATTCGGGGATTTGGAGTTCGGTCACCTGTAACACAGATTAGTATGATGGTTGAAAATGTCAAACAGTTGCGACATACTCGTTGAACGTCCGCCACCTTTGTCTGTTCCACGCCATTCTTCGAAGGGACCGATCGACTGGGTGTGACTGAAGTCATATGCCGCCAGGGAGCCATGGCGATATTCGTAATCGAAGGCCATAACTCCGTTGTGGTCGCTGCCATGTTCTAGAGCCCCGTTAGTTACTGTCGGCGATAGCTCTCCCCTAAACTCCGCAACAACATACCGGCAGCATCATGGCATTATAAGCCATGCTGAGGAGTTATATGCACCAGAAGTGCTTTCGGGATGATGATTTTCGTACTGATGCTCAGGGAAAGGTTGATTGCAAAGTGTCTCGATGACGTGCAAGTAGGCAGATAGTGTGCGCCTCCGCCACGTCTAACGGTTTCTCGGGAGGCAAACGTTTGTCATACACCGAGATTGCTTCGTGATAAGCCTACTCAAAGAGAAGAATGGATTGTCTACCGCGATGCACTCATAGTGAACCGCGCGCAGGCATCATCAGTATGTAATCGATGGGGAGTTCGGTTCGCTTGCCACTCTGGTCCGCTGTTCGGCATCACACGATGGGCCCTTGCCTATTTGAGAGAATGCTGAGTCATCCTCTCTCGGCCATCAGATCTTCCGCCTCCCGATCACGGTCAAGGCACAAGCCTCTTATCATTGGTTGGGATAGGTGCTGTCTAAGTGAGAGTTGTGATGCTTTAACTGTGACTTTGCAAAACAGTTTTTGAGCAGGATTTGGTTGTCGTGATCAGTAAAAGCCTAGTGTCTGTGTTGAGGGATGGATCTGGCAGGTTAGTGGAAGTAAGACATATTGAGACCTCGATTCTAAGAGACAAAAATACTTGGAGAGGTTCAGAATCGACCTGGATGACTCTTTGATCAAGGTACCTTATGATAGGACCTATTATTCCAGATCCTTCACCCAACATCTCATATCTTTCTTTCTCGTTAAGGATAGGGCAGTTTCTAGGTTTCTTAGATCTCATGGATGGATATCTATGTGGGTATATTAGATGTGAATAAGGAGTTTCGTTTACTTTCTCCACATCTGTCATGCGTGGGTATCCTCATTTTCTCCCATGGCCCCTATCGCCTCCCAAAAGTCCCAGTAAAAACCTTCTTGTCCTCTTCAATGTCCATGAAACCCCTTTATGCCTTCTCAAAAATGCTATCCCCAATGGCCTCCCCCTACTAATTATCTGTCCAATCCAACATCGACACATTTCTCTCAAAGGGTATAGGTGCTGTTTAATGGTAAAAAAAAAAGAAAGTGAATGCCAACAAGAGTAGACAAAAGGCTCAAAAACATCGTGTCATTAGTATAATCCAAGCTATCAAGGGTTGATGACACAGGGTGCTGTAATACCAACCATCCAATATCATGTATGTTAAGCTGGAATGATGGCTGCAAAAGGTAGATTGCTCTCATAAATCCATTTATGGCAAGAAGCAAGACAGAAACGCCCAATGACATGCTTTTCGAATCGCGGATGACATCTTTCATGTGTTCCAGAGAAATGCTCGTGGATGCAATAGAACAGCACGTTTCCTCCAATAATGTCTCGATGGGTATATCCTCTTCAAGAATAATAATTAAATTCATGAAACAGAGATCGTTGTGTGGTCCAGCCTTGGTATGATCGTGATGTTACAAGTGATTATCGTAAACGGAAAGGGTTAACATCTTAACGTGTTGAATATGACGTTCGTAAAACATAGCGTGATTCAAGCAGTCATCCATCACATGCTCGCCAGTCTGCTGCTGGGTAGTTGCAATGAAGGATCTTCAAACTCAATCTTTGGCCCGTAAATATCATAAACTGCAGTTCCGTATGCAGGTAACTGTCCGATGGTTGTAACTTCGATCGGCGGGTCATAGTGTGGCCACTGCTCTTGCGGTGGGTGGGCTGACGGTGGAGCGTAGTGTCCGGCCGTTGAGGGAATATGCTGCGCTTGGGATACCACTGGCTGCTGTGGCTGAGCCATATGATGTTGAATAGGTTGCTGGTATTGAATCATTGCTGGTTGAGATTCGGCTGTTGTGTATGCTGGCTGGCTTCCAGGTTGGTGTACGTAAAAGCCCTCGGGAATCATAGGGCTGGGGACTGATGTAGCAGAAAAGGTGCTTGGACTGCTTTGAATCGACGTCGCAATTCCGGGTGCCGAATATGGAAGCTCCATGGGAGGTCGTTCCACTTGCTGCGATAGCTGGTAATGAGGCGGTACAGTGCTTGTCATGGTAGCAACACCTGGGTTCCCTGCCTCGGTGACATAGTAAGCCTGTCTTGGCATGGTTGCTGCTCGATGGACTAGCTGAACGTGTGCGTGTTGTTCGGGCACGGGAGTACCGTGGTACTCATGAGGGACACTGGCGGGAATCCCTTGCCGGCTGCCGTAATGTTGGGGCATGTGGTGGCCATGGACTTGGGATTCAAAATCAGCGTAAGAGGAGGCACGATGTAAGGGCCCGCTAGGGGCACCCTGGTTCATGGAAACCATCTCATGAGGTGACCAAGTCATCGAGGAGTGCTGAGGAGTGGAGGGAGACTCGTCATCGTCAGAATCCGAGGAGCAGTCGTCGATGTCGTTAGGGTTCATTCCTTGCTGGTGGGATCTCCGCTGGTGCTTGACCATGGTTGTTTTGCGGCAAAAGCTGAGGTCGAGTTAGTACGTGATGGGTTCAATGGTTCTGTTGCGGCCTACCTCTTGGAGCATCCATCGTGAGCGCATTTATACGGGCGCTTTCCAGTGTGAATTCGTCGATGACGAGCCAGACTTGATGACTGTGTTATTTGTTAATCCCATTCGAACCATAGGTTTGGTCTACACTTACATCCGAGAAACGTTTCCCACAACCGATGTGCTGGCATTGATGAGGCTTCTCTCCTGTGTGTGTCCGAATATGAACAGTCAGAGCGCTCCGTTGGATGAAGCTCTTCCCACAGCCAGGAATAGAGCAAGCGTATGGTCTTTCATTAGTATGTATACGATAATGCCTCTGTAGATCGGACTTTCGGTTAAAGCTCTGCAACAGAAGTTAGTCGAGTCCTACGGCCACGGATCATTTTGGCAACAAACCTTTGTGCACGATTGCCAGTCACACTGGAAGGGACGAGCAGTGGGCTCGTTCTCGACTAGCTCCATAAGTTCCATGATTTTGTTAAAACTTGGACGTGCCTCCGAGGCAATGCTTGTGTAGTGATGCAGAGATAAAGCGGAAATAGTTGTTGTCAAGATGTTAACTTGTCACAGCATAATAATTTCAGACGCTCGCTGGGGAAGACTTGAAGATCCGATGCAAAAGATGTTGTCTAAACTTGTTGAAGGAATGAAAGGTCGACGTTAGACAAAGGCCTTGGATTAGGGTATAAGAGGCGGCGGTGAGATCCAATTGTAAATAAATCAGCGATTATAAGGTGACGTATAAGTTCTGATCTGACAATCGAAGAGTGTCTATATTGTTGAAGAGCTGAAGAAGTTGTGCGATTGTCTGTATACAAAAAGGTGACGGTGTAGAGTGTCTGACGGTGGGATATAAAAAGACGGGTGAAGCTGAGAATCCAGAAGCCGGATTGTGTGGGAGCTGAGTGCTTAAGTCTTAACAGGGCGTGCCGTGTTAATGCAGGCGGTCCAAGTATTGCCTAGTGGATCGGGAGGAGATTTGGCTGGGGCTGGGGGAGAGCTTTACGCTGTGGTGGTGGTTTTTGAGGGATAATACCAGAGACCAAGTAGATGAGCCAGGGGAATATTGAAGCTTATAGTTGATTGGACTCGGAGCGAGGAAGAGTCGATAATATGACTGGCCTCCAAGGTTCGCCTGAGAGTGTTGAGTCGTGAAAACAAGCTATTTGACGTCTAGTTGAGGTGAATCGAGTCAGGTAGACAGTCGATACAGCTCCATTCAAGCCAGACAATACTGGGGGTTCGGCGACAGATATCAACAACGGTCGTCACTGGGTTATGGGCCAATGTCCGGTCCCGCTGGGTAAGGGCAGTGGAGACCAGGAGTGCTTGGGAGACGCAGAGGATAGTGTGATGTAGTGCAGTGTAGTGCAAAATAGCCAGGGCCATGCAGATGCTAAATACCAGACTGAATACCCAAGCTCAAAGGATGGGGCGTCGCAAATCTGACTCCAGTTGTAGGCGTGCAGCGAGCATGGTATACATACGCCAGGGCTATCAAGGAACCACGCAGGAGATCAGAGGAGGAGTCAAGGGATCCCTGCACTGCAACAGCGGGCTTCAGTGGGTCCCATCCGGCAGCGAGTGAACTGGGGGGCACAGATGAGGGATCGAGAGAGGACGGCAGGTGGAGGGTGGATGAGCGTGACGAAAGGAAACGGAGGGAGGCTGATAAAAGAGGGAGATGAAGAGAGACGTATCCAGGGTCGGGGGGTGACGAGTAAAGCAAAGCAAGGTCAGGTAAGGCAAGTCAAGATATGGAGAAGAGGGCTGGCACTAACACCAGAACTGAGACGAGGTATACCTTTTCCAACATTGAGTACAGTAGCATCCATCCGTCGAGACCTCTCTAGGCTACCTTGGTTTGTGTCGATGGCGGCGTACAGTAGTTTCCATTGTGGGCTAAGAAGTGCAAATAACGCCTCTGTCCCGCCCTCGAGACATAGTCTCGTTTCTTGTACCATATAAAAATGGTATTGCATGGTATGTTCTATGAATGTACCAACTCGAATAATGATCCGAGGTGGTGTAGTGCCGGCCGCTATCCAGTCTCTTAGTGCGCTTGAGGGCTACTAACGCTCTGGTCCCATTACTGTATTTCGCTGCACCTCGCCTTGGCTTTGGCAACTTGCCGTTCGGTTTAATTGTGTAGGGGCTATCTCGTCGTTCTGCCCCATGTTACAAGACTTTTTCCCTGGAGTCATCGAATGTTTTTTGGTTTGTCTTTATTCCCAAAGCATTAACCAGGCCAGCTAGTCCAGGCTAGAGCACATTAGAGGGGAGGGACATTTTGGCACGCACTACCTTAGAGGCACCCTCTCCTCTGCAAGTTCCAGGACGTTGAACCAGTCTACGGCGGCGGATGGGGACGGGGACAGGGGGAACAGAAGCCGAGGAGTCTAAACCAGTTGATGGCGTCTAGTTTGGGGCGTCAAGGCAAGGGATGGCAGATCCCTCTAAATGCGCCGCTGTCTTTTGCTCTGCGGAGGTGGAATTGGGAGCGGTCACTGGCTGGAAGGCTGAACAACGACTGATTGACTGGCTACATATACAGTGCAGTATGCATGAATCAACGCTAGTAGAATTGTTCATCGGGAATGGGATCAGGATTTAGTGAAAACGGACGACGCATATCCAGGTTGACGGTTATTGAGCCAGCTGCTTGGAATCTGTGGCGGAGAAAGAGGGGACCGGACCGCCTCCAAGGACGGACGGACGACCAGACACCTGGTTACAGATCGAGAAGAGGGAACCCAAAATTAAGTTGCCTCCGTCTTCAGCACCACAGGCTCCGGTTGGAGCCGAAGGGTGCTTAACCTGTAACATTGGCTCGTCCTGCTGTTGCGTTTGAGGTCTGAGATGAGGCATTGGCCAGAGGAAGAGTGTGGGCGTGTTGCAGAGAGAGGGACAGTCCATAGTAGGTCGAGAGAGACAAAGAGAGGGTCATTCTGGGCGTATGAGATGAGATCCAAAGTGGATACCACCGAGGTTCATTACTTGCTGAGACTGAGACGGGGGACCCAGGCTCTTGGCTTGGCTTGGGAAAGCGCCGCGGCCGGGGTCGGGCAGGCTCAGGCTCAGCCCGCAGGGCCCCTCCCTCCCTACTCTTTAGTGGGCATTTCCATGATAAATGAAGCTAGATCAAAGTGCGATAGTGGTCCTTGCGGTTTTCTCTTTTAGAGACAAGACAAGACGGACGGGATGGACCAGCCTGACCAGTTCACCGGAGCGTTGGAGATTGGGTAGAAAATGAACAGTGGACAACAGGTAGTGGATCCGTCCACTGTAAAGGTCGATCACAGACGGGTTCTTGGCTGGATTTCATAACTTTGAAATACTTGTCTAGCGTCTAACGTTACTCTCTGCTTCTGCGTCTGCTTCTGCTTCTGCTTCTGCTCTGCTTCTGGCCTCTGCCACTGGAGACAGAACTTCGTAATCGAGCAAGCCACCAACTTGGTGGTACAGAGCCTAACAGTCTAATCCGTCACACACCAAGTCATCATATGTAACTTCAAGCCTCTCTTGATGCCTTATCGCAACCAAAGACCTCCAAAGCCGGCATATCCATGTCCGTCGGTATGAGGACAGGGGTTCTTATGCAGGCAGTTGTAAAGATCAGCCACTGCTAAGAAGAGAACAGGGGTTCTGCTTGACCAGACATTCCCCCACCAAAGACATGTTGCCAGTAACTCTCCAGAGTCGAGTCGAGGTCAATCAATTACATCAGAAAAGAGAGGATCGTCGGTGAGCAGGTAATCATCACTATCTCTTATATCCAGTCAGTATTCCCATGCACCATGACTCGACAAATCCTTCTGACAGGTGTCGTCGGCGATTAAATAAACTTGCCTCTGACGGCACTTGGGACGTTGGACAAGACGGGAGTTAAACCAAACGGCGGGGATCCAGTAATGTTGCCAATCTGTAAACACCAGCACCAGCACTTCACCAACATGGGCCACAGGGTTCGTGCCGGTCCTGGGCGCTCGTGTCACACCTCGTTTCGTTCACCAACGTCCATTCCTGGCCTAAAGACGTCCGAGCAGAGGCCCGAACAGGTAACGGCGTTCAGATCCGGAGGTACAGATTAACCTTTTTGCAAGTGCTTAGAGGCTCGCGATACGGAGTCGGAGTGAAGCAATTTCCAACTGCAAAAGGCCATAGAACAAGCCATCAACAGGAGCATTCCAAGGGTGGACAACATTGCATTGATTTGAGGAGGAACCATGACGTGTAAATACGTATTTTCTACACTGAAATGGACAGAACGCCAGGACATAAAACCTATCAAGATCTCTGCTCCACCACCCACAGTAAAAACCCTTGTCAAACCCGGCTGATTGTTCACGCCGTTCCTGACTTGGCTCTTTACACGCAGCGCTACACAAGCAGTGACCTGCCCAACCTTTGTTTAATCCTTGTCTCTAAGCCAAAGTCCATAAATCAATCGAGCCTTGCCCACGCTCCTGGCTCCAACTTGAAAGCCACGGAACGGCAGGGGCCCCAACTGAGCTCCCACTATCAAGGCGAGTCCCTGTTGCAATACAGCATCCTGCATGCCGGTTACCGCACCCTTGAACGCCTCCTCAACGCGGACCAAACCCTGCAGCCTCTGTTTATTTCCTGAGTTTTACTACCAATGCACAACTCCCACACCATCTTTGCTACTACTGAAGCGCGATCTCATCTCATGTCGTCTCGTCTCTAATCCTCTCGCCCCTTGAAATATTAAATTTGTTGAAGGTTTGTCCGTAGGGTCTGGTTGTGCAATGAGATTAAGTGTTTGTGGTTGATAGTTGAGAGTGGGCTACGTTAATGCTGATTTGCCGAATTACTCTGAGACCCCAACGTTTCGAACGCGTCCTCCACATCGCTCAGCCAACAACTGGAGAATGAGATTAATCCCAAGCGTTGATCCCTTTGGACTAAGATTTGACAGAAGTCACCCAGCCCAGCCTATCTAAGTTGACACGCAGCAGGGTCTGTGCAACTGACCTGTCTCATTTTCATCCTCAGGGCTGAAGCTGGCTGTTGAGGTGAAGACATCAATGCAGCCCTGCTCCCCTTAGATAAAACCAAGTGATCAACGGCCTCTCAGAGCACGACACCATCTCCCCGGAGTATTTGCATTAAATATGGCTGCTAGCTTTGGGTGCTGATCAGCTGGCGATGCATGCACAGCCCTTTCACCTCCCCTGACGCCAAGTCAGCGGTCTAGGTGATGATAGCTCTGAGGAGTACACAAAACCACATTGTAGCGAACCTCGACAGTATAGGCCAGACTATTGAGCATCCCCTGTTCAGTCGGTATGGTGTGTTCCTTTTGGGCCAGAAGCATGAACGGTTGATGGAAAAATGACGACTGCTCACCAAGGCGCCACTCCAATAACTACGCGTTGACTATGCCCCGGGGTAGCAGAAACATGAGTCTGAAACAGAAGCCAGGCATGAGAAACGAGAATATTCAAAAGTGGTAGTGATTTCTTCGGTTCCTCCATGTAAACATCCATATCCAGGGTATGCTTGCGATCTCGCAAACTATGTTTGTTTCTTCCTATGTCTATTCCCCCCAGCAATGGCAGATAATAACAGGAGTTACTATAGTCCGAAAATCACGGATAAATGCCAGAGCCAGGCTAGCAACGCGTTTTTGAGGCTACCTCTACACGTTATGAGATAGGTAGTGATTGACACCCTTGAATCCTGGATTAGAGTTTAGAATTGGGGCAAGAGGCTGGCTACGGTTGCATTTATCGACCCCACATGCTTGGCTTATCACCAGTCGGCTTGGTTTGCGGACCGAGAGTTCTTCAGGACCAGCACAAATTCATTCTCCGACCCTTCCAGGGTCAACCCAGAAGACGCAATGCGCTGATCATCTGGACTAGACTGTGAGGCTCGCAGTGTCGTACCCGGAAACCCTGCTCCTACTCCGCTTTGCACAACTTGTTCTTCGGCCGAGTTTGTTTCCGAAAGCAACTTGTGCAAAACGTGCATTGAAACAATTCAGTGAGGGGATCCCTGGCCATCTGCAACATGCCCGTGAAGATCACTCGACCGGCATCACCCTGCCAGATTTGCGAGGCATGACCCGGAATGGCAAACCTCACGATGTAACGGTAGCGATGCCTTCGACTCTCGATAGCTGCAGTTGCTTACGGGTACTCCATCTCACCGCTTCCCACAGCCACCTACACCTGTGCTCTCGATCCTGCAGCACCAGAAAGGCGCTCGTGATGTGATGTCCCGAGCTTTGGGAAGATTGGTGCAGACACTCTGCGGGAATTATCAATGCATATGCGCCACGCTAGTTTCGATGATTGAATATGACATTCGCCAAGGATCCCACAGGCTGGAGATTGTTAGTTCACAACAACACATTTTCAGTTGTGCCGAATTGAGAACATGCTCTTAGTTCGAGTATTCAGTGGCGCAATCCATCTTCAGTTGTGTCCGCTGTCATTCCCTCCTGCGGGCTGCGGCTCAGCTATAATGCGGATGTGTTATTATCGTGAGCTAACGGAGGGCGGCCTATTGTGGGCGTTCCGGTACGGCTGGTTTGAGAAATGAGCATATGTCTTTGTTTTAGCCGTTGCATGTCGTTAGGAATTTCTGATAGGTCTGTTCGCTTACGGGTTTATCCTGCTCTGGGTACTGTTCTGGCCAGATCGTTCTGTGGCTTGTTGATATTGGATCACTTTCATCATCATTAGCATACGAAACACTCAACTTCGTAACTAAGCTAACGCAAAGCACTCAGACATGTCTGTGATGACCTCCATTATGCCGATAAGCGCGAGATCCTCGATGCGCTTTGACAGATGTTGAATATATCTACAGTGCATGACGTTTTGAATGTAGTCTGTGAGTTGCTGACACTAGTGCAGGAAGCATGATGCCAACGATGCCATCTGAATAAGCCTCAACTCCAGAAGAAATGAAGCACCTCTCCGGAGACATTTCTTCCGGAGTTTGAGTACATACCTTACTCAACTGTGCCTGTGGCTGCGGCGTATTCAAGGCTGAATGATCTGTGCCAATATAATGACATTCGGGCCAGGTGCGATCGAATGAAGCATGAACGTCCATTGGCAGGAGCTATCGATCCGGTCTATTACCAGAAAGTGACGTTTGAGGCGGCCACATCACGGGTCAGCAGGTGCTCGTTCAAGTTTCATTACAGACGAGGCAAGCAGATTGATCCTCATACAAGTCATCACCAGAAGCAAATGATACCGTCATCACTTTCTGGGCCTCTCTTGGCTCTGAGAGGGCCGCAAAGGCATTGATCTGATAGCCGTACAGCCAGATTCCGTGCGACCGGCATGCACAGACTTAAAGTGCAGTGTTTGTTTTACGTTGATCTTTTTTTAACCACAACTACCGTGCGTTATCGTTACATGTCACCAAGCCCACAGAAATCACATGCAGGGTCAGATCTGAAGCGCTTTTCTGGCTGAGAAGAGCGTTGAGGTGTGTCTAGTCTACGTCAATCTCAGCCCTGCAAACTCCAGGCTCTGGGTCATGAACTGACTTGGGACCAGCTCGAAACAACGGTGGATTTAGCATTGGCTGGCTGCCACGTGCCACATGCCTGTCCACGCCAATCGGAAGGAACCGTCCAGAGGAGCCGGTCAGATCGTCAATGAGCCTGAGCTCTCTTTGCATTGACCTGGATATTTCTATTTCCAAGTGAGTGTTGGAAAGGGACAAGAGGACAACGTACAGCAAACCGCTGGTCTGCCATTGTCCAAGGCCAGGGGCACTGGAATTATCATGAACTCGCATGGCTTGGTAATTTGGCTGCCTAAGCGGCTCGCTCTCCTTGGCGGCCCATTAGGTGAAATTGGCTACTCGAAACTACTCGTATTGGATCTTCATTGTTTGTTTCCCTTTCTTTCTTTTTTTCGCACCCATTCTCAAACTGTCTTGGCGGCCACTCACTGGTTCACCGGTCGAGACGGCAAGAAACAAACACGGCCAATGAGGCACGGGCCAATAGTTCCAAGATTGTCTCTCATCTCCGAGACCAAAACGATGGTATTGTGCACTACCTGCTGGTTCCGGGAACCGCACCTTTAAGCTGTCAGCTGGGGCCAACTGTCCCTGGGCCCTGACCGACACTAATCAGGCACCGTCAAAGATGTTTCAGCAACGATCTCGATCTTGATGTTTATCCGTTACTTGGGCGCGGAACGACCATGGAATTGGTACCGACATGACTCGGGTGCCCCAAGCTATGAAGTTGGTTAGTGGATCAGGATCACAACATTTGGCCCCTTGAGACTGAAGACTTGAATTCCCGAGAACTCATGTCTTCGTTTCACCAAAACAGAAAGCATTTTGCTAGCCTGGTCTCAGCTAATTCATCTCTACGAGCTATGGCAGATTGATCAACATGACCAGGGGGCATAGTGGCTAGATAATGCCTTCAAACGAGTCTTGGATATTGGAAATGAGTTTAGACACGGAACTTCTGCTGCACTCAATTTCTCAACCCAAGTTACAATACTGCACTTTGATTGGCGCCTTTTTACGACTCGTGGAGTCATTCTTGGTTCTCTGAACGTCGAGAGCCAGCCACTCATTCAGTCCTGTGCCTGGAAACCCCACGAAAGGTTATATACAGGGATGCTACACGCTGGAGTGCAATCTCGCTGCTATTTACTTCCAACATGCCCGGCTAACGAAGTAATCCTGGCTATTTTATAGAGTCGCATTGCAGAACAAGAATATTAGCAATGGACAGGCTTATCTAAAGTCTGAATCGTGTCCAGCTTGGCGGGATTTCGAGTGCAATGGCAGGGATTCAGCTGAACCACTAGCAATCCTAGCCGAACTGACAGGTGGGGGCTTACTCTGCGTTTCGGCTCTTAGAACAGGGTCCTGGTTCAGGTGATCTCCAACTTGAAGATCATATCCCCAACTCGAATCAAGTCACGAGTGTAACTTCAGCTCGCAAACTAGGTCCTTTTTAGGCGCTGCCCAACAAGGTTGGGACCCGGTTTTGCACCAGGGGCACAAAACTCTCAAGACTGACAAGGGTGTCAACTTCAACCATGTCGGAAATCTTATGTTTGACTGCCGGTTTGTAACCGTTGTGTGACGATGCGACGTTACAGCCTCATGACTGAATGAATAACAGCAAGGAATTAAGGTCGTATCAATCGTAAAGTTTTCGACAAGCACCCCGGACTATTGTTGATCATGCAAATCTTCGCCACCACGCTCCACTAGCCTCGGATACTGTGTGCGAAATGACGGGACAAATTTCGTCAGATGTAAATTGATCATTGATGAAATACAGTAGCGCGATAGTCGTGCGTAACCGGAGCAAATACTACGCAACAACTGCCTACAACTGCCGTTCTACGATTGACGCGAGTGTACTAAAGGCAGTCTCGGCAGTGCATTACACGATGATCTCTTTTAAGCCCTACCGTTGAAACACCACACGTGGCTCTCAGGACCGGGAATTGAAGGGTCCAATCGGCAACATCGGGACACGGTATCCATATCGTTTCATTTCATGCAGGACCGGACTGACCTTATCGTGGATCTATCAGTACGCTGGTCCATCACAACAGACAGCCCGAGTCATTCAAGCGTTTGATATTACGCTAAGCCGCGGACTTTGGAGCATATTTACACCATTTTGGGTCTGGAATAACGCACGAACATGTCCCTTGAGGTGAACGGCACCAGGATTGCAGCGTGTTTGACACTGGAACAAACCGAGGCACGGAGCGGACCGCAGGATAACTGTCACCACCCGACTCGCTGCCGATGGAGCGACCCTCTTTAGGATATGACAATGAAAAAAGAGGAGCGACGGATGTATCAAGACCCTTGGATGAAATTTATGTGATGCCGCCGGCATCTGCATGGCGCAGGCGTGGGACCAGTTTAAATACCACGGCGACGGCGGTAAATCATCAACCTGCTGGTGCTGATCAACTTCCAAGCAAGCGAATGGGTGCTTGTCAACACTTGTATCGACATTATATCCATATAATGCTTGCAAATAGAGTGTACTTGCCCTGCAGTGGCATGGTATCACATTGAAGGGGAAAGGAAACAGGGGTTGCGTTAATATCCATCATATGCCTCAAACAATACGAAGAGGAGTGAAGGCTTACAAAATTTCCAACCTGCGGCGACCTCGCTCTTAGCGCGGCAACGCACTGTCTGTTCGCTGTCGCCCTAAATGGATCTCTGTTTTGGCGTGACATGGCAGCTGGGTTGCTGCTGATCGTTTGATCCCGATGAGATGAGCAATCGGCCGAGTCGAGCTCACAGACATTTGCCCCTGACACTTGTGGGGAGCGGAAAACATCAAGCAGAGCAGAACCTGAGAACATCCAAGTAGAGCTCACGCCCTCTACCCTTGCAAGCGAAACTTGTGCTAGGTGTGGCGAGTCATGAACTCACACCATTTCTTCAAGTTCATAGTGTTGATATCCCCACTAAAGCTTCGTTTCTTCGACGATGTGTATACTTGTTCGAGATCTAGGGTGGTTTCAGTGGTTCGCAGCTCCTCAGACCGGAACGTCCAGTGTTCCGTTGTCGATCTGCCAAGTGCCTCGAGGTCTTCGACTTCAGAATCGCATGTTTGAAACAAGGACGAACGGAAACAATTGAGTTTGCCAACCGCATCACAGTAGTGTGAACGGTAAACTCAGTTGACGATTGCTTCTGCCGTTCGCTACTGTAGTTGGGTCAAGGCTGACAGATATCCTGCAGGGGACTCAAACATGTACAGATACAGAGAATGATTCAGGTTCAGGATGTCTTTTCCCTGGCACGTTGGCGGGTACTGTACCAGGGAATATTCAGTCACGTCATTAAATTCCTTGTCGAACTACCCTAAAGAACAATTTAATATCATGCCGTGAGTCAATACGCAGCAAGACCCTCATGACCAACCGGCACGGATGAGTTGGCACAGATGTGGACCATAACGGAAAGAAACAGACGCTGTTGCTACAAGGAAGCAATACAGCGGCACAAGGAAAGCAAGTTTTCAACAAGTTCCTCCAGCATAGTCGTCGAGTCCCTTGCAGTGAGGCATCAAATGAGGGGCCTTGGACGGCACAACTCTCATCAGAAATGGGGTATTCATTCAACTACCAATTTGCACGATGATCAATTGATCGAGAATCTTGCGCCAAGGCTCGCCCGACCTGCATTGCTTTTTGCACATTGTTGCCTGAACAGGCCTTGTTACCAAGTGTCATTTCGAATCCCCACACGATATTGATATAAGCAGGGTTGCAGATTTGCAGCCCCAGCCCCAACCCAGCCTCACTCAGTTCAACTTGGTCTGTCGCTTGACTCTTGATAATTGACTGGGCTTCGAACCTGGCAGAACGGAGTATGCCCACAGTCTTTCAACGACATGACTCGATAAAAACAATTGCGTGCCGTTCCACGAGTCCACAGTTACTGCACCTGACCATTCACTATTGTTCTTCTGACGGGCTCACTCCTTGTTCCCGCCGAAATGTGACATATGACAGAAAGCTAGCTGTCTAGGGACCCCCGGATCTCAGCAACATATCACAAAACGTCACCCCGACATGGGTGGCTTAATACGAGAATCTCAGAACCTACAGTACGTGAACAGAAACAATGGCGACAGGGGAAAAGGCAACGTCTATCTTGTCTGGTTCAATGGATTAACACTTATTGGGGGTTTAGGCGCCTTTTCCCGCCCTTTACCACACGCCCGCCATACTCTCGAGGTTGCAGCAATCCCCCCTCAACGTGCATAAAATCCTGGACGCGGATCTTCTCAGTTGGAGAAGTCCATACTCTGCGTTACATCGAAGAGGGGACTAAGCGGCTCGGGGTCAGCCCTTGCCATGGTAGCTATACCGGTGCCTACAATGATGCCCTGTTCTATCTGCTCTACGACGTCGCCTTCGCCTCGCCATCTTTCCATCCCCTGAATAATAGTCGGTATATGGTCAACCATACTGGTGCCTGCATGCCTCTATATTGACTATATTGACCGTAATATTATCCTCTGCGAACTAGGGATTTCCTTGTCTATCAGGTCTCCTAGGTTCATACCCAGATTCCTATGCGGAACCGCAATATAAAATTCGCTAAAACAAATTGCTGGAGCTGCTTTCGTCCTGACTAGGAAATGGAAACGAATCGGTGAGCTCTCCCTTGGTTCCTCGTGATCCCTTATCCTTCTTGCGCTTCCCAAGGGTGTTGATCAGGTGTGAGGGACTTGTGTCTTCTCAACTGACCGCGTGGTTACCTGAACCAAGCATGAGTTGTCGATTATGATATTCCACCACGAATCCTTCTGGGTCACATCGCGAGCTCTCTAGCTCCTATATTCAGCTGCCAATTGACCAGCTAAACCCACTAAAGGACGATCATGCCGCAATCTCACCGTTTGACAGCTTGACTTGTCACCAACAACGCGCAACTTTCCCGGTTTCCTGTCAACCCTGTTTTTCTTTTTCCTTGAAACTATCGGTAGTTGAGGGGGCGGACGCAACCAATCTAACGGGCTGTTTGAAGATCAACGGCATATCCAGTTCGAACTTGTTCGCTTAATTTGGACCAAAGCCTCCAGCTCAAGACATCGATCTATCGAATTTCGATGTAATAAATCTTGGAAACGGTGAGATAGGCTGGCACTTTTGATAACTCTTTAGACTGAGACATGCTCTAAACCTTACTACAGGTTCTAGTGTCGAGTAAGTCGTCAAGTCACCTTCCTTTCTACCCTTGCTGGCCCAGAACTCCAGCAGAGCCCTTGGCGTATCTCGACGTTTAGTTGGTCCAAGTTGAAATAACAGGCTACTACTGATTGAGTAAGTAAGTCGAAGATGCCTGTACTCTGTCACTCTCACCCTGTTCTGCAATGCACCATGATCAGCCATCACACGCTATTCGGATGAGAGCGAACCCTACAGTGTGCCAGGATCAGGCAGATCTCGAGACATGTCTTCTGCGTGTCGAATACCGCCGGCTCCGAAGCAATACTTCACTGGATAACGTTTGTCGTTCACGTAACGGTTACGGGCTTGAGGAAGGGCATGAAACAAAACTATACCAAACGAGAATGCCGCTTCCCATTCCGGGCACGACATACATATTGCACAGGAGTCCATCTCCTCTCTCATGCATGAGAATCCAGCACGAACAGGAACATGCGTGAATGACTACCTAGGCCGTGGCCTAGAACAGCCGGTTGACTATTTCCGCCTCATCTTCGTCCTCGTTCTTCTCCCTGCCTGAGAACAAAACATGGGCCCTGGTACAGGAACCTTGAAGATCAGCACGGCAGCTATGTAGAGTTTGCACCCTAACCACTGTAACCTTCTCCAAACCATGCGGCGTGGCTGTAGATCTGATTTCCGCGGCGCGAGATAGGATGGAATACGTGATAGCAGCGATAGGCAGGCTTATGAGACATGGCTTTATGTCAGTAACTGCAGACTCGTACGATTTGCAGTTTGGCTGCACCCACGAGTCCTTCTTATCTGAAGAGAAGCGAAGTGATGGGCTGGGGGTGTTTGAGCTGTTGTGATCACAATACCACCCACACTGCATAGGCGGCAGTTACACATTGATTACTCTTTTACGTCAAAACTTGGTCAATACCTGTTAACCAAACATGCCTCTTGTTCATGGACGAATGGTAGGCGTCAAATGTCATCTCGAAATGATGATAGGGGTATTACTCGTGGCCATAGTGTCATAGAGATGCCATTTGCGAGCTCACTCCCGAAAAGGGTTGAGCGAATCTATCTGTCTTTCTGTGGGAGCCAACTGTTGAAGGCCGTGTTCGTCTCACTTCTTTCTATCTATCCATCTAGCAGCGCTTACTCTCGGTTCTGTTGTCCTCAAGGGCCGCCACCATTGATCGTCAACTCGTCCAACTTCTCCTTGAGCTCGTGATCCGGCTTGAGGGTACCATTTGTTCCATTCTCGCCGTTGACGGGCTCAGTGGGCGTTTCCCCGCTTGTCAACCCCTTTCTGATGGCAAGGACACTGTCGACGATGACTGCATCGATGCCTTGCTTGACTTGACGCTGCAATGACGGTTAGCAAAATCGACATACATCTTTCTGTGTGTGCTTAGACTTACCCGAACCATCTCAGGATCGTTATTTAGTGTGCCGTAGCTGAAGCAGACGATTCCGTTCTCTTTGACGATCTTGATGAGGCGAGGGCTGTTGACGAAAGGCTCTGCGGCAGCAACAATACCCAACAGGTTCCAGCGTCTCGCGAATCGAATGGCCTCCTGTAAGGATGATGCGCGTATATCACAGACTTCACAGCAGCCTGCGTCTGTCAAGAAAAGGATGGGGATGGAAGGCTGCTTATAACTTAGACAAAGGCAGATGTCGGGGTTGAAAGAGCTGAAGATGATGTGACGTTCTCCAGCAAGGTCGTAGACCTTGGAGAGTACTGTGTCGCAGAATGAGTTGAGCTCTACTGCATATGTGTCCATCTCATGCTCTTCACTCTCGTGAAGCATAGGGTACTTCATCTCGATATTGAAGCCAGTTTCTTGAGGAAGTTCTCGGAAGAGCTCCTCAAGAGTGGCGAAAGGAGCTTGAATAAAGTTTCCTCTCGTGTTGCCCTTGAAGCCCTTATCCTTGAAGTCCTTTGTGTGTTTCATGCGTTCATCCAACTCATCAGGTCCACTACCAGCGAACCCCATAGATTGCGAGCGTTTTGGTGTTAGGCTGTTGCTACGAGCCCGGAAATCACCTGGCTCGCCCGTGGGTGCAGGCTTCTTTCTTGATTGTTGCTTGGAATCTCGATTCTTGTCGGGGTTGATGTGCAAGAATTGCTCCAGTGTCAAGGTATGGACTGGTGCATCAATACCTGTCTCACTGACGAGGAAGTCGTGATAGATGACCGGAACATGGTCCTTGGTCAGTTGAACATCAAACTCGACATATTGAGCTCCAAGATTAGCCGCAGCAATGAAGGACGGCAGAGTATTCTCTCCCAGCTGGAGAGACCTGTTACTTGTCAAGTTCTTGCCGAGTCCGCGGTGACCAATCACCATGGTTGACTCCAGCTTCTTCCAGTACGTCTGTCTCGATGTGATTTCCATATTGGGGTGGTGGAAAGGGGTGATGACCAAGAAGTTGAAGTTGACGGTTCCAATGACATCGAAGCTGCTTGACATGATGGGAACACAAACATCTCCCTGCAGGTTCATGCGGCTAGATCCCAGTGTTTGTCTGACAGAAGACAAGAGCGCCACGGCGCGCCCAACCTTGTGCTTGTCGTTGCCCGAGTAAGTCGGGACGATATCGAAAAGGAGCTTCACCTTGCCCGCATCTGTTGTCGTGAAAACGACAGGTTCAGTGGCAATGCTGTCATGCACCGGGAGATCGATGATGGTGGGCTCACCACTGGCACCAGTAGCAGATACAACGATCGATAGAGCGGTGTCAAGTTGTGTGTTATGAGCTTCGGTAAGTGGAACACGATCCAAACTGACCGGTTCAATGTTCTTTCGCATGTCCATCGATCCCAGACTGACAAGTACAAGGCTCTCATTGGTCAAGTATCGATGACCGAAGCTCTTGATAGCAGCATCAGGAGCACGCGAGCCATTGTTGATTCCGTTACCATTCGAGCGACGTTCGCCGATAGATGACATGTCCGAGGGAGTTGGCTGCAATGTGTCGACAGGTCGGGTTGGGGGCGATTCGATCTCAACATCGTTGGTCTCGAGCAGTCGCGCAATGTCCATATGACCTCTCAGCGCAGCATGCTCTCTCGCCGTCCAGCCTGATGAATCAAGGCGGGTGATGTCCGCTCCAGCTTCTACCAGAAGTTCTGCAACGTTGTACTTGCCATCCACAGCGGCAACATGAAGAGGAGTCCATGAGTAGGTGCTCTCTGTAGCTTCGAGATCCGCCTTTTGATCCGCAGTTCCTTTCAGGATAATCCGAGCACACTCTTCATGCCCGAATCTAGCTGCGACGTGAAGGGCAGTCTCGTCTGTCTTGTCCCTCCAGTTAATATCAACGCCGGCATCAATCAGAAGCTGTACGATAACACTGTAGTTGGACTTGGTAGCGATGGCTAGCACAGCACCCGATTTGGAGATAGACTTTCGAATTTCGGCTTTGTACGGGCTGCTTCCCTCCCAATTCTCGCCCTGCAGCAGAGCTTGAGTGGTCAATGGATGGCCCCCAACAACGCTGAGATGGAGGGGTGCATAACCATCGTTATCCTGCCACTCAGGTGTATCAATTCCATCCTTGACGTGGAATTGGTCCCATTGCTGCATCTTGGACATAATGATTTGACACACGACCACAATGCCAAACTGAGCTGCGTAATGGAGCGGCATGCGCCCGAAGGAGTCACGGCTCTTGAGCGCAACCCTCTGCTCTGGGCGCAGTTGCTCAAGCAAAAAGATAAATAGTTGGACAGCCTCGTCATCCTTGGTCAAAAGTAGAGACTCCTTCTGGTTCAGTGACTTGGGCGCCTTAGATGTTGCCAGACCAGGCTCGAGGTGCTTGTTACTGAATTGTGACCCTGCAGGGACGGGTCGAGATTTTGAGTCCTGCTCTCCTTCGGGAACAGATTTTGTCCGGCCAATGTGAATCACCAGACGATGAATACAGTTACGAGCGTTGATATCATCTGGCTCGTCCAGACTTTTGAGGTTGCTTAGCAGAAACGCCAGGCATGTTTTCGAACGCGAGGAAATAGATCGCTGTAAGAGACCCAGCATTAGCGGCTGGGCGCCTTCTTCGATGACATTGCTCGTTTTGAGGCCAGCCTCGAGGGCAGGAACATCGTCGTTGCGTACAGCCTGGTCAAGAGCATCGAGCTGAGCTTGAGGTAGGCTCAGCATACCCTTAGCTGAAGCACGACCCAGGGAGCGAGTCGAGTGCTCAGACATTGTATCATCGAAAGTCTGGGCTTCCGACAGCACAGACATCCACTTGTTAATCTCATCAAGAAGTCTTGTTGTGTTTGCTTGTTTGGCGAAGGGCTTAACCTTGACCTTGGTATCAATATAAGGACCCTGTGTGACAAGGTCCGGAACCTTCTTGTCGAGCTTCTTTGTGATCTTGACGAAGCCCTTGTGGTTAATCTCACCAAACCATTGCAAATTTCTGAACTGGCTTCTCAGCTCAAGCAGAGCTCCCATAACTTCCTCCACTTCATCCTGATCCAGGGTAGCGACTACATCGACGGTTCGTCCATATCGGTTCTGGAGGAGGTTCAGACGGCGACAAAATTCTGCGTATTTCTTGTTGTAGAAAAAGTCGACATCTTCGAGGTTTCGATCAAGCGCGAAAAAGAATTCTGCATCGAGGGTTAGGGGAGAGGCTCAGTGTGCGACACCAAGAGTCGTCAAAGCCGCCCACCTGCAGGATCCACCTTTTCTCCATTCCTTGCTTTCTCTGCTGCTGCTTTTACAAGCTTCTTGAGGCCCTTGTAGTTGATATACGAGCCCGCCCACTCGGGGACCTGGTTGCGCGGTAGGCTAGAGAGAGCAGTGAGTCGGTTGTGTTAAGAAAAGCGCATATTGCATGAGTACTCACTTTCTTCCGAATTTCATGCTGCGTAGATCGCTAATCGGAGTAACAAAGAAGATAAGAAAAATCGATCGGGAAGTAACGCGACCGTAGCGCGGAAAGGTTGTGTTGGTGTAGAAGAGCTTGCTTTCACAGCACACCGCGTTTCGACAATTTATAGTTGTCCAACACAGGAAGCTTCTTGTCGCCAGGCGCAATCACAGAAACCGTGTCAACAACCAAGCTTATAACCGTTTTTTTTCTTTTCCCTTTTGTCTTTCCCGGTCAAATGCAACACAAATGCTTATCCTCGCAGGCCAGTGACGTCAAAGTAAGTTGCGCGCGGTGCACAATCAAGAGTAACCAGTGACTTGACCAAGAGGTGACAGAGCAAGTGACGTATAACTCATGGGAACCTCTTCGAGACACCAAGAGGGTATGACAAAGATGTAGAAAAAGAGGAAGAAGGAAAAAGAGAGGAATGACGAAGCTACTGGAGATATGCGATGGAGAAATGACTGGGACTGACTGGGACTGACTGGGACTGACTGGATCCTATTCTCGCTCGCTCGCTCACACAAGCAGAATCTTAAGAACAAAGCCTAGAAACAAAAAAAGAACAAGGCCAAACTGATTCTTGAAACAACATTCGTCGATCCGATAGATGATGGATCCCATGGATTTGATGTGATCCATCCAATGTGGGGAAAAAGGTACCTGCTTGTCGCACTGACATTTTGGGGTAGCTCAAAGTACCACCTCGTACTTGCTCTGCTGTACCTGGGCTGTACCAAGCTGCACCAGGACCCCTAAGAAAATGGAGTCGAGCCTGCCAATCCAATTGGCCCCGTGGACCCCTTACGGCCTCGTGACTGGACGGCACGATTCAGGGCGCACCCACTGAAGAGGTCGCATCGTGACCCCTTGGAACCTGTCAAGTCCCAGGGACGGACAATGCGGCTGGAGCTTTTGATAAATACAGTGTCAGCTGACGAGGAAACTTACTATAGATTGCAGTTAAGGTTGCAGACCGCCATTGTTGGCTGGGCTCCTTTCTCAAAGAGTGTTAGATACTGTGCTACAAACACCAATTTGTCAACTCATGACCAGGGGATTGCCCACGATGACGAACGGAAACGCTTAGTGGCGGCGCTCTTGGCTGCACACTCACGCATTAAACTCAGGCGTGGCCGAGGTCACTGTTACAATACCAAGCTTATGATAAGACGACATGCTACCTATTTAACTACTGGGAATGATAAGCTTCTTCAAAAAGTATGTCATGCTGATAAAGTCATGGTACGTTTATAATTCATGTTTCTATGCTGATGCAGGTTCTAATATGCTGGCGCCATACGATGCAACACACAAAAGGAATGCATGTAAGTGAGACGATCAAAAGTATGTTACATGCGGCTCATCGCTTTCAATTCCTAACCAAAACTCGCCCTCTGCAAATATCCCACTTGCTGCTCTGTCACAGGCCATGCCGTTAGCCGCATTGGCCTTGCTCTCAAAGTGCGCTCTGCTGCATTTGCATTCATCCGCTTAACCGTTGTCGCCTTGTGAGCCGAGATTATATCCAGCCCCTCATCTCGTAAAACCTTCCCGGCTTCTGCCTTACCTTGCTCCTCTGGTGTATCTCGCCTTAATTCTTGCACCTCCTCAATGATATTGCCGCTCTCAGCGCGGCTACTATTCGAACCTTGAAAGGACTTGCATTCCGTAATACCTCTCTCCACTCGTTCTGAAAGAGGAAGCTGTGACATAACTTCCATGATCTCCCCATCCAACTCCACTGTTTGATCCGCCGCGGCGTTTCCAATGTGGAAGGCCATTGACATACGGAACTCAGGTGAAAATTCAGGATAGAGTAGTTTGCTCTCGATGGAGCGTGCCGTCTTTCCAACCAAGTCTTGTTCTTTCCAAAGCGCTTCGATCTGGAGTAGCCTTCTTTTTGAAGCGCTGACAGGGTCTGAAGCCGAATCCCGAGTCTGTGCACTTGACCCTTGCACATCGATTTGAGATGTCAAGTCTGCGCTTGCCAGATCACTCAGGAACTTGTAGAAATCGTAACGTGATATAGACAAATTGTCGAGAGTCGATGTGGGCACTTCGCCGCTTGCATCTCTAAGACCAGCGAGGTCGAGAAGAACCCGCACCCGACTGATCAGGTAAGAAGTGTCTTGATCCCTCCCGAGAAGCATCGAAGGCCATGTAATTGAACAGTCAGTGAAACCTTGGATGAGGCGCACAGCAGATCTCCAGTCAAGAGCCACAATACACTCATCAAACAACTGCCTGATCACATGCGTGCTGAGCACAACCTTGGCCTTCATGCACGTCACGAAAAACTCAGCAGCCTGATCAAATAGCTTCATGTGTAAAAGGCCTTGAATGGCAGCCTCAATGAGAGGTTTGTCCAATGGCGCATGCTCCCAGAAATAGTCGCCCGTCTGGGTCCATGTCTGAATCTTGTAGCTCTTGCGCCTTTCGTCAACTGCTCCATCATACGTTTCGTCCGCCAGTCTTCGTCTCAGTTTGGCGCCTGTCTCGCCATCAACACCAGCGAGACTTGCAAGACTGCGCAAGAAGCGACCATGGTTGCCTGAATTTTTGTAGTGATTCAAGATGGCAACAAACGTTGATGGGGTTGGTCTTAGTCGGCGGTAGTAGTAGAAGGAGTTGACTACTGGCTCTGATAGATACTTGTAGCCATGCTTATCGAAAGCAACGATCAACGTGTTGTATGTGTGCATATCGGCTGGATATGCAGATACAAGCAGATTATAACACACTCTACCCACCTTCTCCTTGAGGCTCAGCGTTGACCCAACGACTTTGCGAAGATCAGAGTTCAGATCGACCCGGTTCTTTATCACCCTCTCAGGATCATTCTCCACGAGATATCTGAAAGAATTCTTGTCATTTGCCAGCTGCATGGCCTCGTCGAAGCTGGGGCTCGGCAAATTGGACTTGTCATGGGCATTGGCGCGTTTGAGTAATTGTTGAACGAGATGGCTGAGCGTGCGCCCGGCGTTATGGAGTTGTTTGGTATTTAACGGGGTTCTTTGACGGATGCCAACATCTGTTTCTTCGCGCATGATGACTTGCTCAAGGCGATCGTAGTCCGTACGCCTAAGAGCATCCATCGTTGCTTGGTCGGGGCACTCGTACTCCTCGGTATGTACTCGGTTCAAGAACTCATCGATTCGGATGGTAGCAGGGTTGTAAATCTCCTTCATATATGGTCGGTTTGTGTATAGACTCTTGATGGCCCCCCATAATTGATCCATCTGGTGTAGAGCCACTTCGTTCTGGGCGGAGTCAATGCCATTCGTCGTCTGGCTCGCTTCGAGGTTCCGGAGTTGCAGCTGTGCCAATTCACGCCTTGTCTCCTCCAATTGCCGGTCCAATTCCTGCCTTCGGTCCTCCTTTCGTACGGCATCGACAATGGCGGCAGTCGCAAACATGGAGCTATAGCATGCTGTGAAGATATCGGCAAAGGTGACTTTTCGTGGTCGAGCCGCGGTTGTCACTCGCCGGCCGAGAGAGCTCACGACGGATTCGCAGGCGCGACATCCGCAGCGGTGAACCTGGCCGGCCCTCGACCACAAAGCCTGCATTTTAAGTGGCGGTCTGAAGCTCAGGACATCGCTCTGGAGCGATTGAGGGTCGTTGCTGTCGGCAATCGTTCAATTGAGGTGTTTCATGGAGCCATCATCAATCAAGAAATTGGCCAGTCACAGATCATTCGATTATTGAAGTCACGTGGGGTTTATGCCCGGTTGACCGCGGGTGCAGCTGGAATGCGCTATCGTCACACCCCCACCACATCCCACTAGAAGCTCATCGATACTGGAGCTCTTGAAACGACTGTATTTTGCTTCTAAAGCTTACATCGTCTAAGAATTCCATACCCAATTACAAAACTTACCATCTCGGTTGCTTCTCACATTTCACAGCATGTTTGCTCTGTATCTCACAGCTGATTTGCAAGGGTATGTACTAACAGCTTTTTGCCAACTCAAGCGAGCTTTACTGACGTGAGGGGCAACCTCAATATGACAGGGTCACAAACTTGCGCCCTGACGATACTCAAGACAACCCTTTTTGGTACATGTTCAAGGTTCAGTGTACTTCTTGTCGAGAGACTCATGCCAACCATGTTGGAGTCAACCGATTTGTACGTAACGGCTCGCCAGATTGGAAACGGTATACTAATTACCTTCTGAAGGAGACCAATGAGATGAGCGGAAGTCGAGGAGAGGCCAACTTTGTATGGAAGTGCAAGAACTGCAAGGTAACCTATTTGATATCAAATTGGTTTCATCTTACTAACATTGTGTAAGCGAGAGTCGTCAGCCTCTGTTAAGGCTGGACCTTTCCCATATGAGCAAACTGAACCAGCCAAGCCTCAAAAGATCCTCGAGTTCGACTGCAGAGGCCTCGAGTTCACCGAGTTCAAGGCTGAGGTATGTGAATTAATAAGTCGATGGAGAGCATATTAACGAACTGTAGGGTGAATGGCTGGCCGAGGGCGTCGAGACAGGAACCAAGTTTACTGGCATCGACTTGGAGGAGGGCGAGTGGTTCGAATACGATGAGAAGTCTAACGAGGAAGTAAGCATCAATGATGTCAAGTGGGAAGTCCGCCGCTCTTGAGATGACTTGAAGTTCGATATGTGTTGGTGTTGGGTTGAGCTGTTTGGTGTTTTGGAGCGTGCGGGCAGAGATGTTGTGTTATTCGGACAGGATAGAAAAGCCATATAAATGAGATGCATTCGAGTAGGCTCGAGGAATGAGATTCCCCTACAACATAGTCATAAGCAAACCAGCTTCGAATGTGAAAGATATAAGTCGCTGGTTTATTATCCCCTGCCTGATACTTTGTACGTTGTCAACGATTTGGCCAATCATATCCCAAAAAATATATCTTATCAGACCCGCTTTCACCATCATGTCTTGTCCGCAAAGGTTCCTTCAAGCGACCTGAGCTTCAATCTCGAGTCAACTTCAACAATTAAAAGATTCTGAAGCCCCAGATTTCCAAAATGGCGGTATCAGAACTTCCAGGAACTATCGATTTTCTCACCGATGCAGCACATCTCCTACGGGCCACGGCCCCAGAGACTTCTGCTCATCTCATGAGCCAACGCGGCCATCTTCTCCAGCAATATGGCGTAATACTTTCAGACGCTCAGCGACAACACGTATGCGGAGGCTGTGGAATCATCATGATCCCAGGTCAAGAAGCAACACTGAAGTTAGATGCTCGAAAAAGTCTTCATAGGAAGGCTAAGAGCAAAAAGTCAAGCGGCAACTCGACCCCTCAACCAACAGAAGATCTTCAGGGACCCTGCAAGATTTTGCACTGCGACAACTGCCAACGAGACACCAAGATTGTTATGCCGCCTCCAGGACCAGCTGTGAGGCGAACGACAGCACAGTCGAAAGTCAAGAAAGTTTCGACACCTGTTGACCAGCCCAAACAAACTTTGAATGCTAGCAGCAAGAAAAGAGCCAAAAATCGAAAGGCTGGTTTACAAGCCTTGCTTTCAGGACAAAAGCAACAAACAACGAATCCACTCAGTCTTTCTCACTTTATGAAATAAGAAATATCAGTGGACGCCTTGCCATCATGACTTCTATCCATCTCATGGATAGAGTCAATCGGATGAATCTAGGCCCGCTATCCTGAGTCATCCTGTCCCGAACGTTCTAGCGCCTGCCCGCCTCCAAAGTCTGCACTGGAACCCCATGACATAACTGGGCTTGCCCCTCCAAAAATTTCATGACCCCTCCATGGATTCAACCACCAAAAGACGATTGGATTTTCAAGATTCGATCCCAGCAGACAAAAAATTAAAAATGGCTACCGAAGACACAACCAAGCAGACCCCCGAGGAGTTCTTTCAGAGCATCGGCGACAAGGTTAACAAACTTGCCCCTGCTGCTGTTGATGCCCAAAATGCCGACGACGACGAGCGCGCTGTCGAAGAGATTGAGTCTCTGTGCATGAACTGCGGCAAGAATGTGAGTCAACACATGGTCGAACAAGTCGCATAGGAATCTGGCTAACAGGACTGTATAGGGTGTCACCAGACTTCTTCTCACTGCGATCCCCTACTTCCGCGAGGTCGTTATCATGTCCTTCTCCTGCGAGCACTGCCACACCCAGAACAACGAGATCCAGGCTGCCGGAACCGTCCAGCCCAAGGGAACCCACTACGAGCTGCGTTTGACAGACCTCGCCGACTTTTCGCGACAGGTTGTCAAGTCCGATACCTCCACCGTCAAGTTCATCGAGCTGGATCTCGAGATTCCTGCTGGCCGTGGCCAGCTTACAAATGTCGAGGGTCTCCTGACCACTGTCATTGAGGACCTTGAGATGGGACAAGAGGCGCGAAAGGAGCAGGCTCCCGAGGTGTACGTCAAGGTTGCTGAGATCATCGCCAAGGGTCGCGCCATGTTGATGGGCGACTCCTTTCCCTTCCGTGTCTGGGTCGATGACCCTGCCGGAAACTCGTTCATCGCCCCTGATCTCAAGGATGGTGTTGGAAAGTGGGAGAAGCACGAATATGCCCGAACTGCTGAGCAGAACGCCGCCCTTGGTCTCTCCGACTCCGACGCTAACGCTCAACAACCGCAAAACCCTGGCTTGACTGCTGATGGTGAAATCATCCCCAACGAAGTCTACAGCTTTCCCGCGACATGCCCTGGCTGCATGCATCCTTGCACCACACACATGAAGATGGTCGATATTCCCCACTTCAAGCAAGTTGTTCTCATGTCCACCGTGTGTGACGACTGCGGCTACCGCTCCAACGATGTCAAGACAGGTGGTGAGATTCCTGAGAAGGGCGAGAAGATCATCCTCGAAGTCAGCGACGGCGCCGACCTGGCACGTGATATTCTCAAGAGCGAGACTTGTGGCCTTGAGTGCCCCGAGCTTAAGCTCCAGGTCAACCCCGGCACCCTGGGTGGTCGCTTCACTACTGTTGAAGGTCTCCTGACCCAGGTCCGTGGTGATCTTCACTCTCAGATCTTCGAGGCCGACGGCTCGGGCCAGGGTGGTGACTCCCTCGCCAGCGACGAGAAGTCTCAGTGGACCGCCTTCTTTGACGGTCTTGATGCCGCCATCCGTGGCGAGAAGCCCTTCACAATTATCCTTACCGACCCCTTCGCCAGCAGCTACGTTCAGCCTCTCGTAGACCCCCCTGCTCCCGACCCCAAGATTCACCGTGAGAACTATACCCGTACAGATGAGGAAGAGGAGGAGCTTGGTCTCAAGGACATGAAGTTGGAGAACTACGGAGAGCAGGAGGAGGATAAGAAGGAGAAAGAGGGAAAGGAGACCGAGACTGCCGCTGAGAGGTAGCACTTGATATAATCCTCCTTTCCTGTTTTTCCTTTCAAAAGTCCAGCCTATAGATGAAGCAATGATTACAAAGTTATGATTCAATGTGATTTCTTAAATTCGTGTATGCTGTGCCACTCTTTATTCCTCTTGAGGCCGAACATTTGAATAATTTCCGTCCAAAATCCCACAGGCACCTCGAAGGTCGCTTCATTCGCATCAATCAAGGGTCTCTCCCAGACAAGATCAGCCTCGGACGCCTTGATGAATTTTGTTTTCTTAGCAAACTTCTAACCTAAAAAGGTGATAGGTGCAACAAGGACCATGGTATAACAAGTGAAGAAGCCACTGATGGTAAAGTTGCCAGGCAGGAATGTGCTGTATCCGTAGCAGCAGACATCGCATGTCAAGAACGTGGCCGAGATATAGGCGCTATAGGGCTGGAACCAGCCACAGTAGGGAGGTGTTGGGCGATCGATACCTTGTGCTTTACAAGCTCGGTAGAAGAAAATGTACGTAATTGAGATCACGATGTGGTCGATGATCTCAGCGGCGGTGATGACATTGGTGAGCCAGGTGAGGACGACAACGGAGTCACTTGAGACGGCCAAAAAGGCTGGAAAAGGGAATGGCATGACGATGCCTAGACAGTAAACAGGGAGACCGAGGGATGTGCACTTGAGTAAGAATTTGGGGGCCTGTCCCTAAGAGCCAAGCCGTAAAGGGACCGGGTTCCGTAGTATGTCAGGGCGTTACCAGACGAGAATATGCTTGAGACGAGAAGGCCATTGACGACATGGTAAAGAACTCCTGTTCCAAGATTTCCCATGGCGATAACATAGGGGGAGGCAGCTCCTGTTCCAGCACCGTCAACCCCGTTGACAATACCCACAAGGGTAGGGTCATTGTAAGGGAGAATGATACAACACAGAGGGACGACAGAATAAAAAATATACCGAACCGGATGTATGTGGTTTTAAAAGCATTCTTGAGGTAAACCCGCGGCGACTTGGCCTCTCCGGCGATCTTAGAGACATACCCAGGGCCAACACAGGTGAAAGCTGCGATCCAGAGGGGAGCCGAGGAACCCCTAGAACCTTCCAAGATCTCCGTCTGTTATGTACTCTGCGAAAGAGCCTGGATTGCTCTAGTAGCGGAGCCCGTATGCATCGTGTTCGGGGGTTAACGCCGACCATTGTGATGAAGGTGAAGAAGAGGACAACCTTTCCGATCGAGAGCCAAATTCAGCTTCGCCGAACCATTTCACGGCACCCACGTTGATAACACTAGGATTTGCATGTTAATAGGAATCGAACAGAGTATGCAGCTTGAGCTCACCCACAAAGAACAATACAAGCCGCACAACTGCTGCAACAGGTATATCATCCCTCCAAAACTTAAGCACAACATTCAAAGCCGGTACCTCAAACGGCACCCTGAGGGCTTCATAGAGAAAGAAGTTCCACCCAACCATGAAACCAAAAGCCTCGTCAACCCAGTGTCCCGCCATCCTAATGAAAGCACCGGACACAGGATGCTGCACTGCCATCTCAGCCATGCAGTTATTAACAAGGCCTACCATGGCAGAGTATAAGGTGTAAGCGAGAAACAGACTTCCTGGGCCACCATGGGCGAGGCCAGTGCCGATAGAGATGAAGACAGGAGTTCCGATTGAGCCTCCGATAGCTATGAGTTGGATTTGACGATTGCCTAGCGTGTGGTGGAGTTGAGAGGTGTGAGTTATTGTGCTTGATGATGCTGCCGTTGGAGGGGACGTTTGAAGGGAACTGTCAGAAGGAAAATAGGTGAGCCGAAAGAGATTGGAATAGGAGAAGGGGTGTCAGATCAAGAAAGAGTGATAAGAAACCCAGCTTGAAACTCGACCGCGACTTTGGATATGTGAAGACTTACAAGTTTATCAGTCTCTCTTGTCCCTAGAAGTGTAACATATGTTCAAGGTTAGCGTAGCCGCCGAATGTCTTGGTGTCCTGACCATCTTTGCATCCTGACCTGTCCCAAGATGGTAATTTGCAATACTCTTCAATCTACAATGATCATACAGATGGATGGGACCATGTAAGCATATTTGGTCTCCCCGCATCCTCCACATTTACCCCAGGTTAAGGTATCGGAATGAGTACAGTGCTATGGATGTTGAGGTCGATCACTTGTTTCCCGCTGTTTATTTAGTGGAGGTTACTCTATATTGAGCTTTAAAACTATCTTTGAAATGATTATATTGAGACCTCAGATCAGTACTTGACTGAAGGTCTATGATATCAAGTGTTTCCTCGTCCTTGAGTTATCATCTCTTTACATCATCTTCAACTCCATGGCAGAAGCAATACAATCACTATGCTTAAGACACTTTGTCATTACAAGATTATGACAGTATAAATAGCCTTAAAGAAGCCAAACTACCCGGTGATTAGCATGACAGCTTCCTGATTCTGATTATATACCGCAATTGTCGGGTTCCTGGCCGAGTTTTATTCAGTGCGGGAACTCGCTCTGCAAGGAGGAGAAGATTCTTTATTGTGCATTATCGTTTAAATCTTTCTTGTATTATTGAAAAGTAAGGGGAATGGGAGTCTCTGACAGATAACATGGACGCTATAATCACTTCAGGCGCGATGCATAATTCATTGGGAAAGGCTGTTTATATATCCTTGCCATATTTAACTAGAGCCAATTCCAAACCCAATACTCCACAAGGTTCCGTTATGGTTAATGACCTCTTCATAGTGTTTAATGAAGAAATGGTAAATAAACATGCCGTTGGAAAAGGGCGTTTCTCCAACTGTAGCATTTCCGTATCGACGATCCTCAAGAACTCCTGAGTCATCTTTGAATGTCGTCGGGAACCGCGCCCGAAATAAAATATGTTGGAGTTCTTCTCCAACATAGTTTCCCCTCTCTACCCCAAAATTTGAATTCGGCTCGACGACAGTTGCGCTCATGATAGCATTTCGGGGTTCAGAGCCGATCGGAATCGAAGCCGAGCCTAGATACAGCGAGTACCGTCTGATGGCTAGTGAGCTCGGGATCAACTATCAAGATGCTACCTCAGCCGTACACCATTCCTCCCAAGGAAACCTCTTTGCAAGTCTTGCATGAGAATCAGGGTGAAGGGGAGCGGGATGTGAAGCTATCGACATGATACACACAAGTGGAAGCGTCATGAGGATACTGATGATAACTTTATACTGTAGCAGATGACCAGAGAAAACAATATCTGACAGCCCCGAAGACGATCGATCATGTCTCTATGTAGTTATTTATGAAGAAACCGTGTACAGGGTGACGATGTTTGTAGAAAGCATATGCTTGCTTACCTGTTGAGGGCAGGCTTCTCAGCTTGGACAAGAACACTTAAAATAATAAATAGAACGAAGAGAATCGTAGTTACGGAACAATATTACCGAGATAGGGTGTCACACGATCATGATAAGACAGGAATTGGGCCTAGACACCAGGATTCATCTCATCTACACTCCCAACTCTCCTAGACATTGCTCATACAAGTCAATAGAAAATGATGAGGAAATTACAAGACTCATGAGCTACATAGATAAATAATCCCCATTCCGTAAACATATACAGTTGAATGTTGTCAAGAAACACGATAGTACAGAATCTTAACATGAGTATCATACTGATAAAGGTCGGGGGTGTGTTATTAACGCCTGGTATGCAGAGGCAAAGCCGTTGCCCCTTAGGATCTGGGTTTAATTCATCTAGCTAGGACTATACCAGACTACTGTAACTACACAATGGTGATCGAGTGTTTGTGGACGATGGGGGGTGACCTGTAAGTGATCTTCTGGACAACCGCCACAGAGTCTATTTTGAAGCAATGGATAGTTGGTTCGTTCTTTTTTTTCTCTTGCTTCTTATCTCATATTCATCGTGTTTTTGACAATCGCTGTTCCATCTCACAATGGGTAGATCCTATGTTAAAGAGCTAACTCTCCGCTCCTGACATATACTATCTACCCAACTGAAGTCTTGTACCTCTGAACCTCATGTTACATATCGCTTCTATCGTTATCTAACTTCAAACGTATACCAGGTTTCCTTGCTGCGGGAACTATATCCGACCTACACACCAGTTGAACCGAACTATCACCAAACTTGACAAGACGATGCAAGAGAAGCATGAACCCCAGGTGATAGAAACGCTAGAAGGTCGAGATCCGAGGCTTCAGTCTATTTTTGGCAATTGTTTTGACTATTGACATGCTTCTTCCTCCCTCTTGCATCGGTATTTGGTATAGACTAATGAAGTTCATGATCATTTGACCGAAGAATGATGGCTCGATATACACCCTTCCCCTCAACGAGGCATCTGCGATAGCAAGCCATCCTTTTGATTGGGTAATCCACTGTAGTCTATCATAGGTTGGACAGGAGCGTCTTAGATATAAAACACCGGAGTTCGTCTATGCCTTGCCCTTCTTATCTTGAGCTCTACAATTCAGAACTGATACATACACTCACCTCAACTTTGGACTTCTTCCGTACAGGAGTCGGGTATCAAATCTCGATACATCTTAGTCAAGATGCCTTCAGTAATCTACGACACACCTACTGCCCTCCCACTCCGCAAGCCAGCCCCCTTCGTTATCGGTCCAACCAACAAAGCTCCCTTCCGACCTACCAACAAGATCCCACAAGATGTCATCGAAACAGCTCAAGCTACACCCATTGAAGAGTTCGACGCCAAGAAGCACGTCAACTTCGAGTTTCCCAAGCGGACTTACACCATGAAGGAATGGGGATACGAGAACCAGGGCGTCTCTCCCATCGCTGCCTCCGAACCTTTCTCTCTTTTCACTGAAGCTACCGTCAAGCAAGTCCGACGTGAACTTCTCAGCGAAGATGTTCTTAGAACGTGCCAGTATGCTTCGACTTTTACGAAGAACCAGATTCGAGGATATACTCAAAAGTTCATCACTCCACACAATAATGATAGGTTATTTAGCTAATATCTTATAGACAAGCACCCTTTGCTCACGCTCTTTGGAAGAGTCCCGAAGTTCAGCAAGCTGTTTCAAAAGTCGCTGGTATTGATCTAGTTCACGCATTTGAGTATGAGATCGGCCATTGCAACCTGCTCTTCAGCGATGGCGAAGACGAGAAGAAGGGAGCTAGCGATAACGTTGGCTTTTCTTGGCACTATGATAGCTTTCCGTTTGTCTGTGTTACAATGCTTTCAGACTGCTCTGATATGAAGGGTGGTGAAACTGCAGTCCTCAAAGGTGATGGCGAGGTTCTGAAAGTTCGCGGCCCAACCATGGTGAGTTACATGGCCACCTAACATAGACATATAAACTAATAGTATTTTAGGGCACTGCAGTGATTCTTCAAGGTCGCTACGTCCAACACGCCGCACTCAAGGCCATCGGCAAGGAACGCATCTCCTTCATCACAGCATTCCGTCCCAAGTCTCCCTTTGTCAAGGACGAGATGGTCCTCACGGGTTCTCGACCCATAAGTAACCAGTCAGAACTTGTATATGACTACTGCACCTACCGAGCAGACGTTCTTGAGATACGGTTTCGAGAACACGCCAAGAAGCTTCGCGAGCTGCAAGCTGCGGGTATCAAGTTCAATCCCGGTGCCGTGAGGGAGTTTCTCCAGGAGCAGAAGGAGATGTTGGAGGCGACCCTTTTGGAGATGGTTCCTATTTATGATGTTGTTGAAGTTGAGTAGGCTTTGTGTAACTATTAACTAGCGAAGTATGATTCGTATGAGTAGTGAACGATTGTATAAGAATATATGTAGGGTACACGTGACTCAGTGGAAGAAAGTCCGGAAGACTTGAATAGATTCCCCGAGCCTCGGCTCCGGGGTGGACTCCCCTCACGACTCCACTTTAGCCGGGGAAGCTTCTTACCCAACAGGGGCATACCCCAGATGGAACTCCAAGCCTCGGCTCCATGATCAAGACATTAATAGCATCAAAACCCGCCTTTTTCGTAATCTCAATCTACTTGACATAATACCAGAGTTGCAAGTAAACACACTCACGCCATGTCTGACAAGGCGCAGAGTCGTATCAATGCCATTGGCAAGCAACTTCTTCCACCTATCAACAAGGTAGCTCCGGGATCAAGTAAGCTTCGTGTCGAGGGCAAAGTCGTCATCATAACAGGTATTGCAACGCGAGAACTCCTTGAATGAATATTGTTGACTCGAAAAAAGGTACAAACTCGCCGCTGGGTATCGGTCGTGCTACAGCGCATCAATACGCTGAAAGCGGTGCCCGAGCATTGTATCTCTGCGACTTTGACGATACGCACCTTGAGTCTCATAAGAAGGAGATCAACGCTGCGTTTCCCAAGGTGGAAATTCACACGAGGCGTTTCGATGCCGCAGATGAGGACAAGGTCAAGGAGGTAGTCGATGACGCGATCCAACGCTACGGTCGCTTGGACGTCTTCTTTGCTAATGCTGGAGTCGTCGGTCGAACCACGCTGTTCTCTGACTTCAGCAAAGATGAGTTTATGTCGATACTCAACACCAACACGTCAAGGTATGCGAATTTCTCCACATTATATACTAGATCAGTATCATCTAAATTATATTGCAGTGTCTTTCTAGCTGCCAAGTACGCGGCACCAGCTATGATGCAAACTTCTGCCGATAAGCCTCAAGCCAGCGGCAGTATCATCGGTACAGCGTCTGTCGCAGGAATCCGCTCCAATGCCGGATCCACGCCATACTCAGCCTCCAAAGCAGCCGTGGTATCTCTCGCCCAGACGATATCATACCAGCTCGCTGGAACAGGCGTACGTATGAACGCTATCTGCCCAGGTCTCATTGAGACCGGCATGACAGCGCCTGTGTACGAAGCCGCGAGGGCTCGTGGAAGTGAGAAGAAGATTGGACAGCTGAACCCTATGAAGAGGGGCGGTCATGCTGATGAGATCGCTCGTGTTGCGCTCTTCTTGGGAAGTGATGAGAGTAGTTATGTTAATGGACAGGCATGGGCAGTAGATGGAGGGCTGAGCGCTGGGCACCCCTTTGTTCCTGGAAAACTGGGCTGATTGTCTGTCAGGGGGGAGTATAGTTCAGCTCTGGTATACCACCCACGACACTGGGCCTCATGAGTAGACACTCGCATTTCAGCTCAGCTCATATCACAGCGTTTCCGAATACTCATATTATTTACTAGCCTTCTCCCATACTCATTGCTTTCCGTATCCAACTTTGATCTTCCTTACCTCGGAGTGTTTAGGTGTTGATTCGTGATGTTTGCTGCATTAGGCCTATATCTGAACATAAGACACGCTCCCTGTACCCATCAAACTCATCAAGTTGAACCACTAAACAACAACGTGTTTGCATCGGAACTCGTCCCAAGATCGACGCAACTCTTAGCTCAGGCGGTAACCTCCGCGAATCCAGCTACTTGGATGTGATGAGGGTTCCGATGAAACTGAACTGTCTACCAATCGCATCATGATCGAGCGACATGTGGTGTTTGTTTGGCAACTCGAGGCAAATATTGTTTCTATTTCTGCCTTTATTCGATATTCTGACGTGTTTTCTAGCTTTTTCTCTCGCTGTGATCGCCGCTTTCAACTATCTTTGTTCTCTCCGTGTTCCGCCTCGAGGTCATCAATCTGATATACTTACTGTTCATGACACTGTATACACAATAGATCTATCAACAATGAGCCAACTGTTCTCAAGGCACAAGCTGATCATTGCCTTTGTTCACATGCCGTTATTACTGCCGATAACTATAACCTTGATTCAAACAAAGATCACCGAATGACACCATCAGGAGAACTTTAAACTTCTGGAATTCTCCGTCACACCATCACCAAAACGCAATAATCCACCAACGCCCATCTCTAAATTTCCCATTAACTCAAGGGATGGTATGATCTATATGTCGTTTCGTTTGACTTAAACATGTCCGTCGACTAAAAATATGGAGACTCAAGTGTCGGAGTACGACTCTAGTCGAAACCAAATCCTGACTCAAAATACCCCCTTAAAAGATCCTGAAACACCCAACGATGGAGAAACCCTTGAGCAACGGAGCTTCAATCCATGTAATGGCAAGGAAACATTCTCCAAAAATGTGATTGATAAACGTGAGCCGCGTCATCTTCAGCATTGACTGCCAATGAGGCCAAGACTTAGACGCCTACAACGTCCCCGATATATCGAATATCGACAAGGTCTCTAAACACGAAACTTGAAACTGTTAGTCTTATCCATCGGCCTTTTTTTCCTGCAAAATAACAAACTCAATCCATCAGATCTTTCCACTAATGCAGTCAAAAGTTTACCCCTTGTCCCTTGCAGAGATCGCCAGGGGATCCAATCGTGGTTAATCAACTCCCTGCTTGTGTTTGTCAGAGCCTCTGGATCTTGAAACCATCAGCTTGCCATCGGAGCTGGGATTCGCTGGCGTCAATATGGAACGTCTACGCGAGTTCTGGGTTACGTTCGGTAATAGGAGTAGTTGAGAGGCTTTAACGACCGTCCCATGTTTTAGTTTCGAGGAACATTGTATATAAATGTCCGTTTCTCTGATGTTTCTGCTCAGCTTCTGGTTCTCTCCATCGCCACTTTCCTTCGCTCTTTTATTTCATCACTAGACTTTCAGTTGCAGGCATCTGTGGTCAGTCTTTTTTCACGATCTTTTCCCTCTTTTTTATTTCCTTCAAGTACATTATATCCTTCTTTTAAGATCAAAATGGCTGTCCTTAACCTTGTCACTTTGGCTTTGGCCCTTTCTTCTCCGGCCATGGCCCGACCTCGCCCACAGTTTGGCAACGGCGGCGATGCCCAAACACCCGGTGCTGGTCTCGGCGGTGCTCTCCCTACTGTCCTTCCCAGTGGTGGCTCTGGCCTCATTCCTTCTGGTCTTCCCAGCCTAGGAGGCGGTAACGGAGGTGCCATCCCAACCCCTGGCAGTGGCTTCAACTTGCCCGGCAGCGGCAGTGGTAACGATGCTCCTGCTACCACTCCGGGCACTGGCGGTGGCTTCTTTGGTGGCGGCCGTGGTGGTGGCATTCCCGGCCTTGGAAACCTCCCATTCTTTGGAGGAGGTAACGGAGGCAACGGTGGTAACGGAGGTGGCTTCTTCGGCGGTGGCGGTAACACCAATACTCCCCCCGCCGCAGCTCCAAGCGGTGGTCTGCCTGGAGGAAATGATGGCAACACCGGCGGTGATGCTTCTGTCCCTGCTCCTATTCAAACTCCGGGCACCGGTGGTGTACAAGGTGCATCCAGTGGCTTCCGAGGCCGTGGTCGATCTCGCAACCAAGACTCACCTTCGACCCCTGGAGGCAGTGGTAACTCTGAGGGTGGAAACGGTGGCGGCCTCAGTGGAAGCCAGCCGAGCGGTGCCATCCCTACTTTCGTTGCCGGACCCGGTAACGGTTTCGGCGAGGGAGGCAATGGTGGTAACGGAGGAAACGGTGGAAATGGAGGAAACGGCGATGCCACTGAGGCTCCTGTCGCTCCCACTCTTGTCCCTACCCCAGGCAGTGGACTCGAGGGCCCAGGCACTGCTCCCAGCGGCGTCATCCCTACTTTCGTTGCTGGACCAGGAAACGGTTTCGGTGAGGGTAACAGCCCTGGCACCCCTAGCGCTCCCATTCAGACTCCTGGCAGCGGAAACCAGCCTGGCGGTGGTCTAGGTGGAAGCCAGCCCAGTGGTACCATTCCTACTTTTGTCGCTGGACCTGGCAATGGTTTCGGTGAGGGGGGCAACTCTGGCAGCCCTGACACTCCCGTCCAGACACCCGGCAGTGGAAGCTCACCCGGAGGTGACCTCACTCAACCTGGCAGCGGAAACGGCAGCGGAAACGGCAGTGGAAACGGCAGTGGAAACGACAACGGAAACGGCAACCTCCCTGGCGGTGATCAGACTCAGCCCAGCGGTGTCATTCCTACCTTCGTCGCTGGACCTGGTAACGGTTTCGGCGGTGGTAACGGTCCCGTCGCTACCCCTACTCCCGGTGCTGGCCTGGGTGGCGGTAACAACAACACCCCCGGTGTCCCTGAGACTCCCGTTCAGACCCCAGGAGCCGGTAGCGGCAGCGGAAGCCAGCCTGGAGGTGCTATCCCAACCTTCGTTGCTGGCCCCGGCCAAGGCTTCGGTGGTGGCGATGGCCAGAACGGAGGCTTCCAGAAGCGAGCTCGATCGTCTAAGTAAACGGATTCATGTTGAGTAGACAATGATTTTGATGGATCTTCTATGTTTAGGAAATGAAGAGAATAATTCGTATTCCTATAATTCTTGGGTGAAAAGCAGGGCTTAGCACTTCACTATGTATCTACCTCCATGGCAGCACCTTGGGTTGTCGATAGAGCAATTTTGGCGAACATATCTTCCTTCCAGTGCATGTACTTTGTCCGTTTCGCCTCGCTGAGAAAGTCGTACTTGTCTTGAAACATGGTGTCTGCCTTTTTGATTTGCATCTTTGGGATCGTCTCCTCATCCTGCATCTCGACGTCCTCGAGGTGGCTTCTTTGGGACAGCTTGACGACATCTGCGATTCCTTGATACCAGTCACCCGTGAGCCATGCTCGTTCGTTGACTTTAGCAACCGCATCGTCGAAATCCTTGGACTTGACGGTCGACCAACCTTCCCAAGCATCCTCCCCCGCCAGATCCTTAACTATAACTTCATTTCGTGCTCTGGCAAGTAGAGCAAGGATCTCTTTTCGGAGAGGGACATATCCTTCCCTGTCAATACCTTCGCCAGAAGCAAGAGCTTTGACCCGCATAGTTACGAAAAAGTAGATAGCGGCAAACAAAGCCGTGAGATTCTGCAGAACCCACTCGTCATCTGTTCGTCGACCTGCAGGTGTTATGATGTTCTCCATGCCAGCCAAAATCGTAGGAGCCAGCTTCTTGTGGTCAGTTTCTGCACATACCCATCTTGTGGTAGGTTGAATCCATGCATGAAGATTAACTCCGGCGAAAGCTTCCTTCTTGCGAATAGATTTTGTCGGTGTACCAGTAGCCCCCTTTGTTGGTGTCCTGAACTGCGCTAAACTTTGTTCTTTTGTTGGTGTTGCTCTTGATGGTAGTGGTCGTGAGCCAGAGGCGGGTGAGTTATCGGCATCACGGAATCTTGAACCCGGTGTTCTTGTTCGTCCTGGAGTAGCTCTTGTAGGAGTTGAGTTGCCGCGCAGAATGTTATCAAGATGAGTGTAGAGACGCTTGTAGATACGAGGAGGAATTGGTGGTCTCGGTTCGATAGGCGGAAGATCAAGAGTGATTTTTAGGCTGCTATTGTCAGCTTTATATCCCAAATTGATCTCATAATACATACCGATCACACGCAATGTTTGCGCAAGCATATGTTCTAGCAATCTCTTCATCTGCCTTTAGGGTACTTGCTTGATGCCGAGACTGGGCAAGCAAAGAACCTGCAAGTTCAACGAGAGCTGGAGGTAGATCAGAGCCATATGTTGGCATTAATGAGAGCAGCGCTTGCTCAATTTGGCGACTCATATTGTATTTGGAGTTCTTGTAGCCGCCAGGTTTGGTGTGGCTTGTGATAGCAAGGAGTCAATATTCAGATGGAGAACGCGGTTGATATGGAGACGCGTTCAACAGTGGTTTATTTCTGACGCCAAATCACGGGATATGGACTAACGTCCGTCACCCAAAGACTGGCCACCCCCACAGACCGGCCACCTCACTTTTAACCCAGCCACCCAATTTATATATACTTTAAACAGTCACAACTCTACCAATTTAATTCCAATTAATTTCAAACTAACGCCAATCAATTCAGAATGCCTTCTTTTACTGAAAAAGATATGAGCGCC